ATGTCAAGCGAAGTTTTATTCAATCTAGTTTGCTAGAGTATAACATGCTTTGCAAGTATATTGAACTGTACATCCCCCTTACTTATTTACTAATGGCATAGTTGGTGACCTGTTGATAATCACAGCAGCGGCCGTGACTCTTGCTTGCAACTTAAGTAAGCATCAGATTTCCACAGCATTTGGATTTCAAGGCATGTCTATTTTGTAGGTAATTGATGCCAGGGCAAGCGGTCCAGAGGTCAGAAGACGGAGGGTGTTTAAGACCAACTGCCTGCAGGGCTGTACTGTACTATGGAGGCAATTATAAATTACCCAGGCTCACATCTGACCTATATTTCATAATCTAATTGAGACATGTCCTCTAGATTTTAAACTGACGATGCTGTCGCTGCTAAGCACATGACCTTACATCACCAAATTAGCCACTCTTCAGGTCCTGACCCCCTTTTATCAGACTGTGGTAATTTTAGCATTTATTCTGGCAGGACGTACGTGTGTGTGTGTGTGTGTGTGTGTGTGCGCGCGCGCGCGCTTTTTCCATGAAAAAGCAGCCAGCGAAAGAAAAAGAAAACCTCATCGACTGAGAAAATGTTCATTAGCCTGAGGTCTGCTTCCCTTGGTTAATTAATGTGACTTGTGATTGGAACGTGTATTGGGTGCAGCTAATTTATCACTGAGCTACGATTGACTACTTTTGAACAGAGAAAAAGGGGGTACAGGTATAACATTTATTTGCTGAAGCAATTTTTACCACACAAGAATGTTCGTGTGAACATTCCAGGTTGTGCTTTTAAAAAAATAAACCATAAAGTTATAAATGATACAATAAAATGAATGAAGTCAGCTTAAAAAAAATATGTCTCTGAATACGAGCTGCTGGGAATTACAAGCTGTTGTGTTCAGGGGCTTCTTAGGGGCTTCTTAGGGGCTTCTCATTTGGCCTAGGGTTGACTACAGTAATAACAGGATGATGGAATCAAAGAGCCTTTGGCTTCCTCCAGCAGAGCTCTTCTGAGGTGCTTCGGTTCCCAACAGAGCAAGTCAAACAATCACCAGACTTAAAAGTGTTTAATAGCTTTAAAAATATATTTAGGGGGTGTCAAATTGAGACCCCCTTCTCTCCTGTGTCTCCATCTCCAATAAGACTTTCTGGGATACCAGCTTGAGCCCCACAATGGAAGAAGTGCAAGATATGCATATGCATCTTTTAAAAACTTTTCCCGCTCAACTTCTTTCCCTCTTTCACCCCCAATTCCTTATTTACTTCATTTTCACCTACATAATGTTCCATTCGGAATTGGATAGCCGCTGATGGACTGAATGGTGGTGCCAGGTTTCCTGCCTCTGCAGAACCACAGGGTGGGTATAGAAATGGCAAGCTTTCTTATTTAAGCTGTGAGGAGAACTCCACCTCACAATTTACACTTAACTCTTACTGAGAGTACAAAATTGCCCTTGGGTAACACACACCACTGAGTCAATTCATCCTCCCACTGTAATCTCTGAAGCTGCAAACGGAGAGGCCCAGACTGTTATCTGAGGTCAAATTCGTGAGGATGTGCGTTGCCTAAATCCAGCTCTTCCTCACCGGAGGCTCAAGGGAAGTGAGAGCCAGGATTTTATTACACCACAAGAAAGTGCAGAAGTAGAGACCTCGGTCTCCATGGCTTTTGGTGGGCTTAGAAGGCAGAACTAATGGATAAACATCCTAACCCTGTGGGCATTATGATGCTCAGACACCACTCTTAGCAACTGTAAGGCTTCCAGCCCCGCCATTAAAAAAATGTATATATATTTAAAGCACAGTCTTTTGAAGAACATTTGTTGTTCTTGCTTGTATCATACTATGTAGAAGAGGTATCCAACCTTTGTAGCCCACAGGAAAACTGGACCGTCTATCATGAGCAACACATGCACAGCAGCTAAGCACACAACACAACTTATTGCAATGGCTACATTGCAATAGGTGGGGGGGAGGGTAGCAGGAAAGGAGACTCCGTGGGTACCTGGAAGCCCATGTTGATGACCTCTGAACATATTTAGTTTATGACGAGAACCCTTAGGTTATGATGAGAGGCCCTAAAGATAATCCAGCAAAATTGCTATTGTTATCAACTAGGCAACAAGTTGACGTATCTTAAGTCTGATTTGTATCTTGTAGTCCTTTGCTGCTGCTGAGCACCTTGTGTCACTACAGTTGTAAATGCTGTGCTAGCCGCTGACCTCCACTTCTTGAATATCGTGGAAAAAAATAACTCCACCTGACAAGGTCAGTTGCATTGGAGACACCAGAAACACGATCTCTGGCAGTTCATGTCCTCCCGGCTTTCACATCAATATTCGGCACAATGACACAGGTGTGTGAGAGAGTGTGTAGAAAAAACAACAGTCCAACTTGTATTACGTAAATATATTTATAGCTCATGAACAGAAGGGGGGGAGTCCATTAAAACTATATTTAATTATATTATTTTTCTCAACAATCCTACAATCTATTCTGATTTGTAAGATACCAGCAAAATTCAGGCCATACAAGGACATTGTCGACAGCTTCGTATTTGATTCCAAAAATATCGCTTGGACTCTCTGGAAACTCCTGGTTTCTGCTTGTGAATGTGTGCCTTCATTGATCTTTCATATGGCCTTCATTGATCTCAGAATAGGAAAAGTACTTCTAGTGCTCATTAAAATTCCATTAACAGAATCTCCTGCACACACAAATCAGGCATTAATAGGATCCTAGCAACAGGGATAAACACTCTCTTCTCCCCACTCCTCAGCCATTCATAGTGAGGAAAGGTCTGACTGCCGATATGGGAACATGGTATTTGCCATGTGATTCCTGATTGACTGGAGTCACCTGATGAAGAAAAATGCTGTGGGGGTGGAAAAAGACTTGGTGCTGAAGCACTAACAAATGAAATTGAAGATATGTACTTGTTTAAGGGTAGCTGTTTCCCCTAGAGCACTTAGGGAGCCTGAAAGATAAAAACCCACATTATAACTAAAAAGAAATTAGAGGTCACTGTGGAATTGTTGTTTGTCTGAATCCACTTTTTGTTATACTGGGATTTTGTATTATTCAATCTATGTTGGGTTCAGACAGATGTGAACCAATTGTTATGATAAAACCCAGCAGGTTTGATTATGAAGGGAACAAAATGGGTATGAGGATTTGAAGAGAATATGTGGTAGATTTTCTGGGGCTGGGACGAGGGTGAGACTTTGAGCTTAGGGGATCTATTTTGTTTTTATCCTAAAACCCCAAGATTCACCAACCAGATCCTGGTGCAAAAGGTGGAAGAAAAGAATTCTGAGCCCATAGATGTAGGGTTGGTTCCCAGAACTGAACAGACCTCAGTCCTCCCACAAACACACCCGCCTTCCTGGTTAATTGGGGGTGTGAATAGTTATTTTGTTGCTGCTGTTGTTAAACAGATGAGTCTCAGAAATCTGTGCTGATCTACTGCAAACAACACAGAGATACCTGTGTAGATTCAGTTCTACCTTCTCTCCACTCTTAAAAAGGTAAAGGTAAAGGGACCCCTGACAATTAAGTCCAGTTGCGAACGACTCTGGGGTTGTGGCGCTCATCTCACTTTACAGGCTGAGGGAGCCAGCGTTTGTCTGCTTCCGCAGACAGTTTTTCTGGGTCACGTGGCCAGCATGACTAAGCCGCTTCTGGCAAAACCAGAGCAGCGCACGGAAACGCCGTTTACCTTCTCGCTGGAGCGGTACCTATTTATCTACTTGCACTTTTTGGCATGCTTTCGAACTGCTAGGTTGGCAGGAGCTGGGACCGAACAATGGGAGCTCACCCCGTCGTGGGGATTTGAACCACCAACCTTTCGATCGGCAAGCCCAAGCGGCACAGTGGTTTAACCCACAGCACCACCTGCACCCCTATCTGTCCACTCTTATGTTAGAGGAAAACATAGTCAAGTTTTGAGTTGGCAGAGAGGGCAGACAGGATAGATCACCCATCTAGATCTACGTGTTGCCTAAACCATCACGTTTTAGGTATTTGCACAATTTTCCATGCTATGTAAACATATCACCAGTGAACACTAGCTGCATGGCACCTGTGGTCTCTGACTGCAGTTGGCATGGATCAGTGCTAACTGGATTTCCTTGATATGGAGCTATGCAGCTTCTACTGTTGCCTCTTTAGTTTTCTTGATTTTCTTATCTCCCTTTAAACTACCTTGTGCCAAAGTGAGCAGTAACCCATGAAACCTCCATCAATTTGTCAGTCTTTAAGCTGCTGCAGGATTCTTGGTCTTCAAAAAATAAAGATCAAAATGCTCTGGACTAGAATTCCTCATGTACTCTGATTGCCCCCGCAGAGTTTTCCCTACAAGCAGGATTGCACCTTTATATGGTCGTCTTTGTGTAGATGGAGATACACTATACACTGATGGAGATACACTATATATATGAATGGGGAAACCTTTCCAATCAAGGAAACTCTGTGTGCATATCAGATCCCTACGGTCCAGAACAGGTATGGGGAATCTCCAGATGTTGCTGAACTTGCTCTTGGCCATGCTTGCTGGAGCTGATGTTCAGTAACATCTGGAGAACCATATGTGCCTGACACCTGGTTTAAGAAGGAATTGTTGATTTGAGGCAGGTGCCATCTTGGGACCTTCCAGCTGAGGCTGAGAGTTGTAGTCCAAAACATCTGGAGGGCCCTGGGTTGGCTAAGGCAGCTCTTCATAGTGTGGAAAGAGAGAAGTAAGAAACTAAGTTAAGAAACTTCAGGTAGGAAAACATATCCAGCCAGATTTGATTAACATTAGGGAGTTTTGAGTGCACTTCTTCCTTGTGCTCTGGCTAATTCATAACAAACAGCTTATGCAAAGTACAATTTTCTCCATTTTTGCTTCTGCCCACAGTTTGTCATCCATTGCAATGCAGTACTTCATGATGCGTGAGCAACCATGTGATTCATTTCCATACCTTTTCCCATTCATTTCAGTACCTCACGAGTTATCGCTATGCTTTTAACTGTCGTTTTCTTGTCGTTTCCCACCATGCTGCGTTATCTCTGCTGTACAGCCATGCTGGCATTGTCACCAGCAGAGGTAGGTCCTTTAAACTTCTTTGTATAATATCCAAATATTTTTGGAGCTTTATCCAGACCTGTGCTGACCGTTCCAGCACTCACTGATTAGAGTATAGTATTGGTATTTATGTTTTCAGGTCATTTAGACCTTGGATGATTTCTGGCAAATATTTAATAGAACACCCCTCCAGTGTTTGCATAGTACCACAATACATCTTTCCACCGCAGAAGCAATATTGTGAACTTGCTTTAAACAAACTCATATTTGATGCCATGTCAACAGATTGTGCAACTGGACAGAGACGCTGTACCAAATGGATCTTTTGTTATTGCTTTTGTTGTTTTTATTAGTCCATTTCTATCCCGTTCCTTCAAGGAGCTCAAGGTGACATGCATGGCTCTCCCCCGCTCTCCATCTTACTTCCATAAACACCTTGTGAGGTCAGTTAGGCTGAGAGATGGTGACTGTCCCAAGGTCATCTAGTGAATTTTGTAGCAGAATGGAGATTTATTCAACAGTTTGGGCCATGACCTAGAGTGACATACCTTACCTACCTACTCCCATATGCACACATGCATATATATTTTTTATCAGCTTGCCTTACAAAGGCGCCCCTGCAGAACAACCGCTTTTAGGACTGGGGGGTGCACCACTGGATTCGTACCTTGGATTGTATCCTACCTATGGAAATGTCAACAGTGTGCATATTCATATGCTTGCAACAACCAAATCGTTATATCATTCTGATTTTTTTGTTTCCTTCTGACTCGCTCAGCCTCTTGAAAACATCTTTGCTTTTATGATACCATAAAAACTTGAAATGCTTTCCTACACAAGTAGTTTGCAGAGTGCTTGGCCCTTTCCCCACAAGGTACCACAACTAAGCTGCTGCACATTGCCGTATACTGCAATGCAACATCACACATCTATCTGCCTGCTTCCCTTTCCTGCCTGCAATGATTAAATGATAATTCCTTGGCCATGAGGGCAAGTTGTATGGCCTGCTGCCCATTCTCTACCACGCTTTGTTATGATGCCATCAGGGTGCACTTGCTATCTTAGTAATGCCAATTTCTTTAAATGTACATGATTAATTTCACATCTTGTTCTTCCCCTTGCTTTTAGAAGCTTTTATTATTATTATTATTTAAACTGAGAGCTGCACACCTGCCCACACAAACTGCAGTGTTTCACATTAGCTTTGGTAGTTATTTAAGCAAGAAGAGAGGAGGGATTTTGGGTGGGCAGGGAGGAGAGAAGCAAAGCCTGATAACGACTGCCATGGTGTCTAGCAACACAGGAAGCTGCCTTAGACTCTGAGTCTGACCATTGTCTCACCTACCTCATCTAGCAACTAACTGGCAGTGACTCTCTGGAATTCCATTCTGGTCATGCCAGGCTTGAACCTAGGGACTTCTGCATGCAAAGCAGTTGCTCTATCGTAGAGCTATTGCTACCTCAAGCTGTTATTGCTTAAACAAACATTATAAAAAAACCATCAAAAGTAATACAAAAGAGTCATCTGCAACTTGCAACATGAAATTAAATGTAGGGAACTGGTCAATTTATACAGTCAGTCCGATTAATATGCAAATAGGTCTCTGCTCAGTATTTTGGCTTCTCTAGCAAATAGAGCAAGACAGATTTCTGATGAATTGCATTGTTTCCCAACTTTTTCTTGGCCACTGCAGAGAATCTGCTCGATATTTCTAAAATAAAAGCTTCCTTTGAATTTGTACTCAAATTGAGAAACCTAGTAAGTAACAACAGATATTCTTCACAGAAGATTAGCTCTGAGACTCCTCTACATAAAAGCATAGTGCCCCTTAGGAACTTATATTCAGGTATATAGCAGTCATTGGCATTCATCATCCTACACTTTGAGCTGTCCTTTGTTTCTATGTCAAAATTGCGGCGATTTGGACTTGCTGTGTTGGCCAGTGGAAATGGCAGGGATTAAGAGAACAGGGTTTACACCAGTTTGCTTCTTTCCTTCTTCTTTTCTGCTCTGTTAGGATGACAGACTGGAACACTGGCACAGTAAAGCCTGCAAATGTGATTGTCAGGGAAGTCCAAATTCCGTATGGCCCTCGGGGACAAACAATCTGGAATGCATGCCAGGTAAGAACTTTTGACTGATCATGGCTTCTAGCACAGGCCTATATTTACTTAACCTGTGAGTAAGGCCTCCATCGCAACCACCCAAAGCCAGTTTTAATTTAAAATAAATAAATCTTTAGCACTTTTTCAGGAGAAGGCTTGGGCTTTGCCACACCCAGGGGAACAGAATCCCAATGTTGAAGGAAAGTCACTGAGGACACCACTACCTATGAGGGAACTGGAGAACTGGTCACCCTCCAGATTCCAACGCTCATCAGCCCCAGGCAGCATGGCCCATGGGAGTTGTAGTTCAGCAACATCTGGAAGGAGGTTTAACCCTTCCCCAGCTGTGAGCACCTTCCCGCCCCACAATATGACAATTACAAAGAAAAGCTCCTAAGTTTAAATTGCTGCTTAGAAGCGGATTTCCATTGGGATGGTAGCTGGGAAATGATCACACCTTATTACCCCGTGCACTGTGGTCCTGATAAAAGCTGTATCACCTACACTTAGCATTTAAGATGGGGAAGGTGCAGATGAAGCTTTATGTTACGTATTTAATGCAACCCTTAAATGATAATGTGTCATTCCCTCTCTCTCCCCCGCCCCAAACCTAATGACAGTAATTTGATTCTTGTCTTTGCAAAATTTGCTTGTGTTAAATTTTGCAGGATTCTTTAAAAAATAAATGCAACCCTGTAATTTTCCACCATCTTCATTATAACTAAAACCACATAGTAGTATTAGCTGAGAAAGAGTTTCACCTTCAAATGCCATATTACGGAGAAAAGATATACGGTGGTAGAAACTAGGCAGGGATGCCATTCTAATGCACAGCACACAGAGAGACTTCTAAGGTCAATGGTAACAACATTAAATAATTTAACTGACTTGGTCCATCAGTCCCCAGACATCTGTCTGGTAATTTCTTTCTCCACGACGGTTTTCTAGAACAGAAGGTTACCTCCTAAGTATATTATGATTGTGTTAGCTAGAGATTAGTGCTACTAAAAATAAAACTCTCGTTTCTTGTAAACATTGCAGGCAATTCAGCCCAGTTTTACTTAACATAGTTTGCAAGACTTCAACACATACCGTCACTGTGATTTCCATGGTGATGGAGACTACAAAATATGCCCTCATTACAGGGAGTTCATAGGTAGTATCGAAATGAAAGTGGTGATTAAGCAGGGGTAAGAAATTGGATTCAGTTTGTATTTAAAGGCAAGCCTATCTCATTCACACTTCTCAGAATTTTGCAATGCGCTTCTCCAGCCAAGCAATACATACATAAACTCCTATACCAGAGTAAATTGTGCAAAATAACAAATAAAAATGCATCCAGCCATAAACATAGCATTCCAAAATGCATTGTATTAGGGAAAATGGGTTTGCAAAAGTTATTTGGCAAAATCACATACAAATATGAAATTTGCACTAATATGCTGATGAGTTTTCATAAGGTTTTCTTTTAAAAAAAATTGCCCACCGATGTGAAAATGTGGAGAACTGAAAATGAGAAACAGTGTGAAACCAATATTGGGTTTCCTCCATCCCTAGTGGCAATTCATACAAAAGGGCAACTCCATGCAGGTCCAACAGAGCCACAATTCTGACAGTGGCCTCCCACAATCCCAAGGCAATTTTGTGTACCTTGTTTGGATGGTGAAAGTATGCAGACATCATACTTTCCGTGGGCTAGGAAAGCAATGTTAGGGACTCAGAAATCAACAAAATGAATAGAGGAAACAAAGCAACCCAACTTCTACTCTTACTAAATGCTTCAGTCTACTAGTAAAACAAAGTCTGCATCTCACCCTCTGTAAGAGAGCCCTAGGGCCAGGGAATCCATGGCCTCTCTGATGCTATTGAACTCCAACTCCTATCAGCCCCAGCCTGTATGGCCAGTGATCAGGGATGATCGGAGTTGATATCCATCTACATCTGAAGGGCCAGATGTTTCCCAGCCCTGAGATAGAGAAGGAGCTTTTTGTACCTGTGCACACTCTCTTTTGAAAATGTTTGTTGTTCGCTTACAGAATGCCCCTATCACAAGCCACTTGGTTTTGAGTCAGGAGCTGTTACTCCAGACCAGATAAGCTGCTCCAGTCCAGAGCAGTACACTGGATGGTACACTTCATGGATTGCAAACAAGGCCCGGCTTAATGGGCAAGGTTTTGGGTAAGCAGCACATCTTCCTCCTAATGTTTTGACCAGTAAAGAGTCAGCCAGACACTATGTAAAACCCTTCCTTCCTTCCTTCCTTCCTTCCTTTCTCTCTCTTTCTAGAAGTCTGCTCAACTACCTCTGCTCTTTGTCTCACCTGCTTTTTGATGTTGTGCTGATCCACTTCCTCCTGGTTTTTGTTCCCCCAGCTGTCTCTTCCTGCCAACCACTGTGTCAACAAGTTATTCTTCCTGCTGGCTGTATTAATACATTTTGATATGGCTCCTCTAAATTACCTATTTCTTGAGCATGTGCTCTAATTTGCTTGTGCAAAGTTTATGCAGAGGTTAGATTATAGCTAGTTTTTATGGAGCATTCCTTCTCACTTGTTTGCAGGGAGATTATATGACAATGAGCATCCACCCTGCATTCCTCTTAGTTTGCTTGCAGGTTGTGTATCTAATGTGCCAGAAAGGCATATAGTGTACATTTCCTTGGCATTTTCCTGCGTGCAAAATGTCTGAATGATATGCAACCAAATTTATGGGCTAATAGCCGTAAATAAATAAATAATAAAAAAAATAAAAATAATATGCAACCAAATAGTTGTGCTAGTGCAAGGATTAGTGCTAGTGCAACAGGATTGCCTTTCCTTTCCTTCCCCCCATATGCCCTGTGCCATCCCAAAATATGCTCCAGAGAATTAAGGGAACCCCAAGAACAGATTTAGGGGGAGAACACTCCGTTGTGCAAGGAGAAATTCCTTAATGCTACTTTGAATACAACAGGCCGTTTCTAGAGTTTTTGGCACACTAGGGTGATGGGGCATCTTAATCCACTTTAATTGTATGATTCTAAATTCCATAGTATGTTCTTGAACTCTTCCCTCAAACCAGGCCCTATGCAGAGGGAGGTGCGGAAGGGGCGCAGCCAGGTACACTTGCCCTGGGCTGGCCAGTTGGCTCCACCAGGGACCAGTTGCTTTTTTTGTCTGAGTTTCTAACTTTATTCTAAGAACACTCTCTCCTCAGGCCTCAGGGCACTGCACAGGCCTGCTTCAAACTCCTGGCAGTCTGGAGGTGCCTTTCATTCCACCTACATTGACTCCCCGAGGGTATTACACATAAATCAAAATGGCAAAATGTGGAGTTAAGAGGCACAGGCGCAACTGCAGCAAACGAGTCTGAGCGCTGCTGCCAAATTGTCCCAGAGAAGTTACTTCTAGCATGCCGGTGTCAGCTGCAATTGCATACCCCTCCGACCTCAGAGAACACATCTCATTCACCGGCAAGTGTTTCTTTTAGTATAGGACATAACCTTCTATGTCTTTCTCCTGCAACTCTTAACAGGTGTGCCTGGCTCTCCAAATACCAAGACACAAACCAGTGGCTGCAGATTGACCTGAAGGAAATCAAAGTGATTTCAGGAATAATCACACAAGGACGGTGTGATGCAGATGAATGGATGACGAAGTACAGCGTGCAGTACAGGACTGACGAGAACCTGAACTGGGTCTATTACAAGGATCAGACAGGAAACAACAGGGTCAGTATGGGATGCATTTTCTGAAAGACGCATTCTCTGAAGATGTCCCCACATTGGCATTTGTTCAGAACAGAGTGTGTTGAGATAAATAATCCCATTCAAATAAAAATGAATCCTAGTATTCATTGACTTTCAGTGCTTGACAATCAAATTTGAGTCCAAGGCTGAGATTCTAAACCCACTTATCTGGGGTTACTTCTTAGTGGTTAAAATCATTAGGTTAAACTCATGTGCCCCGATAAAGTGAGGGACAAGGAATATTCCCTCTTAAAAAAATTATTCACCATACTTCAGTTGATCACCCAGTAAATAAATAGATAAGGAAATAAATCAGAAGGCTAAATGTGTGTGGCCAGCCATCACAACACTCATCTAGGAAGGTTGCCATTGAACTGGCTGCATGTGTTTTGACAGATATGGAAATGTCCAGAGGAACCAGTTGCTACATGCAACAACTTACCTACCTCTAGAACTGATTAGAGGGTTGAGTTTCCCTGATACTGTTGATAGGGAATCTAGTGGGAGGTAAGCAGTGCCACATTTATTTAGAAAAATGGTGTTTCTGTAATGTGAAATATACTGTAGAAAGAAGCAGAACTTTTAAAGTGTTACGGCACTGGAAATATATTATTTTCTCCTGAGTAAATTGCAGGGGGGGGGGGGGGCAAAGGCTGTAAAGAGCACTGCTATGTATAATGAGTGTGATATTTTTAAGCAGATAGATTCTCATACAATCTGCTACTTGTTATAGCTGCTTTCCAAGGTGGCAAAGTCCACACTGAATACCATATTCTACCACCTCTTTAGCATCTCATCCATTGTCAGTTTGCTGCACTCTAGTTCAGAATTGGGGAATTCAGAGTACAAGCTTTCACAACCTGGAGCTTCTGAGCTAATTGCCAGTCGACCCCAAATCTCCCTGAAGTTTGGACTTGCCATGCCTATAGCCGATAGCCAAAAGAAAAACGAAAAAAGAATCTGAATAAAATTCTGTATTAATAGACAACATTTGAATAAATAATTTGAACGGGAAAGGATGAGAAAAAGAATCTGCATTAGCCTTGATTTCATTACATTGGAGCAAAATCTGCATTTGTTCTAAATTGAGAAAACTGACAAGAATTACAAGCGGAAATATTTCAGTCATAAACATTTTTACGCTATGTAGAGCCAATACATTTATGACACTTACTCCTCATTTATACTAGTGGGTTCTTCATGGATTTGACTAGCCATGCTACATGCCAGGATGAAACTACACGCCCTGGAAAGCCTACTATTGTATAAACATAATTTAGCTGTGGAGAGGTTGGTTTATCTCCCCAAGCAGAATTTGGCAACATGCACCATGTAATTGCAAGTAATTTGCTTCTAGTGACAGAAACCAGCAGCAGTATTGCTTGGTAAATTAGTGACACGAAATAATTTAAGTCGCTAAATAGGTTTCCAACTTACTGAACGCAGAATTAAAGGAAGTTAAGGCCTCAATCCTGTCTTCTGTGAAATGAACTCTGTCCCGTCCCCCCCAGCTTTCTTTTTTCTTTTTGTCTTCTGTAGGTTTTCTATGGAAATTCAGACAGATCATCTTCTGTGCAGAACCTTCTGCGCCCACCCATTGTCTCGCGCTACATTCGCTTGATACCACTTGGCTGGCATGTGCGCATTGCCATCAGGATGGAGCTGCTTGTATGCATGAATAAGTGTGCTTGATGCTAAACTTCAGCACCACATGACATTGCAAGGGAAAGAGATGGGAGGCATTAGCAAGATATAGAAGTACAATGAATAGAATGAGTAGGTTCCTCATGTATCTCAGTGTACTATAAATGTAGGCATTATCCCTTTTGCTGTGACTTGCACCTTCCACAACTATGGAAGCTTTAACTGAAGTCTAAATCAGGCGTCCTCAACTTTGGCCCTCCAGATGGTTTGAGGCTACAATTTCCATCATCCCTGACCACTGGTCCTGCTAGCTAGGGATCATGGGAGTTGTGGGCCAAAAACATCTGGAGGGCCGAGCTTGAGGAAGCCTGGTCTAAACCAATAGAACCCAAGAGCCTAATTTTGAGATGAAATTAATATCCACATATCCATGATCCCATGTTGCATTATATTTCCTGTTTCAGCTCCAGGGGTGGGAGGAGTTGGTGGTGAGAGGGAAAGGCTTTGACTTGATTTTTGTGAAGCTCTCATGAAAGTATAGACTGGCCTATGCAAAAAAAGGAGGAATTTATACACACACACACACACACACACACGTTTCTTATTGCACCCAGTGTCAAGCTTTGCTGATGCTAGCATACTTAATTAGACTTAAGGCAGGTCTTAATGGATGAGCCAATCACAAGTCCTTAGAGTAAGGTTAAACTACATGTTCCCAAGAGTTTTGGTTTGTTGCTGTTGTTGTTCAAAGGAAACTGCTGAGCCGTCTCTCTCCCTGTCCCTGCTGAGCATTATTTATTTATTTGTTGTTTGTGAATGGTTTGAGGGCAGGTAGCAAAAATTTCATTATTAACACAATTACAATATACATTAAAATAGTAAAATAAAACTAGAAGGCAAGTAGCGACAAAGCAACAAAACAGCTGCATTGAACAGCAAAGCCAGGAGGAGAGAAGGCGTCTACGCAACAAAAGATCTGGATAAAAAAGGGGCCTCCGTTGTTGACAAAACATACAGTGATGGCACAAGACATACCTCGGAGGGGAGGTCCTAGCATTTGCAATATCAAATCTTTGTTGCTTCCCCTAAATTATGATGATTTTTAAGCATTAATAACAGCAGCAAACAAACCATGTATTTCACCATATATACAAAATGACACAAATCAGTGCATGTGGATGAATTGTGTCCTGGAAGGCTGAAAATGTTAACCAGATTTAATCTGCATCATCCTATCCTCTCAGGTTTGAATCTAGCATGTTCATTTCAACATGATAGTATCCCAGATGCTATGCAACCTGTCCAGCTCAGATGGGGCCATGGGTTTCTTCCAGCTGCAGGCAATAAACACCTTGACTGCGACTGATAATTTGACTCTGCTTGTCATTCAGCTCAGTCACCCCCATAGGTAAAGGTAAAGGGACCCCTGACCGTTAAGTCCAGTCGCGGACGACTCTGGGGTTGCGACGCTCATCTCGCTTTACTGGCCGAGGGAGTAGACAGCTGTCCGCAGACAGCTTCCTTGTCATGTGGCCAGCATGACTAAGCCACTTCTGGGGAACCAGAGCAGCGCACAGAAATGCCGTTTACCGTCCCACCAGAGCAGTACCTATTTATCTACTTGCACTTTGATGTGCTTTCAAATTGCTAGGTTGGCAGGAGCAGGGACTGAGCAACAGGAGCTCACCCTGGGAATTCAAACCGCCAACCTTCTGATCGGCAAGCCCTGGGCTCTGTGGTTTAGACCACAGTGCCACCCGCGTCACCCCCATATACTTAATTTAAGAGGTGCTAGGATGTTCTGATCTATCTTTTTTATAGGTTTAAAGTCACTCCCATTTTATAAATTAAAAAATAGAAATCTTAATTTGTGTTTATTTATCTGTTTATATACCGTTTGATTGTAATAAAACCTCTCCGTGGTTTACAAAACCAGTTACACAACGGTTCAATGTGTGTCACTGTCAGCATATAGAAAATTTCCATTCTATCTTGACTTAAATTTGTTTGTGATGTAAACATGTAGAATTGTGTGTACATAATTATATTCCTTCCTTATGTGCATGTGTTAAATGTAAGGGCTTTCAAAATAAATTTAAATCTACACTCAAAAATAAAGCCAAAACTATTTTGATGATTCACTCGGTTCTCCTTCTTCGAGCTGATTCGCCACTGTGAACCTGTGCTTTTCTCAGAACTCTCCAGGGGCCACAATTCAACAGAGTTAAATGCACGTTATACCAATTACTTCTGTGTTGGGTTGGGGCCTATAGCCTTGATTAACTTACAAAATAAGCTTTCATGTGATTAGTAAATAACTATGTGCTTTGACTTTAGTAACAACCCTATTAGCTGTGATCTTCGTTTTGGACTTTGATATAGGCCAGCTGGGTACAGATGTAATCCTGGCTCTGCATTTGCACTGGTGGCTGGGTCTGTTGCCTGTCGAACCTTGGATTGCTCAGTGCAGGTGCTGGTATTAAACAGGGATGTATGCAGCTCCCTGGCCAGGCTTTTAACTAGGGAAGGAGTATAAATTCTGTTCAGCTCAGATTTAAATGTGAATCTGCCTGGTTCACACCTTCCAAAACAATACATTAAACCTGCAACTTACACAGGGGTTGCGTTTTGTAGGGTGGCATAGCTTTTACTCACCCACTCTACCCATAGGTGACAGGACAAACTATAGTGTGTCTTATCAGGACTTTTCCTTTTCTTTTTTCCCCAAGCTGGAAAATAAGAGAGCAGCTTTTCTTTTGGAACTTGGAATTTGAAAAATACTTCACAATGCAAAGAGCTAAAGTTCAGATTTGGGGTGGAAAGCCAGATTATTATGTTGGTACAGTTTAGATTTCCCAGATAGCATTCCCCACAGTGCTGACATTTCTATATTCGGGGTTGTATCTTGCTCATATTATGCAATACGGGGATTAAAACAGTGAAAAATATGCATGCATTTCAGTTTTAATGGAGGTGGCTGAAGCAAAATATTTGAAGGCTAGGCTCTTGGGCGTCAACGGTAATGAATAATGAATTTGATTCATGGATTGGAAAAGCACTCATTCTTTAAGCTCCAGTTATCGCAGCTTCCCTTAATAGGCTGCTTGAATCCATTGAACATTGTACTCATAGTTATCCCTTCTCACTATGCAGTTGCTGCTTTAATGTGTTCATATTCAGCATCCCATGGAAGTTTTTTTTTTTTAAACTGAAATAATTACTACTTACTTTTACAGCTAAGATTTGATATTGGGAATTGGAGCCATCCTGAATTTATCCATCTCATTGGTTTGAAGTGACAGCTTGCTTTTTTCTTTTGCCAAGACTGTGCCCTCCCATTGCTGGACCAGAACTCCCATCATCCATGAACGTTGGCCGTGCTGTCTGGGGCTGATGGGAGTTGGAGTCCACAACGTCTGGAAGACACCATCTTAGCAACCCCTGGGCTAGCACATTGCAACCATGGGTATGTTGTTGTGGCAGTTCTTGGGCTATTTTAAATAGCCCAGTTAAAACGTGCCCACACAGTGGAATGGCTTCAAATGTAAAACCAAGCCTTTCCCCACTATTCATGTAAATAACAGCAGGACAACAGCAGTGCACTTTCCTGGGCTATGAGTCATTGAATCCTAGAATTGTAGAACTGGAAGGGACCCCAAGGGTCAACTGGTCCAACTCGCTGCAATGCAGAATCCTTTGAATGCTAATACTCTGAACCTGAGCAATGTGTCTTGGTTTAAATGGAATGACGACACTGGCAACCTTCTTTTACCTGACTCACACCATGTTCAAATTAAGCCTAAATGTCAATTAATCATTGTTTAACATTGCTTTATATACAATATACAAACTGCTTTTGTATAACAGAATGTGTTCTTTGAACAGCTCATAAGATAAAAGACAATACTGAAAAAGACAAAGGACTATAATTACTGGACAGCCAGTGTGGTATAATGATGGTACTTTGGATGAGGACCTGGGAGACCAGGGTTCGGTGTCCTGCCTCCTTTGGTCATGAAGCTCACTAGGTGATCTTAGACTAAAAAGGCACTCATCTCACTCTATAGGCTGAGGGAGCTGGCGTTTGTCCTCAGACAGCTTCCGGGCCATGTGGCCAGCATGACTTCTGGTGAAACCAGAGCAGCACACAGAAACGCCGTTTATCTTCCCGCTGGGGTGGTACTTATTTATCTTCTTGCACTTTGACATGCTTTTGAACTGCTAGGTGGGCAGGAGCTGGGACCAAACAACGGGAGCTCACCCCGTCACAGGGATTCAAACCGCCGACCTTCTGATCGGCAAGCCCTGCCTAACCTACCTCCAGGGTTGTTGGCGGGATTAATTGAGCGGGAAAAGAAGCACATCTGCTACCTCGAGCTCCTTGGAGAAAAAGGTGGGATATGAATGAAATAAAGAAGAAAAATACCATAACAGAAACAAGGAAATACAGTACATGTCCATTTGCCTGCCCCTGTTAGCAGTTCCCAGGTGGCTGGAAAGTTGGCCACCTAGTGACCCAGTTTTCATAAAATCCAATTGTACACATACAGGGAGCTTTCCCCCCTCAGAATAAAATCCTAAAAAGGCTACTGAGAAGTTACTCCCATGTAAGGGCTATAGAATTGCAGGTTAAATCATCTATGGCTGATGTAGAGAGGGAGGAAGAGAGAGGTAACATAGAGCAATAAAAGCAGCAGCTGTGGGTTTCTAAAGATAGGTATCTGAGGGGAAAAATATATACACTTATACGACACAGACCTTTCCCCCCAATAGCATTGTGATTATGGCACCCAAATATAGAAAGTAAGTTGCTGTAGGTAACCAATCATGTTTTATTCATCTGAGCCAGCACTAGATATTAGACAGAAATTCATTTCGGTTCACATTTAAAGGTAAACTTACCATATTTGCACATTCCAAAACAATGTGTGAACTGGAAAAGAGCCAACCTTTCTGAAGTTTGCAATTCAGTTCTCCATTCATGCAGTGCAAACAAAAAAAAAGCATATATTGTGCATAATTTATCATTGTTTTTCTCCCAATGTATTCAGGTGTCTGCAGGAAGAGCTGGTGGTATACATGATACTGTGCACTACAGATAATGGCAGTCTACCTCATATGCTTATTGGCTCAAAATGGGCACTCATTTCAAAGTAGCAACTACCTTCCCACAGACTTGTGCTTGCCAAGACCACATAACATTCTCATCTTCTAAGCACCTAGAAGCCTCAGTTCTTTTCTTGATACAAGAGCAAATGCATTATGGAGAAAGAGATTAAAATAGCCTATAAAGCACCAAAACAGCATATGTGTGAGGAAATCTAGGAAAGGAACACAGCTTGCAGAAAATGTCAAAAAGTGGGGCTGGAAAGTGAAGCTGAACTGCATTTTCATGTTGGTGTCAAGAAGTATTAGCTCCAGTGAAATGCAATACAGAACATATTTATCATCTACCATTGAGACTGATTAAAAAGTGCTGTGACAGTCATCTCAGGAAAAGTGTAGGAAGAAGCTTGAAATAAGCACATAGCCATACCTGCAGAAGATTTTGCATATAAAGCTTCCAGAAAAGATGGAAGCTTATTTGCTATGATTAAAAGGCTCATCTTAATAGGCTTCCCCATAAAGCATAAGCAATGTGGAGATAAAAATACAATCAGTTATTCAACCTGAATATATAGGCAATGCTAGCTGTTGTTTTAAAATGAAGAAACATATAACCAGTGCTTTTTTTCCGGGGGGGGGGGGGGTACGCAGGGGTATGCATACCCCTAAATATTTTTTGAATCTAAGTTTGGCCTTATTGAGGGGTGGTATTTCAATATGAGTAAGAAAATGAGAGTACCCCTAAATTTTTTTTGTAGAAAAAAGGCACTGCATATAACTAGAAAGTTTCACAATAGTGGGAGAAACTAGCTCAAAACATGCCAGACATAGATGGATTCCAAAATCCACAGGCAATACTTTTATTAGGACTAACCAAAATGTCAGAAAAGAGTGATCAAGCTTTCTCCAGAACTCATCAGGATGGACGTTAAGTGAAGTGGTCTCAGGGGCAGGGAGAAGGGGAAGGAGGAGGAGGAGGAGGAGGAGGAGGAGGAGGAGAGTTTGGATTTGATATCCCGCTTTATCACTACCTGAAGGAGTCTCAAAGCGGCTAACATTCTCCTTTCCCTTCCTCCCCCACAACAAACACTCTGTGAGGTGAGTGGGGCTGAGAGACTTCAGAGAATTGTGACTAGCCCAAGGTCACCCAGCAGCTGCATGTGGAGGAGCGGAGACGCGAACCCAGTCCACCAGATTACGAGTCTACTGCTCTTAATCACTACACCACACTGGCTCTCACAGGCAGGCAGGCAGGCAGAAAGAGGGAGGGTGTGAAGCCAGTATGCAGCTCAACTGACTAGCAGTTGAATATTACTTCAACACTGGCAATGGAATAGCATCCTCTTCAGTATTGAAAGGCAGCAGGCAAGTTTAGGGAGAGACTGACAGGTTGTGTAGGACACACAGCTCTGATCTCCTACAGAAAGGAATGGCCAAGAGGCTCAGGAGTGCTGCCAGTGCTACCTATCCCCTCAGTACTCTGTCTAATGAATATCCATGAGACCAGTGCATTTCTATGGGCATCAATAGAATCCTAGTTCCTATCACAATTCACATTCTGATAGGGTGACCTAAGTGCTGTGGTGGAACTCATGCTTTACGTGCAGAAGGTCTCAGGTTCAGCTCCCAACATCTCCAGTGAAAAGGGAACTCTGGTTGCAGACTTGGGGAAGCCCAATGTTCCTAGAGAGCGGATTATCAGGCACCAACTCATATTTGCCTCCTTCCAGTTTTCACAGATACATTGAGATCTCACTCTTCTTGTTACTGAAAAGGTCAACACAGAAGCTCCAAATTCTATCTCTCTCACACAGCTGCTCCTAGGATAGACTTGGCTTTTCGGTGTGTGCTCATACCATCCATTTATTTTATCGTCTTCAGTAACAGGGCAGTTTCTGGCAGCCAAGTAGATGTGTGGAGTCAAATTAGAAAGCAAGAAATCTTTATGGAACAGAAGCATCTGCATCCAACGCCATTTATAGAGGACAAAAGGTGGGTATTTCTTTCCGTAAGACATTTGCAAAGGAGGAATTATCTAAATGCTGTACTGGAAATCTGTCACTCCAGACTAATGCATTTCTTTTAAACTCACCAAAATCCCAAAAAAGTGATGGCAACAAGCAATAGAGATACCTAAAGGACATGGAAAACTTCAAACATACTGTATATCCAAATGACTGAAATGATGTGGAACACAAACTGCTGACCATGATTATACCATTTGGAATGGCAGTTATCAAGATTTTGACGAACTAGATGGTTTAATATGCAACACAGCATTGCTGCCACAAATAACTGGCTCATCTGTTAGAAACACAGAATCAGTGAGCATACATCAGCTGACAAACATTTCCAAACCAATATTGAGAGCAATAGTTGTTTCTCAATGAAGCAGAGGATGACAAAGAGATGAAGAAAATATTGAGAACAAAAGGCTCTCCCAGATACAGAAAAGGAATTGTGAACATTAAGCCCAAGTCTGGACTAGTGTTTGACAGTCCTCTGATTTTTCCTACACAACCATCTTTGAAGCTGGGCAGTAAATTAAGCTGTGTTTACATATGCTTCACACTAATGTGTGGAGGGAAACAGGAACATACCCCGCTCCTGATGTTGTCCTGGTGATGGTCCCATCTTGGATGGCTGTAAGAGTAAATGAATTCCTGGAAGAGGAGGCTATCAGTGGCTATGTCCTATTTCCACTATGGGAGGTAGTAGGTCTTTGAATATCCACTGTTGGGAACTGCCAGTGGTGAGCGCTGTTGTGCTCAGGTTCCGATTGTAGCCTTCCTCTGGGAAACTAGTTCACCACCGTAAGAACAGGATACTGGACTAGACGGGCCACTGGCCAGCTCCAGCAGGCTCTTAGGTTCTTATCCACATGTGGAATGAAAAAATGTACCCATGGAAATACAACTGTACACATATAGGTGCTCCTTTCTGAACACCTTGCTCAACGTATGGACACTGGCTATGGCTGGGCTAATGGGACACACACAGACCCCCTGTACCTGTGTGAATAGGCCTACTGTGACATGCTCATCTGAGATTCATGGTCAACTCTAGCCTTGCCATACGTAAACCAAAGAAGTCAGTTTAATTAAGAAGAACACTAGTATTCTGATGCTGACATGTATCTGTATACTTCTTGCTGTTCTCTTGGCAATTTTTCTGCTTGGGGAAATTATAAGATCATAGTAATAAAGTAGATGAAACACTTGTGGGCTGTTCTGGAATGAAGCAGAGAGAAAAATGATATTCTTTTCCAGGACAGATTCTTCTTCTAGTGACCTCTGTAGCTCAGTGACCCCATGAGACGAAGATGTAAAGGGAACACTAGCATATTATGTCAGCTATACGGCTATGTCCAAAAGCAGGTCACTGTCCATTTGAGATAAAACAGGTACTATCTGAACTCAAAAGTAATGTACATAAACTGGTATCATTTAAATGTTTTAGACAAGTCAAAAATATTTCTTGGCAAATACATTCAAGGAGCTAGAGGTTCAAAAAAAGCTAAGCACAGAAGGGTAAATAAAAGATCAGCAAAGGCTGAAGGAAACTTACTACAGATGCACGAAATGCTTTGGAGGACAGGAGGGATGACAACCTCAGTTTTCTAGTGCAAAACCTGCATTTTTATTAAAGACATGTTTTGGAAGGCCCATTCAAAAATACATTGTGCTCAGTAAAAATGAATAATTCCCATGCTGATAATTAAAGATTAAACATAGGATCATTTCTTTCTCTCTTTCTCATACTATTTACATAAACAATAAAAATTATACAGGAGTTAAAAATGGAATACATGCCTGAAAACAATCTGATACGGTGTAAGCACAACATGATACAAAGAGTTCTATAAACACTTTACAGATGGTTTATTAACTTGGAATGAAATCTTCAAATACCCAACATATTTTCAAAATCAGTTTTAATTCAAAGATTTACATAACATCTTTTTCATAACAGAAAGCAAGGTTGATTTTAAGTTTGCGCATCTGAGATTTTCTAAAAAAGGGATAGTGAAAGTGGGTAATCTTTACTTACAATGCTTCAAAAGCCAAGAAATCTGCCTTTTTAATTAGATCTTTTGGGTTTACCTTGACTTTCCCAAAGCTATTAACCTCTCCAAGAGGCATCCTCTCCCCTATTTTTTCATCTACAATTCTTATTCAATATTTCGACAGTGGAGATCTCAGCAGTCCTGGATTTCTAAATATATTAAAAAGCCAAAGCTATTTCCCCCTGAAGATCTCTATTTGGCATTCCCCCCCCCACTCCAGAGAACCTGAATTTATAGGTCAAAATGTACTACTATGGAATTAGTATGTCCTTCACTTTAATTCTTCTAACACTGAGGTTGGAGAAAAAGAATCTAAAGGGGGTAGATTTCCCGCCACTTACAAACTCTAAGTCCTCCCACTAGAATTCATTACAGCAATGTATATTTTGCAATCTTAGAATTAGCACACATCTCAGGTGATTCTATTTGCAAATATTAAATTGTGATGCTCCATACATTTCTTAAGCCACCATGCATTTTACCGACTCTTCAAAAATAATAACCCCCACATGATGTATTTTCCACATTATGTCCTGTGGACTAAATTTTTGTGGTTTGTTGTTTTTTTTAAAGCACATTTTAAGATAATGGTTATGCTGGAATATGATGAGAGTTAAAAATGCATGTCTCGGATAATCTAGCAAATAAATGAGCAAATGAACATCCTGGACAAAATCTAACAATGGTCTAACAACCGTTTCAGAATGGGAGATTAAATATTTTCATATCCGTCCCCCCCGGAGCGAAAACCAAAAGGGCAATCCAGCATAAAGAAATAAAGGAAGACCTTAAAGCAATTTAACAATGGGCATGCACTGAGCAGCTTAAAATTAATATAAGCACTGTCTAAAAACAGGTATGGGGAACCTGTGGCTCTCCAGACTGTCATCATTCCTGATCATTGGTCATGCTGGAATTTGGCCAGGGTTGATGGGAGTTGTAGTTCAACAACATCTGGAGGGCCACAGGTTCCCCATTCCTGACCAAAACCCCAAAAGACCGGACTCTTCAAAAAAAAAAAAGTAAAGCAAACACCGTATTATAATTTGTAATTAACTGACCAAGAGAGGTAACTGAAAAGTCCTGTGTTGAGCAATGTCTTAGCAAACAACAACTGTGTACAACTATTTAGCTATACATTCAGTAAGCATGCTCTATGAACAGCCACAAGAAGCAATGGTACTGTATTGCAGCAGCTTGTTTAAGAGAGCTTGGTCACCTTTATTTGGCTGAATGAACTTAATTGACATTTTCCAGAAGCAGTGCTCATTTAATGGTTAACTTCATAGGAGTGGGCAAATCTTCTACACCGCTACGCTGAAGCGAGTGACGTCAACTTTTATTCATTACTCTTAAAAGTAAATGGAACTGTGTTCAGCTAACATATAAAATTCATTTAAGGATTTTGTTAACAAACTGGTCAGTTTTGTTTTCATGGTACTTTTATTCTATAATGCAGAATATTGATAAGTGAGTTTGTGTGAGCAGACACAAGCGGACATGTGAGGAAAGGCTCTCACACTGTTGTTACGGTAGCTGAATGAAGAGAATTCACTGGGAAATAAAGATACATTAATTTATTTTGATAATTTGTCTGGATGCAACTGTGTTGTATTAAAAGTTCTTAAACAGCAGCTGGATTATACTAGACACTAGGAAAAATGGCTTTTGTCCTTATCTGCTACTAATTCTTATGTGTAAGCCAGCTAGCATAATAAAAAATAACAGGAGAATGAATTTGGATACAGAAAGGCACCTTTTCTTCTAGAACATTTCCTCAACCTGGTGCCTTCTAGATGTTGAGGCCTACAATTCTTGTCAGCTCCAGAAAAGCAAAGCCAATCATCAGGAATGATGGGACGTGTACTCTAAAACATCTGAAGGGAACCAGGTTGAGGAAGGCTGTTCTAAAATAATATCTTAATTTCACAGATACTTTAATATTGTTTGAATGTTTATTGAAGACTACTGTAATGTGCTTTCCTTGCAACGTATACCAAGCCTAGCTCAAATAACTGCACTATAAGACAGAACCATTGTACACTCCATGTGCATGTTCATCTAATGCCTGAATAGTTGCGCCACCACACAAAACAAATACACAAAAACTTATCATAGCATTACTGTTATGCAAGAGTCAGGCTACACATTCACATTCTCAGTTGAGAGTGTTTTAGGCAAAAGTCTGACTAAGTTTTATTATTCTACCTCAGAGCAAAACTAACAAACACTAGTCCAATACTCAAATAGAACTGTGACACAGATATACCTGTTCTCTGCCAATTTCACATTTGCTCTGGGTCATAATTCAATTTGGTATTTTAAGGAGCCTTAAAATATTTGGATTCCTGGTTCTTCTCTGTTGGTTATTTTACAAATGCCTTCAGTTTTAGCTGAATTTCCATACAGTGTAAAAAATAAAAGTTGGCTATATTTAAGACAGCTGGAAACTGTGGATTACTCATACTTTTGTGGTGTGGGGGGATGGCGGAATGGAAGAGAGAACATTTTAATAACTGTGTTTTCTATACAAAAGCCAAAAGAAATACTAAAGACTGTATCAATACTTCTCTTCTAGGACATAAATGATCTTTTTTTTAATATTTAAAAAAATAGTTACGAATCAGGAGCGGGAGGCTGATCACAATACTATTTGGGGATTTATATGGGAAGCCTTCTGATATAGGAGTTTAAAAACAGAACATGGTTTTTAAAAAAACACACCTGAAAACCATACCTCCTGATCTTGGGTTGAAGTTATAAAGTACTGGGTTGAAATGCTTTTAATAAATGTATGCCAAATCCAAGAAACCAGGAGTGACTGCCATTGCCCTTCCCCAGTGATCTTGTCTGTTGCTCAAAGTAGTGTTGGTGTTGTTTTTTAAAAAGGGAGATATCCAATTGTGGCAACCTGCTCACGTGACAAGCCAGTCTGCTTGTAGGAGTCTCATTAGCAGTGTAGTGCAACAGCCAAATCCAGTGGGTGCCTGATGCTTGAGGATAACTAGCGCAACTGCCATTATTATTATAGTTGGTCACAGTTAAGCTTGTCCATTTATGCTTGTGTAATGTCAGCTCTCAAACCTCTTGCACTAAACATGCTAGATCTCAGTCACAAATCTCGGTAATCTTTCAAATTTTAAACACGACTTACAATTTTTTTTAAAAAAACTTAAAAATACGCTCGTTCCCCACTCTCTGAGAATCAAGGAAAATTTAACTTGCTTCTCTTTTTACTATCATCAACGTTTACCAAAATAAAAATCTCAGCAGCATGTTTACAATTTGGAAACCAAATTCTACTTTCAATAAACTGTTTAGGCCGGTTTTGATGCATTTTATTGGAATATGGGCACTTTCAAACGAAATGCTATTGAATGGACAATTTTGCAAAAGTATCAAAGATTTGTTCCACAGATATTGTTAAATATATCAAGGTTTTATTTTCCCTATTTAAAATATCCCTACAACCCCACAGGAAAATGTATGCTGCCTTCCAGTAGTATACATGACACTGATTATTTTACACTAGGAATACCATCAGAGAGCAAAACACATACCTAAGTTTAGCTGCTCTATCCTTGGTAAAGCTACAGAGAGTACAGCAAATTACTTTTCTAATCTCACCGAAGAGAAAAGCTCACACTTGAATAATAGTTTAATGTGTAATAGGCTTTGCTCTTCTTCAGATGCTAGCAAATCTCCATTAGCCTAATAAGATTTTTGGATGTCTTAGCATATTTACAAGTCTAACATATTACAAGTTGGCTACATAAACCAAATTAAGTGCAAGGCTTTTGAAATAAGACTTACTCTTTATATTAACAGATTGGAAACTGTGTGTGTTCAAGCATGATGTACAGTTTTTATTTTAACAAAAGGAGAAAATTATATTATTTCTTGACTCTCTCCTGAAAGTCAGACAGATACTTTCAGGTTTGTCCTTGAAAATGGCAATACTAATTTTAAATGCAACAATACAATTAATGATTTTCTGATATACTTAACTTTGATGCTAAATCTTTTCAAGGCAGAGGGCTTCCACACACGAGCAAGAAATAGCATTACAAAAAATTGTGTGTGCAAATTGCCTGCAGTGTAATAAGTATTAGTAATCAAAATGGGGTATAGCAATAATTAAACAGCTACAACTAGTGTAACGCAGACAGTACTGCTCAGAGCTGCAGTCTCAAAACAAATAGTAAGGCCAATTTGGCAGTTGGTGGGTGAAGAAGACTGTTAGAAGATAGATACTCTATTAATCAAATTGACACCCAGTTACTAAACAAACTCCATCATACGGTCTCATATTCCCCACAACACACTCATTATTTCATGTATTGTTCTAATACCTGTTTTCTAAATAGGAAACAGACACATATACTATCCTTCCAACTCAAGTTTTTGGTTTTTGCAATGAAAAACATTTTGTTCCTGCTATGAAGTCTGCTGATGCTGTTTTTAAAAATTCACATATACCTTTAATGTACTGCAAAGCTAAGAGTACATCTCTTCCATTCGTCTGTACTTCTAAATATCCGCGTAAACCAGCAAGTTTCTGCTTTTCAGGTAATCTTTTGGAGGACAAAGCAGTAAACTGCTAGAAAAACAACTAGTTGACTAAGCTATGCTTTCAAGAGTTGTGTAAGTCTGAGAAGTTAAGACTTAAAACATGTATTGTTCTGACACTATTGTCTCATTCTTTTTTCATTTATACCAGCTCCATAATGGGCCAACATTTTTCCAATTATCTTTTTTCCTGAGTTATAGTAATTGTGAGCAAACGGAATATTAGACTCTACATACACTCTGCTATAAGTCCACTTGATTTTTTAAAAATAATATTCTATAGGAAATTAGAAAACATCCAGCACTCTGAAGAGAGTGAAGCTTTAATGTCCACATAGATATTCTTATAAGTGATATAGGGGAAAATCAAACTTAGCAGAAAAAGTGTTGCTTTCCATATTCAAATATTATGTCACAGTTTTTATTAAATCTTAGAAACAAAATAGAAGTGCCACATCCTCTCTTACATTTAAATACAATATTTTACTTTCTGGTCGGTACAATTTCAAGCAAAGTGCAAAGAATACATAGAGGCCTAAAACCTTTCACCATGATTTACAGTGCTAAGTCATGCCAACTTTGGCTTGCCACTTGCAACTCCTGCTGTGGCTCTTTGGTCTTCACCTCACATATTGAACAGAAGAGGATCTGCGTTAACTTGTTACAGGTTAGTTTTTCTGCATGGACAACTGTAACAAGGTGGGATTCTACCACGATAATGCAGATGCCCATCTTCAATTAAGAGTAATGGGAAAAGCTAAGCACACATTTAGGGGGAAATATATCACTTTTCAATTGACTTTAAGGGTTTCCATTTTTGATAAGCCATTACCTGCAGAAACAAGCTAAGAGCGAAGTCTGAGAATTACTATTGTATTTTGTTTGTCAGCAACGACACTGCATCTAGTACTAGCTGGGCAAAACTTCTTACAGTTCACACTTCAATCCACATTCAGTTCCCTTTTATTAGAAGTATAATACTGCACTTTATATCACAAATGTATAAAAATATGGCAGATAGTGTCATAACAATACTTTTCTTTTAAATGAGTATATTTTTAAAAAGACAGTTATTTACCATTTATATATATCTGTGTATATATATATATTCATATATATAATTTATGTATATAATAAAATACTCCTGATGCAATCTATGTATGTTAGTTTTTATAGAAACTACTGTAGCTGTTGCACTGCATCACAATGTTTCAAACAGCTCAAAATAACTATACATTGTAACATAAGATATGATTATAACAATACAATAGTAGATCATAAATAAATATTACAAACCCTATCAAATATGGAAGTTTAAAAAACAAATAAAAACATACAACTTAACTTTAAACCCTTATTAGGGATACAAGTGTTTCACATAAACCCCACAGTTTCTTTTTTTTAAAAAATTAAATCTAGGCAGCAATTTTTTTTTTTTCATAAGGGCACAGGTCTAAAGACATTTCTTTCAACTCTCCGAAGTGCCTATACAGACGGAGGAGTGCACTAAGCTGGAATGTAAAATGAGAGAAAAGGGCAAAAAAGTTCATTCTCCCTGAAGTGCACATTCTTTTGTCATGAGATTAGATGAATGGCAATTAATAATTTCACTGCAAGATCCCTATTGGTGTGGTACCAAACAGTAGCTCCCTGTATTCAATATTGCACACCTTTTATAAAGCTGAGAATTCAGTTACCACCACGATCACCAGCACTGCCATGCCCCCTGATAAAATCCCTGCAATAGCATTTCCTGGAGTATTATTACAAAGCTGTCTCTTTCAAATCATTCAAGTTTGGCATTCGGGATCTATTTGTTCGGTTGTAAGTATGACCATTTTGCCCACTCTTAGAAGGCATCTGATCAGAGTATGAAGTCCCATCATTGGCACTCCTGTTCACTGGGGAAACATGCCAACTGGGTTCCATCTGGCCCGGGATCTGGAGTGTGGTTCTGCCTTTTGACTGGGACTCCTGCCGTAGGTTGCTGCTGCTACTGGAGGAAACTTGACTTATGGGATGAATTCGAACTTCAGAAAAAGATGTTTTAGTTGGCTGACTTGGTAAGGGCTGGAATCGAGGTTCAGAAGGAATTGAATGGTTTGAGGATGAAGAAAGGTGCAACAACTTGCGGAGGGATTTTAAAGGCTGGCTCTAAAGAAAAAGAAGAAAACTTCATGGGCCTTGTTATTTTTATTTATTTGTACTCCCTTTTCTGCTTATAAACACCGAAAACAGCCTTTGTTCAATAATGCTTTGAGCTGTAAGTATATTATTTACAATATATTTCTTTTTCCATCCACTTTCCGCTTTTCACTCAAGAAAGTATAGTCTAGAAATACAGTGCCCCAGTATGTTTTTATAATATTCTATAGTTTTAAACACTATTGCATTTTCAGCATCTGCGTGCAGAATGAACATTTCTCTACTTGAAGATTCTGTGCTCAAATTTTGATATAAATGATAAACATTATTCTTCACTCTTCCACCAGGTTTGATGATTTCTTATACAGTGGTATCTCTCGGAAGCTGAACATTCTGGTTTTTGAATGCTGGAAACCCAGAAGTAAATGCTTCTGTTTTCAAACGCGTCTTAGAAGTCGAACGGCTTCCATTGCATTTTTTTCAATTTTCTCCACTGCAATTGCAGACCGCCCTTTGCGCCTCGGTTTTTGAATGTTTCGGAAGCCGAACAGTCTTCCAGAACAGATTATGTTTGAAAACCAAAGTACCACTTTATTATTGTTAGTTTTAGCTGCCTTCTAATAGATGCAACAGCTTCATATAGATTTTATTCAATTAATTAAAAAATACCCAAATAACAGTTGAAATAAGTTTATAAATAATGAAACTTTTAAAAACAGCTGCTAAGACTCAAGATATTTCCAATGTAAGATCCCTGAACATCCATCTGTCTTGAATGACTAATTTCCACAAGACATTTCTAAATTATGTACTTCAATCTAGTACAACATATGGGATAATACCATAACAGCCATGCTCTGCACTTCTCAGAAGCTATGGCTTCCCAGTACCTCCAGTTCTCCATATGAGTTAAGGGGGTGTGCTTTTAGCCTCCTCTCCTGAGGTCATTTTAGCATTGCTGGACAGGATGGAATGCAGATGGCAAATCAATTTACATCTAGCTGAAGGGAGTTCACCTGTGTTTTGAGAGTTCATCACCTCACATTTGAAACTGAAACCTCTCCTGTACTCTTTCTTATCTATCCTTATGAGATTTCTGACTCCTCCTGGCCATGAGTCTGAGATAAGAAGTTCAGAAACTTTTGTTGCTGGTGTAACACAATGTGGCAAACAGGAAATACGGTTCATTTCAAACAAGGCAATTTTAAACCACGGTTTCTGAAGCTGGCTTGTTGAAACTAACCACAGCTAGTGTTAACCACAATTCCAAGCTTGGATCACACGACAAACTGGCTAACTAAAGCAGAAGTGAAAGGATCTGATTGAATCTTACTGGCCATGTAGGAGGAAGAAAGGGGGAGCACTCAGTGTGGATCGTGCACATTGCACACCATAGTTTAGAGTGACATGTGAATGTGGCCAATAGCTCACTAGCAGTTATAGGATCTGGCAAATAATTCACCTATGCTTCAGGAGTGAAATGAAGCAGAAGTTTACGGCTATTCTTATATTTTACCGCGGAATGTAAAGGACATCAAATCATCCAAAAAAGTATGCCACTAATTGGCAAACGGAGTAGTTATTAAAGAAGCCAGGTCAGAACCTTGGGGAACTAATTCTCATTTGAAGCTGCCAATGTCATCAGTAAAGAACAGGGGTGGAGACAGTACCTGTCCACTACTGCTGAGTAGCAGCAAAAGGGGTAGAGGTAGCCATGATATGGCAGTCCAGGCAGGCTTTCCATGAAGCCTGCTAATGTCAGCACCCTGCACAAGGAACTGCTGATCATTCATGTGATCATGTGTCCTGTCTCCGTCTCAGCTGCTACCTTACACCTTTTTCTAGTATGAACATGTGGCCAGCAACTCGCTTAGCTGCTGTTGAGCAGCTATGGCCAAGTACTGGTTGCCTCTACCATAGGCCAAATCAACCTTTACTGATCAACCTAAGAGGGGACCCTGCTGGTCATACTGTGGCCAGCATATTGCCATCTGGAAACCTCTCAGAAAAGGCCTTTTCACCTGCAGCACCAACCCTCTGGGATACTCTCCCAAAAATGATTTGGGAAGCACCATCAGTTGCATGTTTCAAATGTCTCCTAAAAATTCAGTTCTTTAACCAGGCCTGTTTCAAGGTTTGAAAGTGTTATCTTTCCTACATTGCTGACTTGCTTTAAACTATGGATTTCCCCCCAATTCTGATCACAGAATGTATTCTATTGTGCTTTGGGGTATTTGCCAATAATGTAAAGTAACATACAGTAGTACCTCAGAAGTCGAATGGAATCCATTCTGGAAGTCCGTTCGACTTCCAAAACATTTGGAAACCAAGGCGCAGCTTCCGATTAGCTGCAGCAAGCTCCTGCAGCCAATCAGAAGCCACGTTGGACGTTCGGGTTCCAAAGAATGTTTGCAAACTGGAACACTCACTTCTGGGTTTGCAGTGTTCGGGAGCAAAAACGTTCAGCTCCCAAGGTGTTCGGGATCCAAGGTACAACTGTATACAGTTTCTAATTACAACAACAATGAAATACTGCCCCCTGTCCAACACATTGCTGGTCACGGTGGAATTAAAGCAAAAATGGTCCTCTGGGTTGTGAGACTGGCAACCGTAACTATTCTAGGCTGATTCTGGAGAGAAGAAGGAAAGACAGTGACATCAAAACACAAGGCAGCTTTATCTTCTCCCTTCAGCATTTCTCTGGTTCTTTCATCCGCCCCATCCTGCTTTTTGGCATACCTAGATACTTGCTTGAAAGAGAGAGTAGGGCTGGACTAAAAACCCAGAGAAAAGTGGGTTAGAGAAGCAGTAGATTCAGTCAGCATGTACTGTACTCAGTGGATGGACCAACGACCTGAATGCAGTATAAGCTTCATATGATCCTATGATATAAAGGTATATACTGGTACTTTGGGTTGCAACTTAGCAGACCTACCTACTATTCCCCTGACCTTAAACTGGAATGAAGCAATAATTTCACTTACATGACTTTGGATTTCTGTCATCTTATCAGAATGCCAATCCTTCTGCCTGCTGCCAGGGTGATTAGATGAGTGCATAGCTTTCTGTAATGCCAAAAGATCCTGACTATCACTCCCAGGCATCTGCAACACAGAAAGATTTTGGGGGCTGATCAATTCCTAAGCAGTAGATGTTCCAAACTGCTTCCCTTCTCCCAGCTTCCCAGATCAAAGCAATGCAGGTGAAGCCTGTTATTGCAATGCCCCTTTAATATGTCCATATTAATAATCACATTTGTAGATGCCATGCAGATTTGTTACAACCTCCACCTTTAAGGCATTCACATGCTGTTAGTGAAATCACTGTAAGAGAGAAAGAGCAGTTAAATAAGTGCATTGTTGTGTTTCATCCTCATTTCCACAGCATTCCATACTGCTCTTAAGATCATGAGCCACCTCCACAAAAGACAAAAACAAAACATGTTTTCTTTCTTCTAAAGAAAAAAGATCAATATATAAATTGAGAGTTATCAGGCTGTTAGTTGTACATTATTTGTGCAAGGAAATAATTTATTCCCCACCAAGTAAAATGAAGTTTTTAATCACACAGGTTGCTAAGTAGTGCTACACTAGTTGCAAGGGGAAATGATGGCTGAACCCATCACCAGGATGGTTTGAGTATTCATAGAATTATTGGGGAGGGACGAGAAATTATTGGCTAGATAGTGTTTTCTCAGCAACTAAATCTTAGGATTAAAAACTTGTTAAGACATTAAATGTAGGGAGCTTAGCCTTTATTCTGCCAATCAAAACAACAAGGCGGCTAATTACCACAAAACCTAAGGAAATTAAAGCTATTAAAAACAGACCAATATAGAGTTCTGTGGCAAATCAAGTTAATAAGAGGTTGCTTCATTTTTCAAAGGAAGTTTCTTTTTGCTTAAGCCGAAGGAAAGAAATGGCAAACCATGTAAACAAGACTCAACTAAATAATATAAAGAAAGGATAATTTGAACATTAGTACCATGTGACTGATTTCAGATGATGTTGCATTTAATGGTTTGCTACAAACATCTATTCCTAATTTTTCAAAATATAACCATGCCACACTTCTTGGAAGTTTTGAAAACTTAAAAAATCTTTGAATTTGTGGAACTGGCTCAAGATGCTTAGCTTGCATGAAGAGACTTGTGATCCCATGGGAAAAATACATGCTGTTGTGGTCAGTAAAATAAATTTACTGAAGTATTTGTTTGTTTTTTTAATTCAGTGCTACCATTTTTAAAAGTCAATACCATAGGTAGAGTGACTACAGGAATCTTTTTCAAAGAAGAGCTATGCTTTAAGTGATTCTTTGTACTAAAAAGTGGAAAGAGTGATTTCTTGATGCTTGGATTCTCCGCCTTGGTGGATTCTGTCTGCAATATAAGATAAAAGACTAATTGCATAAATAACAGTATAATTCAGGAGAGCTACCCATGTCTCTTATCTGCACATATATGAACACTTTAATAAGTTAGCCATTTCTTATGCCAAATCTGCTGTTATATAATTGTGGCAAGATAAGATTAATTGCTCTGCTGAATAAAAAAATGTCTATGGAAGAAACACACCTGCCCACTTAACACATTTCAAGAATGTGTCTGTCAAGAATGCATGTATTTTATGTTCAGAATGAATTGATTTAACCAGGCTTTTGAATTTAGCATATGAACTCTTAGCAGAATCATGATAGCTGATTTTGCATGTAGTAAGGTGCATAAAATGTTTATCAGTTTACTTACACAATGTAGGGTTTTATATCATTATTGTTTAAGATCATTATATCCAGATGCAGCAAGTGGTAAGAGAAATTAGAAAAGGGTTTACTTGCATGCAAAGTAGCAACTGACTCCTAGTATGCACTTAACTAAAGTTATAGCTAGTTTCATTTTATTAACTAAACTAATTATCAAACAATAAGAGAAATACACCCTTCAATGAAAATGCATGTCCAAGGCTGCAATCCTAATTCCTAGGCTATAAACCTCACTGAGCACAGTGAATTTAATCTGAAGTACATATGTATAGGAGTTGTGCTCTGCATATGCCTTGTAGCTGACATATGTATTTCAGAAGGAATTATATGGGAGAAATAAATTATCTGCAGGCTATGAAAAACTTAGGTGCACTACAGTGTTATGTGCCAATTCTTAATCACAGGCCAGCAGTTGCAAATAAAACTGCTCGGAAAAAATAGCTTTGCTACTTAGCATCCTGAAATCTTCTTTTCATAGTAGTAGGGAGGATCCAAAGTGACTGCAATAGAGGTGATTGTTGTTGTTTTGTTATTCTTTTATTTTTTTCTGCAAATATGTATTCCATACTATAATTCCCCCTTCTCACAGTGTCCAACATGCTCTTTCCCTAATTTTGCACTCACAATTATCCTGTGTAGTAGGTAAGACTGGATATTTAACCTGAGTTCTCCCTAGTGCTATTCCAACATATTTTAACAACTAAGCCACTCTCTTTGCCTCTGTTTCAGAAAGAAACCAGTGAGAAATGTTCTTATGGCAAAGCATTGTGCTAGCTTGAAATAGGCAAATAAAGCTAGCACAAAATATTTTCACCACTGAATATGAAGCAGTTGCGGCAATTATGCTGACGTCCTATAGCTGTTGATTTACACCAGTTTCTATGTACAGCTATGTGGTCTTTATTACTGTACAATAATTCATTACAATAACCAGGCACACTGATTTGTAGCTGGCTCCATAATGGCCAAAATTTTACAGATTGGCACACAAAAAGCCCCAGATCCAATGCACAGCATATTGCTTATTTTCTCATTTCTGTGCCATATGACAGCTTTGCACACTGATCTAGCCATGGTGAACAGAAGCTTTGATCTAAACTGTCTCACAGACCAGTATCTTGGGTTGAGTCACAATGTCTTAGCAGATTATGATCCTTTACTGAAACAATAGGTAAAGTTTTGCCAATATCTAACTATAGATATTTCCATTATGTTAGATACATGCAACAGAAGCTAAATTCTCCTTTCAACTCATTTTTAGCCCACATCAGCAATTTCCAAGGAAACATTTCCCAGCTTTAATTTTGTCTAACTGCACTACATTATGGGTTTGTATCCATGCAATAATACTTGCTCACAAGAACAAAGGTGGGTTGGCAGAAAATGGGGGAAATGGGCATGAGACTGCAGAGTTTAACGAAAGTGGTTAAATGTGAGAATGCAGATATCACAAGACCAGATAATGCTCATTCACATGAGTGTGACTTGTAGCATGCTCACCCAAAACATGGCAATTATGAAGCCATATTAAACATGTTATCCATTTTATCCAGACTTAAATTGGTATACAGTAACAGTTAGAAAAAAGAAATCCAATGGAATTTCAACCAAACTATGTTCAAAGTTGTGTTTCCAAATGAGAATTCAGCATGCTAAATACAATAATCATTTAAGATATCAGCTATATTGCTGCAGGTATTACAATACTATAAACACTAATGCCACTTATTTCTATGTAAATTAAATACCATTTACCAGAGAATATGAATTCTAACCACATGCTTTCACTGCACTCATTATTTGATATTAAAACAGCATATGCATGCATGCAGATGCATCACCCATTCTCATACAAAAATATGCTTTTTAATTAGTTAATTCCTAATACATTACCCTGTAAAATTTATGCAATAAATTTTTTCCGGGTCTAGCCTGCCTCATTCCAATTCTAGTTTAGCTATTTTATTGCTCAACTGTTTGCATAAATGCCTTTCTTTGTAAATTAATTGGAGATCTCTAAAAATCAAGACGCATACAATGCTAAATACAACATTTTTAAAAATGCAGAAATCCCCCTTTTAAGCTACCTTCATTATATCTGCTGAAAGAATTTATTGTTCGAACAATACTGCACTAACTGGTATTTACTGTTTTTATCAAATGCATTTTAATCTGTTCAGCATATCATCATGATCTGGGATACTATTATGGTGTATTGATCATGAATAAGACTGAAGGTTATGCATGTGGGTATGATAAGACCAATCATTCCCCTCGTCTCCACACCAACCAGCCAGAACAGAGAGCATATTTAGAAGCATCTCCCAAGCTATGAAACTGGTTATTCAGAGCAAGCGCAAGCCCATCCAGAACACTTTGTACTTCTACTCATGGATCAGTTTGTCTATTGACCAGCAGTACTTCTGCCTTGTCTGGATGAAGACTCAGCTTGTTAGCATTCTTTGTTTAGTCTTGCCATACTATAGACTTCAAAAGAAAATATTTCCACGGAAGTAATCCTTCAGATACTTTTGTTTTCAGATATGAATAATTATATAGCTGACAACTGTGAAACTAGTTTCCTGAGCCCAAGCGGGGGTGGCTTTAGGTATTTTTCTTGAATTACAGCACTCTACTTCCCTTGCCCACATAGTAAATTGCTTTTGATATTATGAGCTTCAAAAGCAAGTTGTGATCATCTTGGAGTCAACTCTCTAAAGTGAGAAATTCTGCTGGTCAGCATAAACCAATTATGTAAGTCTAAGTAGCTCTACAGATTTCAGCCTAAAATGTTTATATGCAGATAAGTGTAAACATCTGAAAAGGAAAACTGATGCTTGATAAAACTATGACATAAAAACAAACTTTTTAAAAATAGGAAACTGAAATTACTTACAGATTGAGATTTCTTTTTCTTCTTCTTTATCGCCCTGAAAAACCCTTGCTTTTCTTTTTCCTTTAGTTGCTCAGAATGAGCATTTTCAGGACTTTTCCTTAACACAGAGGGGAAAAACAAACAAACAGAAAGCCAACTTTAGCAAAAAAAATTTTTTTTTTTACATTGGATTATCTTACGGAGTCATCATTTTCACAGGAATGGGTATGAAGAATCTCCTCAGGCCTCAAAAGTCCTAAAACATATAGGGCTGCACCTGAATTCTAATCTAGATTTTCATGATAGAAAATAAGCAGTGCAAAAAGGAAAGCAAATTTTGGGGGCCAGAGGTGAGGAGTAAGACTTACCCAAACCCACAATGAGTTCTGGCAGGTGTTCCCAGTGCATTTGCTAAGGAACTCTAGGCACATGTACGGGCTGACGACATTAGCTCAGACCACTGTTCAGGGGTTTTGTGTAACCTACATGTGCTACCAATAATTTTTTTGTGTTGACTGATTATATTAACATTACTTTGCCTAGAGGCCTAATTCAGAAAAACACTTGAACGTTTCACTTAAAAGATTTAGTTTTGGAAACTAAATAATTCACCATGAGTCTGACTTAAACATGTTAATAATATAGGAATACCAATGAAATGCGCAGCAATAAAAGGTTCAAGAAAATAGAAATTGTTAAGTGAACACCCTTTCCCATCACCTGTTCTGTTTTAAAACATCCCTGAAACACACCAACTTACCAGGGATCAAAAGCAGTTTGTCTCTTTGAGTGGCTTGTTACACTACTACTTTCTGCTGGTAGCGAAGGTATTCTGTTTGAGGCACTATTATCTAGGAATGTTCCCTCTGGGCGTGGAGATGGGACTGTAATTGAAAATAAATAAATACAAAGCTGCCATATATCCATCATCATCTGAATCTCACCAGCTTTTGTCTCTATTTACCATGCTGATTATTTACAAAGCATGACATCCTATCAGAATTGAGAAATGAATGAAAAGACACTAGGTTTTAGCATGTGGAAAACATAACCGGCTTATTCAATTTGCTCCTGTAAGTCGGATGGCAAATTGGGGGATAGCAGCCGAAACCTCTTTAGGAAATACGGCTGAAAACTTTCAAGAGAAGTTTACTTCTGAAAGAAGCATTTCAGCTATGAAATAAAACTAGTAACAAACACGAAGGGCTTAATAATAAGAAATGTATAAGCATGCATAAGCAACATAGATTGTATTTAAATGAGTATGAACAAAACATAGAACTAATATAGCAGCACGTAAATGCCATTTATGGATTTGTGTATTTTTACAACCCTGAAGTTACATTTTTAAAAGTTGGTGATATTTATTCCTTTAATTTTAACAAATGAATACAATTCAAGCAAAACAACAATGCAAAAGACAATGAGAAACTTACAATGAGGACAGGGAGGACACATCAGTAGAGAGAAGAGAAAGAAGAAAAGAGGGTAGGAAACAAAAGACAAAAAGAGTTGAAAGGTAGGTAAATCAAAAACTAATGGAAGTACTTGAGCTTTAGTACTGAAACAAATCCATACTTCTGCCAAATAAAATTTGTATGAGACTTTTCTTCCATAAAGTAAGTTTGTCCTTACACACTGACCTCCCTCTGCCCACTGCTCAACAAAAAGAACGGAGGGATTTCAAGTGTGTTAAGTATCAACCTCTTTGCCACCAAAGAATCTCACTGAACCAATAAAATGTGACTTTGTACAAAGTGCACATAAAGATGGAGCAGAACCGAAAGAAAAAGGCTAAAGAAAAATGACTACAACATTTCACTTCATGTAGGGACGCTCCAACACATATGCACAAAGCTCGCATTTGAGCAGACAGGTTAGGAGGCCAGTGTGAACGGGCAGAATTTTCTGTTGAATCAACAAGATCTGAGGCCTCTGACTGAATTCAGAATCACCTTCTACTGTAGAGCATAGGTTCTTACATGGGCAACTGACAGCAATTTATCTGTAATAATGTTAAGCACCAACAGTTGGACAAAGTATTCAATTCAAATACTCAGCATAATAGAAGAGAGAATGTGGTTCCAAAGGACTACAGGCTTCTAGACTAAATCTGAAGGCACTGTAAATCTTTTTGAGTCACTTTTGTGAGAAACGTAACTAATAAATTATGATGTTGATGACATTGCTATATTGCCACAAAAAGCAAACTAAACTTCTCAAGTTGAAGAAATTAAAACCATTTTCTCCAATATCCCAATAATTTAGTAGATTCGTTTGTCTAACCAGTCCCTTAATTACACTATTTTAACTCTAATAAGAATCTTCAGATTCTTGCAGAGTGTCAATTCCTGGATGATTATTAATGTGTGACCGTGCTGTGTGTGATTGTTGGCAATTTAGAAAAGTTAAGATGGACATGCCTGTAATTTCCAGGCCTATATTACTTAGGCACTTCAGTCTTGATATTCAACATTTAATATCACACTCTTAGAAAGTATTACAATACTGACACAGGATAGGGAGAATAAAGCCCCTCAGTATCAAAGGGTAGCAACAGTTTTTGAAAAAAGTCATTTTGTTCCTCCAAGCTAGCTTGCTTCAATAAACCATAACTAAGATTAACTGCATAATGGGTAAACTGTGGTTAACTTAAAATGGAAGTGAAACCTTCCAGTCTCCTCCTTGCAGCCACACTGGGGAAGAAACAGCATGCATGTGTTAGGCTTACATAGGCTCCTTTCTGTAATTATAAACCAACATTTATGGTTTTGGACAAATACTACCTATGAGTTTGAATGGTCAAATTATTTACATCCAAACATAACCTGTCAGAGGTGCTCATATGTCTATGTTTAGAGTAATTTTTAAAAATCTGGATAAACTGAAGTCGTACACTACCAAGTGACAGAGATATACAAGTGACAGAGAAAAAGGAGAGATAGGGTGCAACCTTTATATCCAATACCAAATGAACAGGACCCAAATATATTCAATAGGTTACAAGCAGGCGTAAACTAAATACTGAGATGGAAAACCAAAGAGAATTCAGAGGACTACTTTAAATTTAAGCTTAAAGCCATTTCATTTCATAAATACTGCACACATATACATATATCCCATTAGTAAAATATTTCAAATTTAAGTATATATTTGAAAGGAATAGAAAGTTTGGTATTTTAAAATACCACTAATTTCAATGGGACAGGCTGACCTTTCCCTCCAAAGACAATGGGATTCCAGCATTCAGAAATGTGGATGAATCACACCAATTATTTCTTGTAGCTGCAGTCATGTCTGAAAAGAAGTTCATCTGTCCAGAGCCTAGACTAAGGCCCAATTCATAGGAGATGTGGTAATCATACATACTCTTCCCTCCTTCACACATGAAAGTAGAAGTTAGCAGTTTCCTTTTCTAATTTGCTGCAAGCCACAGTTTGCAATTTTATCTAAATGTGAAAAACTGCGCGTAATGGCAAACCAAGATATGTTGGTATTTCTGAATGTCGCAAGTAAGTTAATACAAAAAACCTCTGTTGTATTATTTCTAAGCTACTCTCTCAAAAAGGTGCAACACAAAAAGCTATAACCAAGGCTGCAGTCCTATGCACATGTTATGAGTCTGCATGCTGAACACAATAGTACTTATTTCTGAGTAAACATGCTTAGGTTCGGTCTGTAAGACTACTTAACTGAACACAAGTCTAAAGGTGCAGCCAAACCCTGCATATCTACCCACAAGTAGAAGCAAAAGTTGTAGAAGAAGGAAAGGAACCTCTACTAAAACAAAAGGATTTTCATCTTTAAGTCTTGCCTAGCTTTCCAAGGACAGAAGGCTCCTCCCACCTGTCCTGGGTTTGTCTGCCTGGGGAAAGAGTGAAATCAGTTCCCAAGTTAAATAGGTAGTATCTTTTATCTGAACAATGGAAGAAATATTGATCAAATTCCATGAGATAAAAAATACCTCTGTAAAAGCTACCAACTCTCCTAGGTACAGGATCATTATACAGAAGTCTATTTTCTTTTGTGGATGCTCCATCATCTGTGTGCTGATCATGATATGCTCCACCCTAAATAAAAGAACAATCAGTTTGTTAAGCCAAAGAGCTCTGTTCTCCATTGGTATGTAGCAGGACAAGAAGGAATCTGCCCATAACCTCACTCTACATTTATGAGTATTTGTTAAAATGAAACTTGCCTCCACACAATAAACAAAAGGATTATGTTAAATGATATTTGTTCCAAAGCTGTATGTTAAGAACTGTAAAGTGACTACATTTTATTTTTTCATGAATTAAAAAGGGCACAGCACCCACCCTAGAGCTCTTGCAATCAAATCTGGACAGTCCGGTGACAACAATGAAAGAAAAACACAATTACTTATTACTAAATCCACCCCATCCTGGAGGCTCAGTAACAGAGGAATACCGTATCTAAAATATGCCCCCATATTGTCTTAAAAACAGCCTGAACTAGAACAAATATTAACGCCTCCACAAATTCCACTAATAAGTGAGAGAAAAGGCTGGTTAAAAGTTGAAAAACAGATGATGACAATGACAACAACTGCCATACAGTTTGCTACAGTGACCATCATATATTCTCTACAGGCAACAACCGTTCTGTACAGGGGTTCTGTTCCTGGTCCCTGTGCGCATCAGCGGAGCATGTGTAAGCCCGTTCTGCCCTCTTTTCCAGCCATTTTGGGGGTCAATGTGATGCCCGCGTGCACAGTCAATTAGACGTGCCTAAAACAGTCGTTGCCTGTATTCACAACAATGCCTGTTTATAGTTCTAGTATTATTTTATCGGAGCACCTGAATACTGAAGCCAATTCACATTTACTGGCTGTCTTTACCAGTTAAAAGTGCAATTGCATAGAACTGTACATATTTTGAAAAACTACTTAAAATTCCAGGAGTCTGATACTGTTTGCACTCCTAACCCACAGTTTCTACCCACTGAAGTAGATGCGTTTCTTAAACATACAAAGACTGGTCTAATTAACCAAGTTGAAGGATCTGAATGGTTTGCACCCCTCTGAATGGTTTGTAGTTGCAACCTGCGCTGTTTTGCCTAGAAATGTGTCCTGAAAACCGCAGCACATAAAAACTGACACAATTAGTGTGCCCTATGTAAATCAGACACCTTCAAAGTCCCCCCCCCACTCAAAAACTATCACAAGGTACATGGCTAAAACAAATGCAAAGGCAAACTCAGCCCTCCAGATGTTTTGGGACTACAACTCCCATCATCCCTGACCACTGGTCCTGTTAGCTAGGGATGATGGGAGTTGTAGTCCCAAAACATCCGGATGGCTGAGTTTGGCTATGCCTGCTTACCGCATAAAATTACAGATTTAAGATTTTGTTTTAGGAGTGCTTCCTCTAGCTAGACCAATTTTTCCAAAACATTAGAAAACCTCCCACTGCTCCCATCATCTAGACTCCTTCGCTTCAACTTCCTTCCTGTTTTCTCCTCTTTCTGCTACCTCTCCAGCATATTGCAACTCCCAGACCAATGACTATGTAAGAGCATCCCTGCTAGTTAATACCAAGGTATCAGCTAGTGAACCTGTTTCCAAGTGCTCTTCCCTGCTGTTTGTCTCTCATTTTTAAAAACCTGTGGAAGTTCTATCCTTTCTTTAAGTACAAGTGCCAATGGCAGGAGTGAGGAACAGAACCTGGCCTGTAAGTAGAACCCTCAGCTCCCCTAGCCCATTGGCTACTTTGACCTGTCAGTCGCCTGATGTCACCATGACATCAAGTGACTAAACCTTAATGTAAAGAATCAAGAGCACACCCAATCATTTCATTTCTTCCTTTGCAGGCACAGCTTGGAAGATCTTTTGCATCCCTGGCTTCAAGTGGAGCTCTTCCCAGTCAGTTTGTATACGGCAAAAAAAATTAAAGGCTGCTGTCTTGCTTGCAGATGTACAATGAGTGCACTAACTTTCCTGAATGTTCCTTTGGAGTTGTGGCCACACCTGAAGGCCAAATTAGGACCCTTGTTGGGCCATAGGTTCCCCATGCCTGACATATGGCATGTTTTCATGGGCTGTTTTAACCTATGCTAGGTGTAGCCTAGTTGTTTGCTCTTCAAAGGAAAGGTGAAGAAATACCAATAATTTATTTGAATTTCTCCTATCTAAAATCTGCCTGTACTTATCCAAAGATCAACTACTGCTCAAAACTATTATTTTAAAAAATGTATTCAAAAATCTGGGTAAAACTATTATCAACACAAAGTAATAGCCTTATGACACATGCAACATTCAGGATTGTGAAGGCTACGGAGAACAATGCACATCACCTTGAGCTCCTTCGAAGAAGGCTGGGATATAAATGTAATAAATAATTTCAAGCATTTAACAGGTTTCACCTATTTTTATAATAAAGTAAAAGTTCTAAATGGATATCAAAGTGGGTGTTCCCAGGGTAGGGTAAAAGTAATTCCTACATTTAACAATTTAGTTATATGCTCACTCATGACAGACATACAAAATGGGGAAGAGGAGTCTCTCCAACACTCAAAATTCAAACTAACCCTACTGGTGTCTTCTGTACAGTCTTCACGGGAGGAGCCAACAGATCTTGTGAGTGACTTATGCTGCACCTGTGGAGATAATAGTTGCAGGCTGTTTGCTCTGGCTGCCATCCCTTGCCCTACGCTTAAGCCACCCTCTGAGCCCTTGGTCCTCACTCTGTCCCGGCTCACATACATAGAATGTCTATGAGGGCGCTGCTGTGAAGAAAAGGGACTTGTATAACCTAAACCGTAAGAAAAAGATTCATGGGGAGCAGATAAAGAGTGTGAATGGCTTCCATCCATGTGATCTGGCAATTTCAGCTCCTCCATAGTTTTGGAATGTCTTGTAGATGGTCTTCGCGATTCAAGCGTACCGTCACTTCTGTTATTTCTTGCAGAAGGACTCAGCAAAGTCCTGTTGTCAGCATGGCGTGGAGGTGTTGGTGTGGTAGGAGAGTTCAAGTCCAAGCAGCTGGATGGAAAATACCTACTGTTGTTTGGTTCTGCAACTTGAACCCTGGCCTCGGAAAGATTACCCACAGATTTGGAATCTGTCAGAGCCCCATGACTTTTTGACTTTGTTCGATATGAGGGACTCTTTGAAGACTGAGGAATAGTATCAATGTAACTGTGACGGCTATGCCTTTCGCCTGGTTGCAGCGTGCCAGTTTTGCTCTGAGAACTCTCCATAAATGAGTGACGGTTGTGCTGAGATCTGGAATTTGACTTCAAGTATTTTGTACCTGGACCATCAGATGCTTTAGGATCCGAATTAAAATCAAATTCAGTTTTTGTCTTTGCTTCTTTTGGACTGAGGAGGTGTGGGATGTTGTTATTAGCTAGATCCTTGCTTCCAGATCCAGGAGCGTTAGTTGGCTTTTTTGAAAGCATTGGGCTATGTGAAGCAACAGGCATATTTCCATTTAGAAAGCTTTCATTTGATGGAAGAACTTCTTCTCTCTGCAATCCAACTCCTATATTCTGTATATCTTTGCTGTTTGATCTGTGATGAGACTGTACAGCAGTACTTTTGCTAGCTTGAGTTCTATATTATAAAACACAGAGAAAACACATGTTAATTTCTACCTTTAAAAACCAGTTGCTTCAGTAAACTTGGTGTTTAAGATTTGCTTACATACAGCATGGACTGGAGACTGTTGGCACTGAGGTGGCTAACTTGTTTGTTCCAAGTGCCTAGTAAGTTAGAACAATTAAAGGAGAACCCACAAGATCAAGTTTTTAAAAGTAAAAGATGCACAGAATCAAAATGAACAAAGAAGCAATGAAGAGTACTTTGTTCACTCCTGATATGATTCAGGTATAGGAGGCTCAAAGACACAAATGGAACAGCAACTGTCATCAACACAGAAGGTACTCTTCACATGAGTCACTGTGCCCAGTTAACAGGCAACAGTTTCCATTAAGTCCAGTGGACATGTGAATTGCTAGGGCATCAATATCCCAATATCCTGGTGGCAGAGATGGTTTGCACTTACCTGTTGGATAAGGTGTTACTATCTCCATGGTAAGGTTTTCTTTTAGTTGACCGTGAAGGTGAACGATCCAAGAGCCTCTGAGTTTGAAATGCTGGGTGGTTCAGACACTGCTCTGTTAAGTATCTGTCAGCTGGATCCAGTTTCAGTAAGTTCTTTTGAACAGAAATTTGGGTTTAAGTAATAAAGCTGAGTTGTATACCATTTGGAAGCAAAAAGTATTTGGCCAATTAATATTTAAACACTGCAATTTCTAAGAAGTATTTTGTGCAACTGAAAACTATTTTAAACTATTTGCCTATTTTTCCTCTATCTTGTATTTAAAACATTGATTCTAAGTGCTATAACTATTGTGAAAAACTCATGCTACAAACTGATGTAGATGTATTCAGCATGAATAACCCTGGGGCCCAGTAGCCACTGGAACCTATAACATTTGGGCCTGATAACAAGCAGTTGGGTTGCTGTAGAAGGTAGGAAATATATTTTATTTTCTATCTGGCTCCTAAAAAACTTAAGTTTCACAAAATCATTTTGTTCCTCTGGTTATTCATTTATTTTAATAAGCTGGAGAAGGCACTTACTGAAATAAACACCATTATCTCTATTGCTAACGTGTTAACACATTATTTATATTAATGTGGACTAAATTCAGTTTTTTGTATCACCTGAAAAGAGGTCTACATTGTGGTAAATAGTAGAATTACATGGCTTTCACAGACAAAAATAATGAATGAAAAATACAATTTTCTATTTTTTAAAAATAGAGTAATACTCAACAAAAGGCATAATTCCCCTGAAGTATCCCTGGTACCGTTTCAAATATTTGAAGCTGATTTGAAAAAGAAATCAGCATCACGCAGATTTACTATTAACATCAGAACAGCAGTGGAACATAGAAACAATAATACATAGAATGGCAATATTCTTACCTTCATAAGGTCAAGTAAAACACCACTTAAGATTCCTAAATATCTCCTTTCTAAAGACTGTGGATGGTTAACTGCAGGAAACTGTATAAAAATAATTTCCATACATTAGGAAGGCACATTTACAAAAGTCATCAAAACACTGTTTGTGGTATATGCTGCCTAAAATACCTGGGACAACATACAATAGCATAGATAGCTTAAATACAGATTGGCCTCTTGAAATAATCACACACATTAGAAAAACACAAAGATAATCACCTTATTAAGGTCATACTAAATGCACTCTTATGTTTTGAAAAAGATTAATAGCACTTGTGCAGTCAGGGAGGAATAGAAAAGGGAGTAAGTCAGACCAGGACTATTGTGCTGGAGGGGAAGGAAAAGATGGGTTAATGCCCCTATTTTTTCCAATTAAAATTCCCCCAAAACTACAAAAGTGTGAAAAAATATACAGGTACCATAAGACTGCCTCCACGCTCCCCCCCCCCCCGCCCCGAGAAGCAACCGCTACAGGTTCCACCCAAGCTGCAATTAACATAAACAATATTGAGAAATGCAGGCCATGAACTCCCATGCCGTGCCTTGGTGCCCTCCTAAAATACAGATTTCCAAAGACGTAATTATGAGAGACTGGTAATTATTAAAGAAAGGTCTAAACTAATGAAATTAGAATTAGTTTCAAAGTATCCTTTATCTGCAGATGTGTTTAATTAAATGTGAATAACTGAAATACAGATGTGAAAAGGAAACTTCCACATATATGCCAAGGGCCGGATGATGTTTTTCAGTTCAAGCATAGCATAGTTGAATAGTCATGTCCACTTGCTGTTAGAACTAAGCACAAAAGAGCTTGCTATACTTCCTTGCCAGCACTAGGTTGCAGCAATTTGACAGCACTTCAGATAGTGTAGGAAGGCTAATGGCATCATCACGTCACACAGTGAACTGAAAAGGGGTTCTGTGTAACACTCTTGTGCTGCAGAGGCACTGCGGCAGTTCTAGGGCAGCGAAATTTAGCACCAGATCATCTGGCCATGCTTTAAAGCTTCTGCAAAGTGTAGTGTAGTGTAGTGTAGTGTAGCTCTTGAAAAATCACACAGTAGCTACGTAGTCAACTACAAAATGCTATAAAATGCAGTTTGGACATAGGTAAAATATTCCACTAAAGGTTGTAAAGTTTCAGGGCACTATTTGCAGTTTTAATTTGTTGTTGTTGTTGTTGTTGTTAAGAACTGAACAAAGACAATGGTAAGTTAACAAATGGTAACAAATGTCAATGGTAAGTTTCCACGTGTACTTTGCTTTCTATATAATATTTTTGTAAGAAAAAAGTCATCATGCCGCAAGTTTGTGTGGCCACCACTAGGCGGCCAAGTGAAGTGCAGCATGACAACAGTGGGAAGTGCAAGTGAGCAAGGCAGCAGAGTAGGCAAATAAGTGGGCCAACTGGAAGTTCAGGCAGGTGTTGTTATCGCTGTCATTGCCACCTGTGTGCCCACTCATTAAAAGGCATGCACAAGAGGGCAAAGGAAGTCCGGGGTCTGAGTGAACAGGTGGCCCAGCTGAGCAACTGGTCCAGAGTAGGTGGTCCAGAAGAGTCAGTGAGCAGGCTGCCCAAGCAGGCCTTCATTTGCTCCTTGTTATTGTCATGGCCGCTGCCGCCAAGGAGAGTCTTTCTCCCCTTCGACCATCGCTACCAGAAGGAAGTGTGCAATATTAAATATATGCTTCCTTCTGTTGGTGGTGGCATGAGGTGAAACACCTTTTCCTGTTTGTTTGTTTGTTTGTTTGTTTGTTTGTTTGTTTGCCTCTCCTCTGTAAGAAGTGGCGGAAATGTGATCTTGGGACTGGAGTGAGCTGTGAGGGGATTCAGAGGGGGGAGCTCTTAGGGGATGGACGCTGGCAGCAAGGTGGCAGTGTAGAAAGTAGGCAGGGTGGGGGAGCAGGTGGGGCAGCAGGTAGGTGGGAGTAGAAATTTAAAGGGGATGTGGGGGTTGGTTGGGGGTGCTGAAGGAGCAGTGAGGGGATGGGGGTTTAGGTGAGGGGTGGGGAGAAGAGCAGGGGTGGGGAGCAATGCAAGCGGGGGGGGCAGCTCCTAGCAGATATTATATTTGGTTCTGTTTGATCCACCAGAGTTTACAAACTGCTAATTTTCTTGCTCTGGAAGATGTCTTGCATATGCAATATCCTTTGGCAAACTACTAGATCCAAAAGTAGGCCATATAAATGGTTTGAGAGCTTAATAGTGAGAGTTCTTCCCAAGTATAGCTTTAATTACATAACTTTTCAGCACTACCATACAACATTCCAGACTGCTTGTCTCCCTTGATTAATAATGTTAAAAACTGAAGGAGAGCTGTTGTAAGAAGACATACTGGAAAGGGAGTCATCATATATCTCAAATAGCAGGGTTTCACAAAACTTCAAAGGGTGAAAAGCTTGATCTCTTACTGCACTCTTCATTTAAATTACAGGAACTACTGGAACTTAGTATCTACTTAATTGCAATTAATTTTACAAGTTGCCTAACTAAGAGGGTGATGTTCAACATTAGTCATACTCAGAGCAGACCCAAGTTGCTATGCTACTGCAGATTATTTTAACGTTTTAAATATGCAGTGAAGTCTTAGAATATCTTAAAAGATTTTCCCAACAGATGGGCTCTTCTGGCTATCCAGATAAAATCTTTCTGAGGATGGAACTTTTTATTATATGGAAGATGGTAAAACAAGCTGCATCACATATAAATAATAATAACAATTTATTTTTTATACTCCGCACATCTGGCTGGGTTTATACTCTGGGCGGCTCCCAACAGAGCACAATAAAATGTCAAACATTAAAAACTTCCCTAAACATCATAAATATAATGAGCTTTTTGTAAAGGAGTGATTGCCCCCAGCCAAAGATAAAACACTGCTTATGCTGCCATCTCTTGTTATTAATCTCCAGAAAGAACCCTTGGTAAGCTGACTTTTGCCAATGGCACCTGTCCTGTTCTGCTCAAAAGTTATGCTCTTTCTAATCTGGTAACAGAGGCTAACAGGTTAAAAATTGTTTTGACTTGCTGTGTTGACACTTCTGGAAACTCTTACACAGTGTAGAACAAGCAATATTTATCCATTTGTTTTTTTAAAAAATGAAATAAATATCATTTATTTATGTTAAATTAATTATTTTAAATGTGAAACATACATATGTTATCTGTGAAATATACATATTTAATTCGCTATATAGTATGGACTATCTATCCTTCCAATCTGTAAATTTCAAATTTGCTGTGAACAGAATACTAGGAAATCTCTCTTCCCCAACCACCGACTAAACCTTGTGCATAGGGACCTATGTTAATGAATCATAATTACACACTTGTGTTAGTAGTGAAAAACAGAAATGGAAACACATATATAAATATCTACCTCATTACAAAAATATTTATTGAACAGGGCGATTATTTTGGTACACAGATATTGTCCAAACAATTCACCACCTGGAAACATGGATGAAAAACTTAATTTAAGCATTACCCGCAGCCCATGGAAACGGGGATTGCTGTAGAAAAGCTTCATTTGCTCTGCAGGGAGTGGTCCTAGCACCTTCTGAATTGTAAAAAGTTGGTCAATTTCACTTTCGCCAGGAAACAAGGGCTGTCCGTCACTAAGTTCCCCAAGAATACAGCCTACTGACCACATATCTACAGACTTGCCATATGGGGCTCTGAAAAGAAAACACATGGATGTTATTGCTACTTTGCACACTAATACACATATTAAATTTAACAAATCAATGTTTTAGGGTTCCCCCCTGTATTGTATCTAGGAAGAAATTCAGTATCAGGGGTCTCTCATCCTTTAGAGAAAAAAGCTCTCTGCTCACTCCTCCACCTTTCGATGCAGTAGATGGCTTTTCCTTAGAGCACCAATAGTTAAGGTAATATACAGAGGAAAATATAGTAATTGTACATGCTTCCATTGAAAAATTGGTTTTGAATTTGACAAAACCAGCCTTTTTATAGGAATTCACTCAAAAAAATATCCCCCCCCCCCAAATCAGAATTACTAATGCTCTTGTTGATCTTACAGCTGAACTGAACAAAATGTCTTTGGTACACTGAACATGTAGGTCAGGATGTTAGTCACATCTATTCCATTAATTAAGCTAAAAGAACCCAATAATGATATTTTAAACAGCAATAAACTCTTCAAAAATGTATTTAAAATAAAATTATTTTTTAAAAATCTAACATTTCCTTTTAAGAACCCTGGTTGATTAGACCAAAGACCCATCTCGCCCAGAATTCTGTTTCCACAGTGGCCAATCAGATCCCTTTGAGAAGCCTGCTAGCAGGACCAGAGTGCAACAGCACTCTCCCAACTTATGATTCCCAGCCATGAGTACAGTGGTACCTCCGGATGCAAATGCTGCTTCCGCGCATGCACGTGACATCATTTTGAGTGTCTGCACATACACGAGCGGCGAAACCTGGAAGTAACATGTTCCATTACTTCCAGGTCACCATGGAGCGCAACCTGAAAATGCTCAACCTGAAGCGTATAAATCCCAAGGTATGACTGTATTCAGAGGCATCCGGGCCAGGCAGGCAAAGGCATTTTGGCACCTGAGGCTAACCACAAAATAGCACACACACAACACCCGCCAAAGAAGAAGGGGTGAGTGAAGATCTGCATCAGGAACAAGGGGAACAAGGCTGGGAGGAGACCAGCAGCGCCTCCTATTCACCAAAAGGCCTCTGTAGATGTGACTTGGGGGTGCTGCTGCTAAGGAGGCAGCAGATCTGGCCTCCAAGAAGGGTGCCGCAGCTGTTGTTACTACCGCAGAAGCAGTATCTTCATCAACAATGACTCTAAGGTCCATTTTTTCAGCCAGTCTCTGTCAATTCAGACTTCATTAGCATATATGTGAGATTTGGTGTTTTTTTGTTCCACAAACTCACACCAGATTGCATTTTTTCATCTTATCTCCCATTCATTTATTTCCTATCTCCCAGTTTGGAGATATTCTTTTGGCGCTTCTCACAATCTTTTCGTTTGAACTACCTCGAGCAATTTGGTATCGTCACCAAACTTCACAACCTCACAACACACTCCTAACTCCTAATGAACAAGTTAAAAAACACAGGTCCCAGAACTGATCCTTGCGGGACTCTACTTTCTACATTCATACACTGGGAGAACTGTCCATTTATTCCTACTCTATACTTCCAGTTTCTTAACTATAAGCAGCAACCTTAGCAGAAAGGTACTGCATCAAGCCTTACATATCCGGAAAGTAAGATAATGTTTTTAGGATAAAGTAAGATGGTGTTTTTAGGAGAATCAAGGTGGCAGAGGAAAGCCTTTCTGGTCTCTCCTTCCATTTTCTATGGGTAATAACTGTGCTTTTTTTCTAAAAAAAATAATAATGTTTAGGGGTACTCTCATTTTGACGCAAGAAAATCACCATTTTATAGTTCAAATTGGGAAAAATAAATACAGTAAATGAAAAAAATACAAAGATTCACAAAACGTTTAGGGGTATGCATACCCCTGTGTACCCCCAGAAAAAAGCACTGGATAATAAGAACATAATAACAGCCTTGCTGAATCAGGCCACTCGTCCATCTAGTTCAGCATCCTGTTCTCACAGTGGCCAACTAGATGCACATGGGAAGCTTGCAAGCAAGACCAAAGCATAATGTACTCTCATGGGTACATTCCACACAATAAAAACCTGAATGCCCAGAATGTCTTCCTAGCAAATATTGTTTAAATGATACAAAAGAGACTCATGTTTAAACTGAATATGCATGTGCATATGTTCAATTTACTGCTGCCAGAATTGCAAACAGTATGTAGATCTCATAAATGAGAAACAGCCAAGAGACAAAATACTTGAGTTTTATCTGAGCAAACTATGTGATTACCTGGCAGGAGCTTACATTAATAGGGTTGCTATATTTCAAAAGGTGAAAATCTGGTATATAACAATCCATGGCCAGTGTTTCCTCTGTGCTTGGAATAATTCTGTTTTAAGGCATGGCTGTCTGTAACTACTATTGCTACCTGTAACTATTTTACTTTCACATTATGTGTTTGAAAAGTCAACAGTGTTCTTCCACTGCTCATGTTTATCTGACCTTGGTTGTCCCTCTGTCCTTCTAACCAACTACAAGTAACTGCTGCTTTCTACTTCAATGGGGAAAAACATTTAAAAATAACCACTCTCTTTTCCATTGCAAAAAATAAACCCCAAATTTACATCAACAGCAACAGTTGATGGGTATACCTCTTTCCCCTTATACTGTAGTACACTAGTCCCCTGCTGCTGAAAGCTTATTTTCAGTTGCTTTCTTCACATTTACCACACATAAATATCGGTGTATAAAGGCCAAATCAGGACTAGTCTTGGTTTGCTCTGCTCTCCCCACTACAGTCTGCAAAGCGCATCAAAACATGCACCAAATCCAAGAAGTTACTCCTGCTGATATAAATGTTAAAATTGAAGCTACAGCAAGCAACTCCCGAGAACACCCCTCTAAGGATAATATCTGAACAGACGTTCTGTTCAAACAGCAGTGGAATAAGCTATCTCTTATTATTAAGTTTGTATTACTACCCAGTAACAAAGGTTTTCAATAATACTGTGAACTCACAAAACAAATACAACAACTAAAATGCAACCATAAAAGCTATTTAAAAATAATTAAAATACAAATTATTTTAAGAATGAACAGGAATGTAAGAGAGAAAGGAAGCTCTTCATAGTCATGCTAGTAAAAGCTTTACAATTCTTGTAAGTCAAGGGAAATTATAGGTTATTACCATGGGAAAAAGTCATAAAATATTTGGTAGTATAATTAGCTATTTGTCAGGTTTCCCTGCTCTCTTTCAGGCTTATTAAAATGGCACTGTAGCATATAAGGAATTCAAAACTCTAATGTTTTCAACACTCAGGAAAAAAAATATAAAACAGCTAAAGTGCAAAAAATGACCCATATTAATTATAATCATAACCACAACGAGAGAAAGATGTGTGGGCTATACCTGGAGCATCTAAAATTATTTCTTTATCCATATTAAAATAAAGTCACACTTTGGAAGCACGTAACTCAAGAAATAGTGAAATTTGAAGTATTTTAATATATACTGCAGCATACGTATACGATATGTGTCATTTAAATTGTATTCAAATGAATTCAAAATTTATTCAAGAGCTGCATTACCTTACCCAGAAATTTTAATTTGAGGGGGGGAGAATGGGATTTTCTGGGCCCCACTCATCATTCACTTCACAATAATTATTGCCCAGACCATTTTTTTCTTGAGTTGAACAGCCTTTAAGCAGAAACACAGGCTGATGTTAAATGCACCTTTCCATTTAACACGTCTTTTTATGTGCAAATAAAAATGGGAACACTGGAATTGCAGGTATCAAAGGACAATTTCCTCCTCTGCTGTGGTCTTGAGGAAAATCCCCGTTTGAAAACTTAGAGGGGAAAACCCACACTGGCACCAATGCAGAATTTCTTCCCTGATGGAAATGGCAACTTCAGAGAAGAGATTTTCTTCAGGAGTGCAGCAAGGCAGAAAGGGGTTAAATTTACCTTCCACAGCAGCAGCTAGCTGAATTGAGTTGAGATCATTTTAATTTCTTTTAGTATTTTAATTTTTGTATGTTTTAAAGTATGGTTGTGATTTTTTTTCTTGATTTTAGTGTTTTATCTTTTTGTAAACCATTTTGAGGTTTGTTTTTTTACAATCAAAGCAGTGTATAAATTTTATGAAATAAATAAATAAAATGCAGAGACACATTTAAAGTCAGATCTAGGATGGACGAAGACTTAAAGAAATGACAAGAGGTAAGAGACAATAGAATATGGGGAGGGGCAGAACAATTCCCAGGGCTGAGCTATATTCTTCACCAATACTGCATATGGTGAATGACAGTCTCATTGTGACTCTCACAGCACTGACCAGAATAGAAGATGATAAGGAATGCAGGAGGTTCAGATGCTGGTAATTGGTACATAATGTGGTAATATGTAAGGAAATAAGACACACAAACTGACCAGATGCTTGGAGAATGTGTACATAAAAGAAAAACCAAGAAAGTGACAGAAAAACTGATCCAGTTTTCGAATCTATAAATCAGAGGTATCAGAAGCTCGACTACCAGGAGGCCACATGAATATCTGCTGGGTAGGGCTCTTCACACACACATTCCTGGGCTCTATGGAATGCTCAAATGAGTGGGCTCCAAACGGATGCCAAAACATACAGTCTAGTTGCTGCAGAAGTTGACCATCTGTGGCCTAAAACATGTAAAGCTAACAGATTTCATTAGAATCCAATCCTATAAAAACATTTTTGCTTTTTTTTCTGAACGATGAAATTACAGTACTAAATCAGGCTTCAATTTAGTGCTGATTATGAAACTAGCCAATGGAAATAAGCAACGAAAATAATAATTAAATATGCTCCTTATTGAAGGTTAAAACTTTAGCAACCAAATGCTAGTTAGTGGGTATGATTTGCAAAATGGTACACTATCTACAGATAGATTACTTACCCAAGCAAGAGTTCAGGAGAACGATACCACCTGGTGGCCACATATTCTGTGTAGTTAGCATTGCTCCCTTCTGATAAATTCCGTGCAAAGCCTGTATCAAGGTAATTTGAAAATGACTTGAATGTGAATATACATTTATTTTAGCATTTAATTTTAGCATTTTAAGTTAAATGCTCTTTTTTAAAAAAAATTATGAGCTATTTGCATGTCAGTTTTACTGCATTCCACATAAAAGCCACCTTGCCACTAGTTATTCAACATTAGCAGTCTTCAAATTTTTGTGCAACAGGATGTTCTTTTTCCAGTTAAGTCAAGTCCTGTAGGTTATCCCACGAACAGTAATGTAACGTTATGTGGCACAAAAGCAGATCCACAGAGAAGGCATTTGTATGTTAACCCAGAAGCAGCATAAACAGAAATATAATTTGTAGTTCACGCCCCGCCTTCTTTCCAGGCCTTCTGTGGAAGGGGAGAGGCAGCAAACTGGGATTCAAGTATGCATCTCTTGCTTTCATCACAGACCTGGAAGTGTGGGGAAAGGAAGCTAAAGTCATTTGGCTTTCTTTCTTGTTGCTTCTATGGAATGTATGAAGTGGGTCATCCAATTAGGTAGGAACACGAATGTTTGTTCCATCAGGATTCTACTGCTGGTAGCAAGTATATCACTATTGCCTAGAAAGGGAGCTGCTTCTCTTAAAAGCCAAACCTACAGAACAGCCTTTTGCTGTAGAAGGTGGGCATTCTTACCATGAATTCATGTTTATGGATGGGGCTAGAGGCCACTTCTCTGATATGGATTTCCAACTGAACTATTTGATACTTATCCATTTGCAAATACATTTGATATTTCAGTAGTCTAAGTGAAACCCTGCATACTTCTACATAACTGCCCAAATGAGTAAGCCTAATCTTGTGGGAGGGAAGCAAGTCTCAAAACAGAGCAGATGTACTAGAGCATGAAACACCGTAGTATAATAGCCAAGTGCATCTGTCACAATTAGTCTATGCTTAGTACTCTTCTCTCAACATTTTTACTAGCAAGAAATCGCACCTGCACAATACATGTCTAAGCAGCTACTGCACATTCTATAAGTACAAAGCATAGCATATTTATTTTATTTTTTTAAATGATATTTATTGAAAATTTTTTAAATTACAGAGAAACAACAAAGCAGAAAAGGAAAAAAAAAACAAAGAAAAAACAAACCACATCAAACAATACAAATTCAAAAAACAAAAATACGCCGCAAACAGACAATAATAACTCCATCATTCTCAAATCCTCAACTTTCATTACCTTCTTTCTTTGACCTCCTCCTCCTCCCTTTTTTTGTATCCTAGTTAATAATTATCGCAGCAAATCCTTTCCATATTTCATAATATTCTGTCATTACATTACCTTAATCTATTTTCATCTTATCTTATAGAAAACCTTAAAAACTTAAAACTTTAGATCTTATTTTTACCGACTTCTCACAACCATAATATTCTTACCTAATTCTTTAAACATTTTTACTAGAGCCAAGTAATTTCATTCCAGCATTTTTCTAACATTCCTCAAATTTATAAAACAATCCTAGTAATAAAAAAAAGAGATAAAAATAATCGAGTCTTCCTCCAGCGTCCCTTCCTCCTGGTCCCAGGTTTTGTCAGTCCTTTTTATCCCATCGATCTAGCGCATTAACCTGGTAACCTTATATCCGAGGCCCTTAAATCTCTTCCATGTCCCTTCCGCAGCTCTTCTTCATATTCTCCTTTCACTCGTGGGAACTCCAGCTTGGTGATGTTTTTGACCCTTTTCAGCAAATCAGCCCCTTTTCCATAGTCCAGACTCAACTCCATGTGGTATTTAAAAACATGTTTCAGAATCCCTCCAAAATTGAGAGCCCCCACAGCTCCAAACATCTCACGGCCCATTGCCAGACTCGGAAAGTCCAAACATCCCTGCGTAGGGGGGTCTATCCAACCCCCCATTTCCAAACCAATCCAAACTTTATCTTTCCAAATCTGAACGTTTTCCAAGTTCATTTGTCAAGTCCAAAAGCTCATGCTCCTGCAAGGCCGCAGCTCCCTCCATCTCTGGCGCCCAAGATTCAGCAACATCCTCTTCTCTCATCTGCTCTGTCAGGACGCACTCCTGTTCTAATTCCTGGGTGGGCTCCACATAGTTTCCCACTGCCTGTTCAAAAATTCTGGCCGCATTAGTCATCAAATCCATCTTCTCATTTAACTGTTCCAGTAGGGCACTTGTTTTCCAGAGAGCACACAACAGAGCCTCTGAATACATTGTCCTACAAGGTCACAAGTCCATTCCCACGATTGTAATCTGTGACAGCTGCAAGCTCCCTGGAATTAGTTACAGTTTCACAGTCTCCCTCTAGGGGAGAACTTCTATTTGTTCTTGCAACAAAGTATCCTTTTGAGATATTTTGTCAATATTTGTTCCTTAAAATGCGAAAGGAAACAGTGGAATCACTATGTTTCTCTTCCTTTAACTATCTGTCAAAAACGTTTGTCTCTGGTCAATGAGCTTCAAACGTCAGTCCTGACACCCCGCTCCAGGATCAGGACGGTGGAAAGTTACTTTACTTTAAACTCACTTCTGCAGGTTTAAACAGTCCAAAAAGATCCCCCTTCTTCTCCTGCTGTCAAAGGGGGGTTCCACAATTTTAAATGATGAAATCCAATCCTTTAGAGGCGATTTTCTGAGCTCTAGTTTACGTTGTCTTTGCTTTATTCTGTCTACAAATAAACGGAAGGCTGACTTCCTGTTTAGACCTTCCCGTTTCAGTACCAAATTGAAGTAAATTTTTAAGTCCAATTCCTTTCTGCACGCAAGTCCTTATTTAAAGTCCGATTGTTCAAATTTTAAGTACTCACGGGTGCTTATTTTAGAAGCCAAATTGTCCCAGGAAAAAGGCAGCGCTCTCCGGCAACGGCTATGCGGCTTCGCTCCACGGAAATAGCAGTTGACTCACAGCACCGCGCCACTTCCCCCTCTTCACTTCGGAGCCCGTTAGTGGGTTCCTTTGCCGGGTTGGGGGGGGCGCTAAGGGTGCCCGCTGAGTACCATGGTCACAGGCTTCATCCGCCTGTGATTTTTAGCAGGGTCCCCGCTTCGCCGTAGCGGAAAAGACCCGTTTCACGCAGAGCTAGTCCCTCCAGTTCAGAGGGAGTCCGCCATTGCCGATGGCGCCACCCCGGAAGTGAAAGCATAGCATATTTAAGGCATAGCAGACAAACACTTCTAAAAAGCACTTATGTGTTAGCTTTGGACTCTTTCTTAAATAATAGTAAGAAACTAAGTGGAAAAAGAAAATCTTTCCCACAGGCAAAAAAAAATCTGTAAGGAATCTTTCAGAAAAGCCTATCTGTCCTTTTTACGGTGAAACTGGTAAATTTCCAAAGAATTTGGGTTTGTGTGTGTGTGTTCCTGAATCACAGAATGAAAACCGCTTCTACAAAAGAAGCTAAGAAACACAGACTTACAACAGCACGGTCCTATACAAGTCTACTCTGAAGTAAGTCTCACTGTTATCAACCGAGCTTATTCTCAGGTACAGGATTACAGCCTTAATGTTCTAAAAGCTCAAAAACACTGATATATTTTGCTTTCAAATTCAATGCTTCAGATCCTGAGTCTGATGATGAATAGAATACTGACGAGTATTTTGGCTAAGAATACCACAATTATTGGCTATTGTAGCTGTTCCAGGATTACTTATATGACAGAGCTCTCAAAATAGCAACCAAAATGTTTCGTGTCTGAGGTAACTCCCCTGTGAGGGAAAGTTACAACATTTGGGGCTTTTTAGTTTAGGAAAAGTCAATTAAGGGGAGCATAGCGGAGGTATATAAGATCATGCGTGGTGGGTAAAGAACAGTTTCTCTTTCTCTCTCTCATAATACAGTGGTACCTCTGGTTACAAACTTAATTCGTTCTGGAGGTCCGTTCTTAACCTGAAACAGTTCTTAACCTGAGGTACCACTTTAGCTAATGGGGCCTCCCGCTGCCGCTGTGCCGCCGTCGTGTGATTTCTGTTCTCATCCTGAGGTAAAGTTCTTAATCCGAGGTACTACTTCCAGGTTAGCGGAGTCTATAATCCGAAGTGTTTTTAACCCGAGGTACCATTGTACTAAAAACACAGGAACATCCAATGGATGGTGGGATTTTCAGGACAGAGAAAGGGAAGTACTTTATACAGTGGGTAGTTTAACTATGGAACTCACTTCCATAGGCGGTGGAGATGGCTCTCAAAGATAATTAGACCAATTCATGGAGACTAAAGCTGCCAATGGCTATTAGTCATGGATGGTACCTACTACCTTCAAGATCATATACACTATGTCTCTGAATACTAGATAGAATGCCATAGCTGGATGTTGAATTCCACCTTATATCTTCACACACTTAGGCATTTCAGGGCAGCTCAAGTAATTCTCCTGTATCAGCACAACAAAATTAGGCCACAATCCTATGTATATTCAGAATTCCTTTAATTCAATGGTGTCAAGTCCCAGTCAGGTGGAGCTACAATTTCTGCCATTCATGCCCCAACTTTTACTGTGGGGTGAATGGATGTGTGCGTATGCGTGTATATACATCTATTTTTGCACTGAAATGCTAACTGGCAAACCATTCAAAGAACTGGACTATTTATTACTAGCAAAAGAGAAAACATTTTTGTTTTTATTGTAGAAACTAATTATCCTACAAAACATGTTAAAAAGAAAAGTTTTTCAGATGAAGCAAAACAAAGACAAACATAGTTCAAATTACAAATTTAAAGTCATAATATACAGAACATAAAAACAAGACACCCTTTTAAAATAAGAGTGTGCTTAAAAAAATGAAAATCCTTACCAAAGTCACACAATTTCAAAATATCATTGTGGCTTATTAAGAGATTCTCTGGCTTGATATCTGAAATATTAAATGTGTAGGAAAAAATTAGCATCATAGCATTTCACTAGTTCTGCATTATTAATTGATTTATTAGTTTTTTTTAACCCTATTTATTTGAAATACAGAAAAATGTTAACAAATTCTACTTTTGGGGTTGTATCAAATACTGCTGGCTTGCTCATGCAACAGACTTTGCAACAGACCTTCCTCCCCCGCCCTTCCCTGCAGTCATTTATGCACTGGCAAAATCTGCTCTAGAGGGTTGGGAGACTCGCTGTTACATATTTTGGGGCATACGGGGGGGGGGGATACAGTCCCAGAAAATAAGATGGGTCCTAAAAAAATACACCTCAGTGTCCAAGGCCAGGGTAATGAGGTTCACAAGGTAAGGAGAGGCAAAAATATGCATTAGAGGAAAGCTAAGTTTGTTGACATGTGTTCTTATTTCTGATATACTCACCTCTATGAACAATATCATTTTTATGACACCAATGAATTGCTTTTATTAGTTGATAAATATAGCTTTTTACTTTTTCAGGTGTAACTCCATTTGGCATTTCTTCTAGCAATTCAAGCATATTCTATGAGTGAAAGCATAATTATATTAGAGGCTAAAAAAAGTTAATCTAGATTACTACCATAATTGCAAAGTTTTAAAAAACTAATTATGCAACAACATCATGACTTATTAATATTACAGATATGTTAATCTAACTTCATTTCAGAGAAAAGTCTACACACGTTCAATTTTTACAATAATCCAGAATATGGCAGTTAGTTAAGACTTCTGGTTCTGATACAAGACGACAGAAATCGGTTCTGCTTTCACAAAACTTAACAAGAATACTTGCAATAGTGTTTAAGTTACTTGTAACTTAAAACAAAGACAAATAGTATAAAAGGACAAATTTACAGTACAGCAGAACAAAGCAGAAACTTCTCTTAAGCTGGGTCTGAAAAGACTGGTATTCTGTACCAGCTACAATTTTCAGAGACGGCCTTACATAAAGTGTATCACAATGCAACAGTCAGAATGTAATCAAGACACATATAGCGACCAGATCTACTTTTTCCATTGAAGTGTACTGCTGGCACACCAGCCCAAGCTGTGCAAAAGTAATTCTGATCACTAGCTGACCATCCAGGAACAAAATCAATGGTGAGGTTGAAGCAACGGCTGGAAGTCAGACTTAGGCAAACTCGGCGCTCCAGATGTTTTGGGACTACAACTCCCATCATCCCTGACCACTGGTCCTGTTAGCTAGGGATGATGTGAGCTGTAGTTCCAAAGCATCTGGAGGGCCGAGTTTGCCTATACCTGGCTACAGGTGCTTTTGCACAGCTTTCTATAGAGAGTACAGAGTTTTATTTTGTTCCATTGTTATGTCTGCTTAAACAGGTTTTTGAAAGCAATTGTGTAGATAATGGGTTTTTAGTTCCTCCTCTTGTTTATATTTGCTTCAAATTGCTGTGCACGGTTTTACTCTTGTTTTTAATTAGTAAACTGCTTGGGGTAACTTTATAAATCATATCCCATATCACAATTTGTTACCACCTCTGGTTAACGGTAAAAACCATACACATGTTAAAGTTGTGATCCCATGCATGCTTACTTTGAAGTAAGTACTATTACATTAATCATCCATGGACTATTATTTGGTCGCCAGAATTAGACCCATGGTGTGATCAGAGGTGAGCCTTGGACTACATGCTCCTCCTGAACGGAATGAACGCAGGATAAAGTCAAACAGAAAGTGGTCCCTTTCTCTCTAGATGATTAATAATTAGTTAATAACCTATGAAGGATTTTGGATATGGATTTATTAGGTATTCACCATTTAGTCAAATTATATTTTATAGTACAAACTTGTGTTCTCCAGACTTTACTCAGAGGTTTCTAGTTTTCCTTACTGAAAGGCTTACAAGATGCTGGAAGTGTCTGTCAATTAATATCTACTGTCGGTCATTGGTTACGTCAAATAGGTAAGATCAGTCTCCAACAGACAGTAAAAATACAGGGTGAGTCCTTTAAAAGAGGCCCCGTGGATACAGAGTATCCTCTTTTAAAAGACTCACCCTGTATATTAGCTGTTCTTGCAAAACACATCTTATCTATAGGTGGTGAAACTACAGGTTAAGAAACAAACATTTCCTAGAAAAATAACTAAATGTAGAATTTGCTACTAGTTAGGATCGGAAAAAAGAAGTTTTGCCACATTTGAATAGTGGCTTAATTTAAGAATTACTTGGTCAGAAAATAATATCTTCATTTATTGTTCAAGAATGCACTAATAATTTGGTTATTTCCTGCAAGCCCACATGTCCAACTTTAAATCCTCCTAGTCCCAACTGATTTTGCTATCTTCTGGCTAGAGATGGATCTACTTTTGTGGAATAATGTAATCAAGCAAGTAGGAGCTGTTCATAATATTATTTCTGCAAGAATAAAAACTATAACAATTTTTGATGGATAAAAATAACTTCTTATTTTAGTTTCAGGTTTAGGAACACCCGAACTAATTTTTTTTTTTTAACTTACTTTTTCTACATATTCAAACACCAAATACAGTTTTCCTCTTCTTCTGAAAGCTTCTTTCAGCTCGACTATGTTTTCCTGTTTCAAAGTACGGAGCATTTTAAGTTCTCGTAAAGTAGTTTCTTTGACCTCTTCATTTTCTAAAAGTTAAAAAGGAAAGTTGGTAAAACTAACTTTAAAAAACAAAACAAAAACCCTCCTTGTATGGAAAGAGATTCATTAAAATTTTGACACCAAGGAAAGTCTACCACTATCAATCCTCTATTCATATAACATTACAAGTACTCCATCAATGTTAGTACGAAAGCATATTCTTAAAAACTATTATTATACTAGGGCTAAGGAAATGTATTATGATTTTTACATAGACAATGTTCGCATATCGGAGGATAAACTAAAGAAAAACTAGAAAGATACAAGTGCCAAGTCTACTGTGGAGGTAGAGAACTCTCCTTTTTCCATTCAAAAGGTATTAAGAGACGTGGCAACACATAAACTTTCAGAGTCTGAAGGTTTTATGAAGCACTCAAGTGGTAATACTAAGAGATTAATTTCAATACTGTACCGTGGTTTATTGAAATCAGAAGTGAATGGTACAAAAGGTCTTAAAATAACGTGGGAGCAAGAACTGGGTTTGAAACTAGAGGAACAGGAATGGCAGGCAAGATGGAACAAACCCCCATGTAGGTCCATCTCGGCTAGGTCCATCATACATTTTTAGTCACCAGAAGACAACATTCCTCTTTAACCAGGCCTTTGGCTAATTAAAACTCTATATCCTTCCAAATGTGTTGGGGAGAGGGTTATTGCTTTGTTTTGTTTTATTATGTATTTTGTGTTCCCATTTTGTATTTTTATGTTGCCACCCACCCTGAGATCTTCATGAAGGGCAGTATACAAATTTAACAAAATAATTAGTTTATTTAAACTAATTATTAATAATTAATTTAATAAAATAAAAATTAGTTGCAAGAAGAACTTTTTTGGGATGGGAAAGCAGACAGCATGAAGGGCTAAACAACCATTCTCTGCTAGAACACTGCCTCCCAAGTATGCTCTGTGATTGAGAAGTCTATCATTATATGTAACTGCTGAATTTTGCGCTAAGCTACACTGTTAAACATGCTTGTGATAGGTGAAACTCAACTTAAGAGGAAACTACTTCCAAGGAAACATGCTGAAATAGGTTGAAGTTTTTCGGTCATTCAAACCTTTCCCAATGGCTTACCTGTGGTTTGTTTACTGCCAACAAACCACAATCATGCAATTAACATCACATTTTGTTTTGCCCTAAACACTCGCTGTGAAGAACCCATGCCTTTCTGACTCTGAAGAATCAGTCTGAGTGAAAAGGAAAAGCTAGGAGAGCTTTCAAGTGGAGAGTAAGAACAAGTAATACTGCTTACTGTTCTACTTTCAACAACTGCCTGACAGGCGGAATGTCAGCAGGCAAGTTTATGTGTTAAGGAAATGCTGTACCAGGAAGGAGGGGTGTTGCCTGATGAATATCCATCAAATATGTACCCTGCCTCTCACCCACTGCAGCAGGAGAGAACAACAACACACCAGCAACCTGAGTAACAGAGCAATTTCAGCTTCAGTAAGCTGGCACAACTTACCCCAGGTTAATTTACCCCCATTCCAAACTCCATTTGGGAAGAATTTGACGTACACTGCCCTTTTTTGCAGGTTAAGTTCCACTGGGGTACTAGTTCAGGGAACCCAGCTAAAAGGCAACCCTTCCACAGCCTCTGAACACCCCTTTGGGGGGCTTACACCACCTTAACTTCCACCTGCTGAGCCAGGGTGAAAGACTTATCCCAACATAGCTCTGGCTGAAACTCCAAGGTGTCTGGTTTAGATTGCTTTAAATGTGTTTAGGATGGCAGCCCAAGTTTCAATTTCCATTTATCAAAAATAGTATGGTGTCTTAAAGCTGCCTAACTGAAGAAAGTAGGCCGTTTAATAGTAAAATTATGGAACAGGATCATTTTGATTGGAAATCAATTGGGTAGTTTGTAAAGGTCTGATTTGAAAGGGAAATATGGGTGGGATGCAAACTGAAAATTTTATTTCAGGTGATCTGGATAGGAATTAAATGATTTATCTAAATGAAATTTGAATTCTAGTGATTATTTCTAAATTTGCACATGCAACTTCTATCCCCATTTAAGTCCTCTTCTTTGTTGGTGCATATCCTCTTTTTTGGTGATGTATAAGTGCCTACACTAAGTACAGGCTTTTATCAACTTCTTATAAGCAAATTGATGTGTTTTCCTAATCTTAAAAGCAATTCTTTCTCATACACGTGTGGGTCTCAGGTGGTCCGTCTCCATAGTTTTGGGCATTGCACTTGGAGGAGGTAAAAAAGTACCTTACTTCACCAGTCTTACAGGGAACCAGGCAGAGGGCCTTTTCAGTAGTGGCACCTGCCCTGTGGAATGCCCTCGCACCAGGTGTCAAAGAGAAAAACAACTACCAGACTTTTAGAAGACATCTGAAAGCAGACCTGTTTAGGGAAGCTTTTAATGTTTAATAGATTATTGTATTTTAATATTCTGTTGGAAGCCGCCCAGAGTGGCTGCGGAAACCCAGCTAGATGGGTTGGGTATAAATAATTATTATTATTATTATTATTATTATTATTATTATTATTATTATTATTATTTTATCTCACATAGGATAAAAGAGAATTTCACTCCTGAAATCGGGAACATAGTAAGCTAGTCACAACTTTAATTCATGATTCTGTGAATCTGGGACGATCAATTATATGCCTGCTGCTTTCCCCTGAATTATGTTTGTGATGGAGTGTGTGTGACATTGACAGTAGACTATGTCAGCATCTATGACAAACTGATAATGAAAAAGGCCTTTTGAGATGAGAGAGCAAGTTTAAATAAATTATACAGAGCAGTTAAAAACTGTGAATCTGTATGAAATAAACTAGTAGCGTATCAACGACCCTATCGAAATCAAGAGTCCCATGTTCTCTAGTTAAAAATTCAAGAACTGAAGATTAATAAGACAAGAGTTTATTTCTATATTGGATATGAAAGCAAGTTTCTCAAAATTATAAGATCTAATTGCATCAGTTATATCATTCTTAGTAAGTTTGAAGATCTACATGACATACAGACAGATGGGCGGGGTATAAATAAATTATTATTATTATTGACTGCAACATAAAAAGTTTAACCTTCCTTCCTGAAAATAATTTTAACTACTTGGAATAAATTAAAGGGAGCTATAAGTACCAAAAATAAAAGTTAAAATCTGTTCATAATGTGGAAAGCATACAGGTTTAACACTAAACATCTAGCATTGTGTCAGCAGAAGCTTTGGAACAAATCTCCTTAGGTCCCCTTTGCCACACAAAAGAGTTAGCTTTTAAGTAGCTATTGTGAGTCTCGGAAATAGTCAATGCTTAACACAAACGACACTAAAATAAGCATTATATAATGGGACAGATTTTTATCTTAAGACACAAAGCCTGCTGAATTTCCTCACCAATGCATTGATATATGCAAGTGGAAAAAATACCTTCACTGTCTTTGAACTTCTTAATGGCCACAATTTCATGTGTTTCCTATAAATAAAAAAGGCAGCAAAATCAGCTCTTTGTCAAACCACACAAATATCCCACCATCCAATAAACATCAAGGTTCTGCAATAAAGGTTTACTTTCAGTTAGTATCTAGTGCTACTTTGTGTTCCAAATCTGTGAAGGCCTAGAAATGTTGTAGTTAAAAGCAGGGCTTTTATAGCCGTCCCCGAGGTTACAAGAAAAATTCCCGCTCAGAGGTCTGCAGTTCTTCCAATGTATTGGATTTTTAGTGGAGAATGTAAAGATCAGCTTTTTCACTTGGCATTTATCTGGCTGGCTAGTCTTTCTGGATCAACTAAATAGAAATTATGCTATTTTTTATGAGGTTTTATATTTGCTCGAATCCAAAGGGCCTGTTGCATACAGGAACACCTTTCAATGCAAGGGGAGGAACTCCTTCCGGGCTTTTTACAAAGTCCTCCTCTCATTGCAGCAATCACACCATATCATGTTATGACATGAGGGCTCTCCAGCTCTCAGAAGTCGGTTTTCAGGGCTGCAGGAGGAGGAGGAAGGTGTGAAAGCCTTTTCATGTGACCAAAACTCTACTTACACCCATGCCATGGGTGGTTGCTGTTGTTATGGGAGGGTGTTTGGGTTTTGGTTTTGGTTTTCTTTGGTAAGCCACCAGGAGCCTTGGAGATGTGGCACAGAAATTAAAACAACAGTAAACATACTTTCAAAGAAACAAAGTAAATTAAAAATGAAATTAGAAGGAAAAAATACTTTTAATCACCAGGTGCAAAACAATATATGGATACACTTAATATATTACTATTCTTAGATTGAAACCTGGCATTAAATCAATCTTTTGAGAATTAAATAAAGGTTCATAGTATGAGATAAGCATCACAAGCATTTGAAGCTTGTTCAATTGGGATTACTTATCTGAAACAAAATACCATTTAGATCCTTTGGATAAAGCACTTTGGGAGGTTATTTTATGTATGTGTGGTTTTTCTAGAATACAAGTAAGGAAACCTCTGGTGCTTGGGCCAAATTAAAGTCACCAGGCCTATTGTGTCCACCAGGCTGTCTCCCCTAACCACGATCAGGGACAGGCAAAGCTATGGTTATAAAAAACCAATCCAGAACCCTAGAGTATGCCCCTATTTGTTCCTTTGCAAGCAAAAGGCTTCCACTGTTTCAAGTGGGTGCCAAATACAAGACTCAAAGCCATAGTCAGATCCACCATTGTATAATGTCAGGTGATTTGATGTCAGTTTTGGCTTGTAGAAGGCTGACCACAACAGGATCCAGCTCTCTGGCCAAAAGTGGCTCCATGTCCCTTTCTACCAGAACATTCGAAAGAGATGATCCAACGAATATTAACACTGAACAGAATCACTTTGCCACTTTCTACCATATTCATTACCTAGTTCTGAATAGTGAGTCTTCTCTTCAAATTGCACAGACTATGGTATAAAAGCTATGAGCTTCTATTCATGCTAAACAGGTTGCACAGTACCAACACTGAGAATTAAGGTGATTTCTTACTAAAGAATCAAGAGCATATAGAGTAAAAACCAAACAATTAACAATATATATTCTTGATGCTATTCCAGTAACTAACTAATCCCTGCAAAAGCTGAAATACAAGAACTGCACAGGAAGTTACTTTATCAGAAGCTAGCCAGAAAGTCATAACAATCTACAGATGGCACTGCTTGTGAATTACTCTTTACATAATCATGGCAGTATTCCATATTTGCCATAAATGTTAATTAGTTTCAGGAAGACAGGTTCTACACTTGGTGAAGATGTAAACTATGGAAGATTGTAAATTAGTAAGCAAGCTCTTGACTTTTCAATAATCCTGTTTTGGCTAGGGAGGGTCTCTCCCCCCCCACACACCAGAATTCATACACTCTGGCCTTTTGGTCACTTCTAGTGCTAATCTTGTGATCCTTCAAGTGTAAGACAGACCCATCCCACACATAACTTCCCTGTGTTTATCCAGGTTGAAGGTGGCGGCATATAAGAATCATTTAACAAAAAAAGTTTTTCGTTTAACAAGCTGTGTTTTAAAAGGCTTCCCTATTCACCCAGCTTCCAAAAAACCAAGAAATTGCAGCTCTCAAGGGCCACACCCTGAACAGACATATCATTTAAGCAATAGTGCCGTAAGAGACACTGCACCTGCTACTCTACTGTCTATAGAGCCCTTGTCCAAGGAACAGGAGATGACCACTGCTGAGATGACCAGTTGGCAACGCTCCAGATAATGTTATTTCCTATTCATAATACACTGATTCTAACCCAATAAAGGCTTTGAACATTCCATGTATTGTTTCTCTGTCAGCAGGCACTGGTACACATGGGTTCTTCCCCCCACACCCTCTCTAATATGATTTAGCTTCAGCTGGCCTCGGGATAGGATTCTGAGTGGGTGGAGTGAAACATGAACCATGATGAGCTCAGAAGTAGTAGTCCCTCTTCTCTATGCTCAATCAAGCACCCTGTACTGTGAGGAGAGGGGGCAGTCCTCTAGATAATTTATTACGGTCAAAGACCAGCTCACATAACATAACACAATAAAAAACAGCGTTCATAAAGATAAAATGTACAATCGGAACAGATTGCAGCAATAACTCATGAGTTAAAACTGAGATATATACATACACCTGTACAACTGAGATTTGGGCTACCATAAAAAATTAACCCTGAGGCGCCCCAAATGGCAACTTCAGCATTTCCCTAGTAAGCTATTTTATTCTAGAAGATGATCTGTGCCTACAAATCTGGACACAGAATCTGGCTACCAGTCAGGTCGTCTTATGATCTTTGCCTAAGTGGAGAGAATTAAGTTTAGACTTGTCTGAAAGATCAGCAAGCCTCTTCAGCAAAGGGTCAATGGTGTCTCTATGAATCTCAACATAAAAAGGTGGGTACTGCTGCCAGGGTATATGAGCCAGCCTGGTGGAGAAGGGCTGGGCTGGTTATGTGGGTTGCCAAGAGAGGGGGTGGGCCAAAAGGGCTGGTTGTCCCATGGGGGAGACAGACTATTATTTTATGCAATAGTACTAATTGACCTAGGTGTGCCTGGGTGTCTAGGTCTGTAGGAATGCCACCTAGCAGGGCCACCTCCTTCATTTTGACTGATAGGCCAGCCCTGCCAGGTAGCATTCCAGCAATTGTTAATTATGCCTCTTGTTGCCACTATTTGCCTTGGGTTCCTCAGACTCCCTTCCTGAAAGAGTTCTGTATATTCTGGACCCCTCCCAATGGATGCTTGATAAAAATCTTTTTTTCCCCTCCAGTAGGTCTTGACCCCGTTCCACAGAGGGCTGTGAAAGCACCTCTCCAGGGCTCTTGCCTAGAGAGCTATGTAAGCTCTCTGTATTCTACTCGAAAACAGTGGCTGTGAGTAGCATAAAGGGTATTCAAGGTAGAGGCTAGCAATACAGTCATATCTCGGGTTGAAGTAGCTTCGGGATGAATATTTTCGGGTTGTGCTCCGCGGCTACCCGGAAGTAACAGAGCGCGTTACTTCCAGGTTTCGCCGCCTGCACAGATGCTCAAAATGATGTCACGCGCATGCGCGGAAGCGCCAAATCACAACCCACGCACGCGCATGCATGCGGATGCGGGTTGCGTTCGCTTCTGGATGTGAACGGGGCTCCGGAACGGAGCATCCAGAGGTACCACTGTACAGGGGTAACTGCGAACTGTGGCAGTGGGCCTTATAAAGTGTTATCTTGCATTCTGTCTGTATTGTGTGGCAGGGGGCTGTGATCAGTGGGCAGCTGCATTCTTTTCCATAGATCCCAGGGGTATATAGGCCATTTTCTGGTTGTGAGTTTCCCCACTACCAGACACGGGGGACACTGGCCATTCTGCCAGTGTATCTTTGGTCTGGCATAACATGAACACAGATTGCAAAAAGACTGCAATTAAGATTGATTATATGAGTTTAAATTGATTATTTCATTGTTGACTAAATTTGCACACACATATGGAAAGAATATTTCTGAAGCAAGAAGGTATCAGTTATTTATCATACATGTCTCATGGCATAGTGCTCTGTGAGAGTCCAAATCCACCTCAGCACCTGTATTGCAGGACAAAAGATTTCTGCCTAGCCTACTTTCAGTTTTCACCAATAATGTACAGTAGAATAGCTGCATACCTGCACTGCAGGGAGTTGGACTTGGTGTCCCTTCCAACTCTACAATTCTATGCTTCTGTGACCATGGTTCAAACTCTTACAACTAAAACAAGCCCACTGCAAACGATGGATTGTGAACCTGTTTGAAGCCACAAATATTCAATTCATACGAAAGCAGTCAAGATTTATGGAATTTGAAATGAAACGTGGCATAAATTCTTCTTCTGGAAGAGAAGAGAGCTCATGAGTTCAAGCCTTCACTACAGCTCATTCTAGCTTGCACACTTAGCACTATATACAAGCCAGCTCCAAATGTCCTTGAGCATCTCAAGAAGCACTTCAATGCAAAGTCTTTCCCAGAGTCAAAAATCCCAAGCGGCTTGGGAGAAAAGGATGTCTTCTATAAAATAGGAGGCCAAGAACACAACAACCCCTATCTAGCAAAGTGACCAGATAACATCCTTGAGATATTTTTCAGTTTCTTCATCATATTAAATAAAACATTCTCAACTGGACTCAATAAAAAGTAAAATTGTCACATACACACTTCCCTTCCCCTCCTAAAAAAAAACCAACCCACACCAAACACACCCAGTGAATATTCTTATCTTCTTCCAACCACCTTACAATTTATTCACTACCAATCACACAAAATCTCACAGGGATAAAATTTAAAAGGGCAGTACCAACACCCAGTTCCCTCACATTCAAACGAGGCAATGGAAGTGCTGAATTGGTGCCTGGACTCAGAAGGAGGCTGGATGAAGGCCAATAAACTGCAGCTCATTCATGATAAAATGGGCTGGTAGTTTCTTTATTCTGACAGATGGTGTTCAACCTGTTCTGAATGTGGTTGCACTGTCTGTAAAGCATTGCATTTGTAGTTTGCGAGTCCGATGCTGGACTCAACACTGCCAAGAGAGGCCACTTGTCTCTGTGGCAAGGAGCACCTTCAATCATTTTAGACACTGAACAAGTTATGGTCTCACATTAGGCAGAGAGCCTGGTCTCAGTTATCCAAGCTTTGGCAATACCGAGGATTGACTACTATAATGTATTGAATGTAGGGCTGCCTCTGAAGATTGCGTGTAAACTTCCATTAACTCAAAATCCAGGCTTCCTGCTATTGACTGAGGCTAGTCAGTCAAAACATCTCTCCAGGATTTTAAGCCCAACATACTCATATTTGAGTTCAAAGATTAATGATTTGACTTCAAGATATTGTAGAGCTCAAATAGGTGCAGAATAGGGCAAACAGGGCTCAATGGGCCAAAAAAGTCCCCTGTAATGAAAGGTTCTAAACTTTCTAGTTTAGAAAAAAGGGGAGCACAATTGAGGTGAGGGAATAACACAACAAAGGTGTAAAAAGATTATGCACCGTGTGCAAAAATAATTTTTCTTCGTGTCTGCTGTTCTGTTTTATATTTAATTACAACACTTGGTTGAGTGGCTTTCTATTTAGTTTTAAATTATTTCTAAATCTTCATCTTTTGCCATTTCTATTACACAATAATTTCAATATAAACACCTCAAAAAGTTTTGTTGGGGTGTCTCAGCACAGTGAAGTCAGCAAAATAATTTAAGTTTAAAATAAATAATTAAAGTTACAAATGAATGCACTACATTTCTGAACAATTATCCTATTTTCTACGACAGATTAATTTATATCTTTGTCTTCTTACAGTCTTTAGTGGCTATCTGGTCATATTTTCATCTGTCATGTACTTCAATACTGTTTTATCCCTAGCTTTCATATTATAAGTGATTTGCTTTTCAAATCTTTCTTGGCCTATTTTACTGGAAACTTAACATTTTATCTTTCCAGTATTTGCACTCTTTTACATTACCTTCATTCAGAAGCAGAAAATGGATAAGGTTCTTTCATATGAAAGAACAAAGTGCTAGAGTAAACACTAATGCTGATTAGATGCAGATATGTGCTAATCACAGTATTTCATATTGTTCTCAGAGCTTCAGATTAAAGCTTCATTCACATATACTGAACTACATTTACTGAAAGCAGCACCTCCGGTATTACATGCAACACCAGTTGTGTTTGTGGAAACATTTTCACACACCTGTATGCTGCAATCGTAGGCACACTTGCTTAGAAAATATTACATTGGGATTTAAAACCAGTGATATTTCTTTCCAAAATAAATAAGCAGAGGATCTGGATATAAATGTTGAGAATCAGTGCTCTTCAATACATTCACTGCATGCGATTATTTTATGTTCTCAGTAACTTCACAGGAGCTAGCTTTTGGACTAGGTCTTTTCATCTTGTTTAACATAAGATATGTAGTGGCTTTTAAGCCTGACTGGTTTGAGCAGTTTTTTAAATCAGAGATGTCATTTTTCATGGAACTGCAGGCAACTCAGCAGTCTTCTGCTGAGTAACTTAAATGCTAAGCAGGTGGAAGACATGAAAAATTTGTCTGTGCAATCCAGACTACCGACAGTGAGATTGTGATTGAACATCAAAAGGCTTATGTTTCTATTCCCCCCCCCCATATTATGAGGTTAGATATACATGGCTATTTCACCCATACTTTTGAAAGAAGGCAAGCAAAAAAATGAACACAAGGTTCAGAATTGTACACATAGCTTGTGCACAATTAAAAGAAAATGCTCCTTTAACTACTAGTGATGACTTGCATAACAAAGTGGAACTTCTTACTTTTTAAAAAAAACAATGGTTCCTTATCATGAATCAGAAACTTTATAAAACACAGCTTTCTTTTTTAAAAACATGGTTCCCCCTTTTCCGTAATGTTCCCTCTGAAACTTAGCTACCACAAGGAGCTTACTGTAAAATCCTCTGGAGGACATAGGATTTGGTCCAACACAAATCAAAACAACAGGTGGGATTCAATCAATGAGTCCCCTTAGCAATGAGTCCTCTGTGAAAGGGCTTGGACTGCATGTGCGGAAAGAGTGGAAGAGTGTTCTGCCCAGCAAGTCCCTGAAGGAAGGGATACCTTCACACAAATATAAACAAGTCTTAAAGGAACTCCCTTCTGCCTTTACCTCACAGCAAAACCCTTCCCTCTACTGAGACAAGCCCTAGTTTATGCAAACCAGAATCAAATATTAGTTTGGTTCAGATAAAACAGTAGACAATGGGTTGCCTCAAACTAGGAAGAGAGGGAAGAAGGGAGGGAAGAAGGGATGCCAAATCAGCTCTGCATATGGTAGCAATTTACTCTAAATTTCATCTATACAATTTCATCATGGAAACTTGAATTACACAGCTTAAAAGTATTTTTCTTACCTTGTGCCTGCACTTAAGAACAACTCCATAGGCTCCTAGACCACCATTTTAAAAAAGAGGGGAAAAAGAGGTTAGCCACCAGAAGGCAGGAATTGTTATATATACAAGCATACACAATTAAAATATACCCACACCCCTCCTCATTATTTAGACCAAATGCTGTAACATTTAGTAATATGAGGCAACTCTGAATACACTGAAAATTGGCTAGTAAGTTTTCAAATTCTTTGATTCTTTTACATAGTTTGAAACCATGGATGCTTGTATCTTTCAATAGAAAGCAGAACTCTATAAAGGAATAAACACATGCACACAAATGTACTTTTGAATGTCTGCAGCATAAAAATACAGAGGTGATAGAAATGCTGTTATATCATCAGCTTTATTTTTAAGGAGTAATGAGCAAACGTTGGACCAGCAAAGCTTACACAGGGAAGCTTAGGCTGGTCAACAATAATATATACCTTCCTTTACATTAAAAGTGTCTAAAAGCATTTCAGAAATTAGTACCAAGATGCTACGTTATTAAGTAGATGAGTCTGCATCCAGAAATCAATCTGCCAGACACAGTAGAACATATCCTTTTCTGCTGTCCATTGTACAACCAGCAACTCAAACGTGTGCTGTCCCCTTTCTTGGGTAGTCTAACATCACAGCACAATGAAAATATCAGATTCTATCTGTCTGACATTAACCCGGAAGTAACTGCAAGGGTGGCTGAGTTTTTATTAATGGTATCTCTCAGAGTGGTGAATGGCACTAGTTAGCAGGAAGAAACTCCAATGAAAATCCTTATTACATATTTTTACATGGCTGTTTATTGGTATATATTTTAAAATTTTACATATGGATGTTTTATGATGGCTTATATTTGTAATGCCTAAAAAAGGTTTGGCGAAGCAAGCATCTAGAAATTTGAATCAGTTTATTCACTACTGATATGTGCTTTGTACACACTGATACACAAGAAAGAAATGCATGTTAATGCTAGGGATCAAAACTGGAGCCAGGAAAATGATGCACTTGGCAACAACATTCTCTTTGCAAAAGGAAAAGGAACAGCCTTGTCTCCTGAGGGTTTCTGGACATTAGGCAAGCACTGCATACTTTGCAAGCTTGATAGAGCGGATGGGTTCTTCCTGAGCTTGCATGAAAATGTATAAAACAGTGAGACAGCTTGTTTTGAGTGATTATGATTAAGGAGAGGCCCCATCCTTTTCTAGGCTTCAGAGAAGCAGGGGAATTCCCTCCCTGCTTCATACACCAAGATTTAGAGCTGGGAAATAAAGAAACACTATTAGCTATTAGAATATATATATTATGGTATGTAGGTAGGTGTGTGCGTGTGTGTGTGTGTGTGTACACACCACTTTTTATTTCTAAAATATATACCAAAGCTCTTTATACAGCCATAAAAATGACAATAAAGATACAACACACACAATCAATTTTTCTGTTTTTTAAAAAATCAATCACAGTAAAGAAGAGGGACATCCAGAAATAGCAATAGTGGTCAGGACTAAATAGAAATAGTTTTAATTGTAGGCCAGCATCAGTGCCTGTCTAATCTCAGTGGGGAGATCATTCCAAATGATAGTTACCACCTCCATGGAAGCCCCTCCACAGCATTCCTGGATGTATGGTATAGTGATATGGACGAAAGGAACTCCCTGCAGAGATCCCAAGGACCAAGATGAGACTACCTAAGGCTACCTGGTCCCAAGCTGTTTAGGGCCTTATCACACTAATGTTGTAACAGAACATTGTCTGTCAGAAGAGAATATGCTAGCAATAGATACCTTTAGAGAGAGAGAGAGAGAGATGATAGTTAATGCTCCCCATAGCGGACAATTATTCTCCTTCTCCCCATAAAAAAGATTTTGTAGGTTGCTTGTAGTGTTTTTTAAAATTTATTTTGGCAGATACCTAGGAGTCTGCATAGTCTGTGCACCAGTAGCTTCCTCATACCATCATTAGCTCTCTCTTAAAAAAGCATTAACTTGTCCCTAACTATTAAGAATACGTTGAAAGCACAAAGAGGTGATTCGGAAGTCAAAAGAGTACATGATGTTAGATGTTGTGTTATTAGTTAAAGTTTAGAGGTGTTATTGGGGTATTTTTTTTGTTTGTATGTCCTAATTGTTTCTTTATCTTTAATGTTTTGTGTAAAGTGATTTGCAATAAAAAAAAATTAAAAAAAAGCTTGTCCCTAACTATAACCATATTTGGAGGTCCAAAAGAGATTCCTGTAGACACCATCGTATTTTTATTCTCCCTCTAGTTATGTCTGTGCACCATCATGCACTTAGTCCCAAAATGAACTGAAAAAGGATGCAACAACAACAACAAAATTATTATTTATATGCCACCCATCTGACTGGGTTGCCCCAAGCACTCTAGGTGGCTCGCAACAAAATATTACAAACACAATAAAACATGTGCTTACCTTCACCAACAACCCCAAGGATCTCAAATTTATTCATCACATTACCAATATTAGGAATCTTCATGAAGACAAATTCCTCATGGGACAACAGTCACACAACATGGCATAGAGAAAAGCTGAAGGCTTTGCAGACTGAAGAGAAGGTTTTTGATAGTACAGTCTATCAACATAGATTTCTTCTTTCTTACAGTCATGTATTTAATTTTGTGGGAGATTCCTGTGCAGAAATAAAATAAGTGGCATCAGCTAACACTGTTTCACAAAACAATCAATGGCAGATTCACTATATCGGCAATTATTTGCACTCCAGAAGTTATGACTGAAACCCCATCAAAAGAGACACACACTTTTTACAGAAAAATAATTCAAGAAGCTTCAGCCCAGTTTTACATTGTGGTTAAAACAGAAGCACAGCATGCTGTCCTTTGATCGTTCAAGTTGTTAAGAGCTAGAGAGTTCCTGCAGAAGTGCACAAAGGCCTGGGTGTACAAATGTTGTTGTGATGCTTATGCCTCAAGCGCATCATTAGGCATCCCGTACAGGCAGTAACTATTTCACATGGGGGTTCCATTCCTGGCTACCCATACCACCCACGCCCCATTCTGCCCTCTTCTGGGTCCAAAAGGACCCACACATCAGCAATTATGCATCAGTTGGATGCGCCTAAAATTCGACCTGTATTTGAAGGCAGACTGTAAAGTTGCTTTGGAAAAGAGGACACCTGAAGTTACATAGTATATGCAAGGCATGCTACCCCTAGGAGGTGGCTAGGAGTATCCCAAAATGTTTTAATATTAATTCATAGTTTTAAAGAAACCATGAAAAAGCTTGATACTGTATTTTTAAAGTTTGAGAATACATAAAGATAAGTGTTATTATTAAGTTAAATTAAGTTAAAAAAAAACTATAAGATGTAGCATCATTCCAATAAAACATTTTATGCAACTAGACCAATATCATGGTTTTAATTTAAAAAGTAAAACAATAAAATCATACAATATGAGCTCTTTAAGTGCAGAATGGGGAGCGGGGCATTTTTTAACAGAATCAAAGCTAAAGTAAAGCTTTACACAAAGGAAGAAATCAACCAAATTGACTGAGGAACAAATTATCTTTACATATCTGCCCTGGAAACAGAGAAGCTCATGTGAAACAAGACTTGAGGGTAGGACTGAATCTAAATAATTAAATAAGCATATGCGTATAGATCAATGAACCAATCTGTTGGGCCTTGCAACCCCCTAAAAACAAAGCTGCATTACTATTTTTAGTGCACCCAAATAAAGGTAATGTGTAACTTATGCACATTTATTTACAATCCTATCAGATACAACCAAAATCAGCAGTTACCAACATAATGCAGTAGGTGGTTTATAATTTTTTTGGTAACTTATATGGAGTGAGATACAATGAACAAACGTTTCATTTTTTAAATGAAATGCTGCAATATCAATATGGTATAGAATCGTACACTGGCCTCGAAGGATTGCTTAATATTACTTAAAAGTAAAATAGCACTTTACTAATGCTTCAAGGTAAATTACTTCACTTGTTTTTAAGCTCAATTATTGTGCTGAAACCACTCGTGTTTCCTATTTTTAAAAAAATAAAAACCTAGCTGATCTGGGATTTTTTTTTAAAAAAAAAACAACCCTCCCTGCTTAATAAATTTAACAAAAGCATCCTGTCACAATGCTGGAAAAACAGTTGCAGCTTGGGTGTTTTATTCATATCTGGTAGTCATTATAAGGTTTATTGGGAAACTGAATTGATCATGGCTCAAATGAGTGATATAGACCACAGGATTTCTCTTCGTTCCATCTACTCTACAGACATCGTGGATCTCATTCAGAAGGACCTTGTAACTTACCTTACGATGGAAGAAGACCTTACAACTGTTTGATACTGGAGAACTCTAAATGCTGATTTGTTTTAAATGTGGTTTAAGCAGGTATAGGACTTGATATTAATGGAAAAACTGACTTACAAAGCTGAAGACCAAAGGAACGACACACGATCAGACAAATTTTATAAACATGGTTCAGCTTTATTTACTAAGCAACTACAAAAGAACATAGCTATGGACTACCAGCAACCTTTGGGGACATATGGAAATATACTTTTATTTGAAGGAGAATTATCTGTGTGTATTTGAATGGGACTGGGGCTTGAGAGGTGGGTAGAAAGGAGTTTTTCTTTTTGATTATGTTTACGTATTATGAAAATGACAAAGCAGCTTTTAAAAAGAAGGCGAGGAACAAGCATTAAAAAGATCCCAGAACAGCTGTGTTTTTAACATGTTCTTCTTAAGGTCTAAGATTATTCCCACTTTTCAGAAAAGGGGTGGGGCTTTTTGTTTGTTTGTTTGTTTCTGGACGGTGAAAACTATAACCTGCAAAGTTGTGCTTATCTTAATACAGTAAAGCTAGAACTCTGGTTATATTTGGCAGTCAGTATATATGCAACAATGTTGCTGACTATTGCTTCTTCCCCTGAGAGTTGTCCTGTAGGGTGTTCAGGGATTAGTTTGTCTCCAATCCTTTTATTATAATCAACAGGAAGTTCAATTAACAAAGGTAGATAAAAACATACTAACAGAGCAATCCTAGCTGGGGCGGGGGAAGATCAGAGCAGCAGACAACTGTTGCATATGAAGCTTTGCTGGTTCCTACTATCAGAGTGGAATGGAAGTGGAGCAGCTACCAATTCTAAAACAATTTCCTATTTAACTGTACTTTTTTTTTAATGTCTACATGAAATTGCTGTAGGTTGTTGAGTTTATAGAATGCAATTTCTTCAATATGCTGATGAAACTGAACTAGAGGTTGTGAAAAAGACTGATCATCCCAGGCTAATCAAGATAAAATACTTTTTTTTGAAGGAGACTTTAAAATTGCACTGAATTTTATGGCAGATGGGGATCTGCTTGACAAAATTCTGTATCCAAAAAGATGAAGCAAATCTTGTACAGACATTGGTGTTCCCTTGATCTGGACTGGGAATGGGCCCCAGTGTTACTTACTCCCTCCTGTCAGCCAACTCTCTTCATGCCTCCTGCTCCTAGTCATAGTTCACAATTACAACTCTATCCATATTAGTCATGGTTATTTCTAACCTGCATAGGCCCCTACCCAAGCACTTGATCAACTCTAGCTATAGCTTGTTTCATGTAATTTCTACTAAGTCATCTTATGGTTCAAACCAGAAGGGAATACACATTATGAAGTTACTTAAAATGCAAATGTTTAGTACATTAACAAGACAGATAATTCATTTTCTTTATCCCTCCTCCAGAATGCTCAATCCAGAGAGGGTACATTTATTTTTAGTAATGCAACACAGCTGAACACAAACTGGCATGCATTAGAGAATCTGAATCTATTCAACATTGTTGAATGTATACTCTCCAACTCTGCATCCAGAATATTTCTTTTACAAGCAAATTATAAACTGGTTTTACGGGACTGTCAACACAAATTATCAAACTCCTTATATGAATGAATATTAACCAATTGAGAGGAGAGCGTCTTACAGCCCTGCACCAACCAAAATTATAACATTCTACGTACCCCACAAATGAGGCAGAAAAACAGAAGGCTCTTACAGGCTAACAAAACATCAAGAAACTGGAGAACAGGTTTTAGTTTGGCACAGCCCTAGTCTAATCATAAACTTTACTAGACTTCATTTGCAATTTGCTACTGGCATCAAGCTATATCTGCAAGCAAAGGCCTGGAATCACATGGCAGCAACATTTTACCATCTGCACCATCTCACAAGGTGTCCCTGGCAGTGTTAGAAACTCAGATATATAAGCTAGGTGCCAAATGGCTCCTTAAACCAAGGTTACAGTTGCCAAAACGGAATGTTTAGTTGCCATTTTGGGGCAAGACAGTTCTAAAGTCTTATTTTTCAAATGATGGATTGAGTGTGGTTGATTCTCAGTTAAACATCTGGCTAGTTCAGATGACAACTTTGAGCTTTGGGAACTTAAGAAGAAAAGTCGCTTGATCCAGGGGCAGTGCACATATATACTGGCCTATTCCAACCTCTATTTCTTACTGGTGACTGCTCCTTCTCAGGATGCACTAGAGAAGCATTTTGGTACTGGAAATTCATTCTGATTGTGCAGATAAAATATAACTGATAGAATTCTACAGAATGGGATATTAGTGTGTGAAAACAGTCCAGATCCAATGATGACCAGGCATGCATGGTGAAGATATCAGACACCATCCTGGTGCCCAGGCATAGTCACTTGGTTGCAAGTGATCGAAAGCCAGGTGCAAAATGTGCCTGGCACCTGGCTAATTTCAAACACTGGTCCCTGGCAAAACATACACTTCATATATGTCTCCATCTCAGTCCCTAGTATCTCTGGTCAAGCTACCTCGGGTGGGTTCACTAGAAAAGTCATCTGTTTAGGTTCTGAGGCAATCAAGTCAAGGGACACACTATTCAATTAGACAACCCATCAGCCTGACACTATACAAAGCTGGTTTGTAAGAAACATTCTTAGGAGCCACTGATTGTATTGTACGCTCATGCAAGAACAATAATTACAATTCAACGAGTTTAACAAAAGTTCTTTGTACACCAACTCTTGGTGGTTACAGTATACAACAGCAAACAAAGGCAGCTTTAAATATAAAGGGATTGTTTTTAAAGACAAAAATGCACGACTTAACAAGAAATCAAAATTGCTATTATCTATATTATTGGGAAAGATTGAGGGCACAAGGAGAAGGGGATGACAGAGAACGAGATAGTTGGACAATGTTCTCCAAGCTACTAACATAAGTTTGACCAAACTGCGGGAGGCAGTAGAAGACAGAAGTGCCTGGCATGCTCTGGTCCATGGGGTCACGAAGATTCGGACACGACTAAACGACAACAACAATATTATTACAGTGGTACCTCGGGTTAAGAACTTAATTCATTCTGGAAGTCTGTTCTTAACCTGAAACTGTTCTTAACCTGAAGCACCACTTTAGCTAATGGGGCCTCCTGCTGCCGCTGCGCTGCCACTGCACAATTTCTGTTCTCATCCTTAAGCAAAGTTCTTAACCCGAGGTAATATTTCTGGGTTAGCGGAGTCTGTAACCTGAAGCGTATGTAACCCAAAGCATATGTAACCCAAGGTACCACTGTATAATGAAACAAACAAAAAGCACACAAACCAGTCAAAGCAACCTGCACAAGATGAACAAAATTGCTTGCAGGCTCTTGGTCTTATCGATTTATGTGAAACAGTTTTAGCAAATAGCCCAAATAAAGCTTAAAACTAAGGGTAATATCAGATATAAAGATTTTCTCTAAGCAGGTAACATCCACTACTATAGGAGTTCAGTCTATGAAGGTGTCTAGTGCACAGTCAGATATAAATTAAATTTCAGGTATTGAAACAAGTTATGGCCCACAACATATTCGCTCAACCATTCACCTTCTTAGTCTAACATCTAGCAGGAGAGTTGACCATATGGATTCAGGAGGCAACAAGGGGGAAAGTGCCATCTATCTTGAATAAGACAATGGTAATGCCACACTAGAAGACATTATCGTTTGCTAATTGCAAATATTCACTTCTTGAGAAAGCTGCTCAAGGGAGTGGTTGCCATGCAACTCCAGACACTCTTGGATGGACCTGATCACCTGTATTTCAACTTTGCCTGGCTTTGGCAGAGAAACTGCCTCAGTTGTCACAATGGTTGACCTGTAATAGGAGACGGACAAGGGGAGTGTGACCTGGATCTCTTAAAGCAGCAGTAGAAAACTGAATCTGGCCAGCAAGCCATAAAGTTATCTTATCCCACCCCTTATATCCCAGATTTGATTAGTCATGACCATCCACCTTTCCACCATCTGGTGTCACAATAGCATCAGGTGACTTTTTTGCCTACACAGGTCTTACAGAACAGTTTACAAAGCATTCTCTTATGAAATCCCTTGCAAAGGACTTTTTAAGCATCACAGATCAGCATCTCTCTCTTTGGCTAAACCAGGTATTTTACCTGCCCAGCAGCTGACATAGAGCAGGTGGGAACAGCTCGGCGAAAATCGCCTACCAGGCCAAATAAGGAGGTTCGGCAGCCCTAGTTAGACCTGCAGATCATAGGTTCCCTATCTCTCTCTTAGAAGTTTTCTAAGGATGCTCTTCTTCTAGATAGGCTCTATTAGGAACGGGGGAGCAACAGTTTTTGCTGCCCCATGCCTTAATAGCATCAGTTCCAAAAGGTGTTGCTTGGGAACTTCTGCCAAGCTCCATGGCACTGATGCCACAGGATTCCATTTTATTCCCTATGCTTTTCAAAGTTTACCTGAAACCTTTGAGAACAAGGTTATCCTGAATTTTGGGCTTTGGTATCACCACGCAGATGACATTTCACACTCCCTGGTTTAGACTGGTTCTGCTGAGGTAGCAGAAGTGCTGGGAGGGTCTTTTTCGGGGAAGGGGAGATCTGGCCTATGGGTTAGCTACCACTACCTTAGTTCCTTTATGCCTATGCTTCTCTGGATTCCACCCACTGAGTTTTGCAACTTATTGTAAAACTATCATGGACATTTTAGTGATATTTTAGTGTATTTTTGGTTTCTATGGAAGCCGCCCAGAGTGGCTGAGGAAACCCAGCCAGATGGGCGGGGTACAAATAATAATAATAATATTATTATTATTATTATTATTATTATTATTATTACAGAGTGGTACACATTGTTTTTGTCTGGTCTTGATTGTCAGTGCTGCTTGAAGGTGATACAAGCACCATCAGTGACACCCTCCTGCCCCCACTTCTTGAGAACAGGCCTTCCAACCTCAAGGCTAAGGAGAAGATGGCAGAAAGGCTGGAGAGTGTTTAGCCTTTCTAGTAGCCAAACCAGAAAATGCTCAGTGCCTTCACCATTTCTGAATGGACAAATGCCCACGGTGGGAATGAGACTGCAGAGTATCCAAGCCATTTAGCCCCCACTTTCCTGTTTTAAACTTGCAGCTATGAAGGCAGGATATGTGAGGCTTGGTTACCAAGGCAAACCAAAGCTGTGGAACCATGTTCCCATCCTCTAACAGTATTTTAACAGTATTTATTTACTTGAATAAATGCATATCCCACCTTTTAGAAAAACCTTAAGGTGGCAAGTAATATAAAGACAAACATTTTTTTTAAAGAATAATTTTTTATTAACCGACCAATCACATCAAATCAAACCAAATTACATAAATTCCAAATTACACAGCCGAATTTTAAATTTTTGTTGGGGGTACCCATATTTCAAGTTCCGAAGGGATCCAATCAACTTCTTGCTTCTTACTGCTGTTTTAATGTCCACAAATCTAACCTTATGATGTTCACAGTACTATCCAGTCCTTTCTTATTATTTTTCCACATCTCTTGTTGTTATTTTCATATATTTTTCCTTTCTCTTTGTGACCTCTGATAGTCTCCACAAGCTGGTTAGAACAGTTTGTAATCCTGCGTGGATATATATTTTTTTATCCAGTAGCCATATCCAGACGTTTTCCATATAACATCACTTCCATACATCAAAACAGTCTTAGCGTCATTAATCTTCACCAATCTGCCTCCTTTCTCAAAACCTCTGAGGAGATTCACTAGGAATGCAGTCTGAAAACAAGTCCATTCTTCCTCCCGGCTATAAATCCTTTGGCAAGATGGCGACTCCGAATTAATTGCTGCGCCATTCCCAAAAGCTCTTATTGCTTCTCGGTCTCCATAAAGCATACTTTTGGTTAAAGTTTATCTCCACACAGACCTTAATCATCCTGCTTGGGTCAGTTCAACCGACGGTTCTAATGAGGAGGGGTTCTTGTAAATCACATAGAAGGAAAGTAAAAAAGGTTCCCCCCCCCATTCAGCCCCGTTGTCAACATACCCCGCCTTTGGTGTATCTTCATCATAAAATATTCCTGTTTCTCCAGCCCGTCGTCTTCTTTCGCAGAGGTCACTTAAATTAGCAGACTTCACTCCCCTTCTTCACTTGAAATATGTGCATTTGCTTCTTTTGTAATTAATTATTCCAAATTGCTGCAACTAGTGCGCGATCAGAGACAGCGTCCAGGAGAGCCGAGGTCCACACGGGGCATTCTGCCTAGGGCCCTCACCCCCTTCTTTCGAATTAGGGGGTGATTTATGGGCACAGCAGGCAAGGGCAGTGTTCCCCATTTCCTTGGGGCAACAAGGGAGGCTGCCTACTCCCATAACAGCCTCTTAATTACCCCGTGTGGGTCAGAGAGATGGTATTGTCAGCCATCTTCCAATGCGCCCCCCATATAAAGACAAACATTAATATATATAAAGTATTCTAATAAGGCACAGTAAGTCAGTGCAATAATCATAGGTAAAATAGGTAGATATATAGAGGAAATAATAAACCCACCGTGACCAAGATAACAGCAAGCCCAACAGTATACCCATCTAAAGCCTACTTTGTTGTGTTTGGTGGAGCCTGCTTGGGGTGAGAAAAAAGGAGGGAAAGGTGGTGCGTCTGCTCCCCCCTCCATCCATCTGCAAGGACGAAGAGCATTTGGCAGCTTGACTTTGACAGAACAGAACTACATGGAATTTGCCTACAAGGAACGAAAAAGAAATATCTGAGGGACAGGCAATTCCCTTTCAATAAGGATGGAGGATATCCGGTAGCTTGCCTATTATGTAGCAGCTCTAACCCAATTGATGGGAAGAGCGTACAATTCCCACATAAAAACTGAGGTATACCATGTAGTATCATAGGAGAAACCTGTAACTGCATGTATGCGTGTAGATAGACAAAACTTTATTTTGCAGCAATACAGATGTTTTATAACTGAGCTTAAATGGTTTTATTAGATGGTTGTTATAAACCACTGGCAACCTCAACTTTCTTCTAAAATGCCAAGATTATAATATATAATCTATATTATATGGAGGTTATAATCTATAACCATGGAGATATTAATAGCAGAGTATGCATAGGGGACGCGGGTGGCGCTATGGGTTAAACCACAGAGCCTAGGACTTGCTGATCAGAAGGTCGGCGGTTCGAATCCCCGCGACGGGGTGAGCTCCCGTTGCTCGGTCCCAGCTCCTGCCAACCTAGCAGTTTGAAAGCACATCAAAGTGCAAGTAGATAAATAGGTACCGCTCTGGCAGGAAGGTAAACGGCGTTTCCGTGCGCTGCTCTGGTTCACTAGAAGCGGCTTAGTCATGCTGGCCACATGACCCGGAAGCTGCACGCTGGCTCCCTCGGCCCATAGAGCGAGATGAGCGCCGCAACCCCAGAGTCGGTCACGACTGGACCTAATGGTCAGGGGTACCTTTACCTTTACCTTTACGCATAGGGTTGCTGTACAACAATCCCTTGCAGCCTAAACCAGACCTGCAACAAGGGGATTATTAGCAATTAACAGCATTACAGCATTGATAGGTTTCTTATTAGAAACTAGTATTTATTCATATGTATGTGAAATCAACTGATAAAAAATTGTAATAGTGGAAACCCTATCTGTAACTTTAGTTCACATAAAAAACATTTTTGCATCCTTTCATTCCACGAAAAGCCACCTGCAACCTCTAAAACCCTCTCTAAATGGTAAGAGGTCTATGCTGAACAGATGTGGGAAGGGGAGGGCTACTGGATCCAAACCCAATTATCTCCTCCTTTGCAGCTCACCACTTCCCTTCCTAATTGCTCAGGAGTCCCTTGATCTTCTATTAAGACTTTTAGGGGATACACATAGCTGCAGTGGGAAGGAGGAGATGCAAAACTTTCATTCCATTGACTTCCTTAAGTTATTTCAGGAACCAAGGCAGTATAGAGGTACCAATAAGAACATAAAAATGAGAACAGTAGATAAAGTAGCCAAGAAACATATCCTAAATAAAAACAAAAATATAGCAGAACAGGTCAGAGGTCACACATTGTTTAAAAATAGCAGTGATGGCATCATGCACACATGTGCCTAGGAAAATAGTGTCTTAATTTGATCACTACCACAAAGACAGCCCTCTGTCTAACTACAAACTTCCTACATCTCCGCCCGTGCCCCCTTGCTTGTGTGGAGGGGATAACAACAGTGAAAGCCCTGCCAAGATTGCTACAACTGTGACAGGGTATCAAGGATAAATTGTCTATAAATTGGCCTTCAAACATTATAGAATAGGGAGGTCCAACATCATAGAACAGGGAGGTCCAAGGGCCACATGCAGTCCTCAAGGCCTTTCTGGGAAGCCCTCAGCAACATTTGACACCCTTCTCACACACCTCCTTCCCAAAGCTGAGTCAGTGAGGCACTGGGCTTTGGGAAGGCATGGGGTCTCTGATAGGGTCCTAGAGTCCTCCAGCCTCCTTCCCAAAGCCTAATTAGCACTTTCTCAGATTTGGAAAGGAGATGGGAAGGCTCTAGGACCCTGCCAGAGCCTCACACCTCCTTCCCAAATCCCAGTACCTCACTTATCCAGCTTTGAGAAGGCTGCATGAGGGCTGCAGGGGGGGAGGGGCCTTGCTCCACCCCCCAAGTGCAACAAGGGAGTGTGCAGTCTGTGGGTTCCATGTCAAAGTATTCTTGCAGCCCACTTGGTATTAAAAGTTGGGCTGCCCTGTATAATCCATGCATACTTTGGCTATGGATTACTATCAAGGAGCATCTTGTATAGGTTTTGAAGGTCAGTTTATAGACATTTTATTCCCATCTTTGAATAAGATGCACAGCTAGTGTTTCCCTCCTAACTTGACTGTTAAAAAAAAAACCCAAAATGAAGAAGGGGGAGAATTTAGGTTGGTTGCCTTCTCATTCCGCCTACCTACCCAGCTGGCTGGTCTTTGTCCATGCATTAACAGAAAAAACTAATAGTCACACTGTGTTACTGATAGATTTCAACACCATTTGTCAACTCAGATATGCTAACACAAAGCCATAAGCTCTGCCCTAGGAGTGACAATTTACAAAAGCCAAAGTATCATTCTAGGATGAACTACTTTACTAAACAGCATTTCTTACTACAAACTTCAATCCTAAGAACACTTATTTGGAAGCAAGTCACATTGAATACAATGGATAAATTTTCACAGATCAGGCTGTGCATAAACTTAGCAATGATGTATGTAGACTACATATTTGTTTACTAATTTGTGTATTACATCAATCAAGTAACATATTATTCTTTGAATCAGTAGTCACATGAGACAACAAGCACAGCTCCCTATAAAATAGTTTTTTTAAGAAACTGTTTACTGAAAGACCGAGCAAGAGATTCTGATAAATCATTGTTCTTAACCTGAATAAATCTCAATAAATATGATTTCAAAGATACGAATGTTATCAACAAGAAATCTTTTTATCTTGAACAAGGCATTGTAAAAAATAGTAAGGCTGCAATCCCATGCATACTAATTTTGAAGTAACTCATAGAAATGGACTTATCTGAGTGAACATGCATAGGATCAAGCTACACTTCTACACAATGCATAAAAATATAGTCTTAAATGAGGAATTGAATACAAGCCATGGAAAATTGCAAAGTCATACTTAAGTGCATCAGTAATACAATAACTTCCACACATGACATACAGTGGTACCTCGGGTTACCAACGCTTTGGGTTACAAACTCCACTAACCCGGAAGCAGTTGCTCCAGGTTAAGAACTTTGCCCCAGGATGAGAATAGAAATCGCCTGGTGGCGGCGCAGTGGCAGCGGGAGGGCCCATTAGCGAAAGTGCACTTCAGGTTAAGAACGGACCTCCGGGATGAATTACGTTCATAACCCAAAGTACCACTGTACTATAGGTGAAAGGTAAAGGACCCCTGGACGGTTAAGTCCAGTCAAAGGAGACTATGGGGTGTGGTGCTCCTCTCACTTCAGACTGAAGGAGCCAGCATTTGTCCACAGACAGCTTTCAGGGTCATGTGGCCAGCATGACTAAACTGCTTCTGGTGCAACAGAACACCACGACAGAAGCCAGAGAGCACAGAAATGTCGTTTACCTTTCTGCCACAGCAGTACCTATTTATCTACTTGCACTGGTATGCTTTAGAACTGCTATGTTAGCAGAAGCTGGGACAGAGCAACAGAAGCTCACCCCATCGTGCGGATTCGAACCACTGACCTTCTGATCAGCAAGCCCAAGAGGCTAGGTGGTTTAGACCACAGCGCCACCCGTGTCCCACCATGACATACTATACATTAGAAAGATTTGATGTTCAGACCATAATACTGTTAGAAGAAAATGATACAGAAAGATTAGTCATTATAAAAACTTACAATATTGATGTGGCACATAGAAATAAGAAAGGAAGAGCAATCCAATCCCTGATCATGCCAGGTCTGTGGTTGTATTTTTTAAAAAATAGTTTTTATTCAGGTTTTTTGTGAGTCAGCCTCTCATCCTCACCAGTCTTTCCCTTCCATCTGTTGAATGGGTGGGTGGGTGGCCTACTGGCAGAGCCCAGCGGACCCCACCCCCTCAAAAGGCTCTTTCTGAGAGCAAGGGAAAACCAACATGTAATCCGCTCGATCCCAAACCAATCTCACTGCCATCACACAATGGCATCTGATCTGATCTGGACACAACTGTCCTGCCCCCCTTTCTAGCATGGGCCACTCCATCAGCAATAGGAGCACAGATTGCACCCCAAGACACTACAATGTGGTCAGTATTAACAAGCATAATTAAAAATAAAGAAAAGAAAAGAAAATGAAACTAAATAAATAAAAAAGCTTGAAGTAAATAGCTACTACAGGACTTTATACATTTTTAAAAAGCATTGACTCAATTTTTACTTAATTCCAAAATATAAAATTTAATCAGTGGCCTAGGGTATCTCTGCAACAGGAATCCAATCTAAAATTGACTTACTAAGGTTCTGCTTGAGGAGGAGCACACGTCAAATCCCAAAGGTTGCATAATTCAAGCCTACTACAAACACTTTCCTAATTAAGACACCTAATCTTAATTACCCTTCTTCACTGAGAGTAAGCAACATACAATGCAGTAGGACTTACTTTCGAGTGGACATAGGATTGGTGGGTGGGACCTAAGCCGTGAGCCAGAGTCCTTGTTTCAAATCCAGCTACTTGACTTAAAGATACTATTTGTCAGCAGTGATATGGAGACAACAATTCTACCTACCTTAAAAGATTGTTGTAAAGATTAATGATGTACTTTGAACATTAAAGCACTATGTTTATATTCATATATATACATATCAGATATAATTAATGTTATAAGCAACTACAGATATTTAGCATTTAAATTTGCTTTTTCCAAGTGCTAATTTTGAGACTTTATTGAAAGTCTAATAATTATACACTTTGCCACTGAAATTCTGTTCATTTTTATTCAGAAGTAAGTGTCATTAAGTTCAAAGGTTTAGTCCCTACCCCAGGTAGGTATGCAACCTATGCAACCTATGGCTGTTTTAAGCTAACTTAGGAGCTTTGCCTCCACCATTCATCCAAAACAGCATTCTGTGGGAGGGGGCAGGGGGAGAGGCAGGGACGATACAGAAACTCACATAACCTTTTCTTCACAAAAGAATGCAATTATTATATGACGAATTGTATTCTTTTTAAAAGTCATTTCATCACATAAGCTAAGGCAAGGAAAAGAGCTCCTAAACTAAGCCCTCACCAAAAAGGAGAAAGCAGAAGATATATATATGTGTGTGCATGTGTGCATTTGTGTAAATGTTGCCCAAATTTCACCTTATACCAATGAGTTTATATAACAATTGTTGATTTCATTCTAAGTGCCTCATATAGGAGCAATCTTTAAAAACTGCCAGCAGCTACAATATATATGTACAAGTAGAAAAAGCAGGCCAGGGGTTTTGAACCTTCCCAACAGAAGGTAGAAAACATGAGCAACAGAAAATTAAACATTTCATTCAATCCTGTTCTTTCAAAACTTCAAATTTAATTTGCAATAGGGCTGTTGAGTAATTAAAGGGCTGTTTTTATTTTTTTTTATTATGTTGTCTGCTTTTAATGATTAAAACTATAATTACAGTATTTCAGTCATGGATGTATACATTGAGTATGTTTAACAAATACAATGTTTATCTTGACCAGATAAATACAATATCGTTTTTGAAAATTTCAAACACATTGCCCTATACAGTATAAGCAATGCACACACATATCCTGCATTATTATAAAGCCCAACCCTTTCACAAGAAATAGCTTCAGACAAATTATTTTTAAAAATTTCTAACGAAGAACAGAGATTACTCAATTATACTTTCAATTCTACTGGGTCTGTTATTTGACCACATTGCGATGGACACAGGAGCTGCACTACAGAGCAAAGACAAGCAATGGCACCATAAGGGGAATCCCAGAGCCTATCTTACATAGGGAAATTTTTAACGGAGCTTCATCAGGCTTTTGCCATTACATTCAGCTTCCGCCTAAGGCTGCATGTACCATTCTCTTCACAGCAGTCTTTGACACCTTTACTTTAAAAAAAACCTATCACAAAAGATGGGGGGGGAGAGAACTGAAGCCAACCTGTGATGTGTAAGAATTAACATTCCCCCACATCTGTGCCTATTCAAATACACATCCCCACAGGGAGCCAAGGGAAAGGTGCACAAAAGCTTGTATGTCAAGCACCCAGAGGTAAAGCATGGCATAGAATGGGGCTTTCAGCCCAAATTGCTATTTTTACTAACAGGACAGGGAAGGAAAAGCCACAGCACAGAACACGAGTCTGCAGCGCAATTGCATACATAATATTGCTCACACCTAACTCACTGGGGGAGAAGAGATGGGGGGGGGGGGAGAGAGAGAGAGAGAGAGAGGGAAGAAAGCCACATGTATGACATACCAGAAGAATAAAAATAGGCAAGGAGAAGCAGCGAAGGAGGAAAAGCTGCCTGGGCTGGCTCCTCTTGCCTTCATCTCAAAGCACCACGAGAATACCAAGCACATAAAAGCAGTCCGGCGAGATGGATCATGCCGAGGTCTCCAACGCCACCATCACTCCCAGTACAACATATTAATGGATGCGGGGGTCTGGCAAGCCCTTGGTCTTGCTGCTCCTGCTGGAGACAGAGGCGGTGGCGGTGGCGGCTGGGAAAATACCCCTAACAGCAACCACCAGAATACCCCCCCTTTAAAAAGAAGCAGAAGCAGCAGCCCTGTAGGGAAATGGATGGTGAGGGGAGAGGAAATGCCCAATGGGACTTGCGCTTCGGTTGGGGAAAGGGAACAGCAGGAAGGAAATTTGGAGGTGGTGGGGTCTGAGGGGGGGGAGGGAGAGAGAGAGAGGCGAGGAAGTAGGCGGCATCTGTGGCAACTACGGCGTGTTCTGGGGGGCTGAGGGCTGTGGGTGGGATTTGAAAAAAAGGGGGGCGGTTATGGGGAGGGGGAGGAGGGGGCGAGGGAGGCTGAGGGGAAACTGCAATGTGGGCGACAGGTGGGTCAGGTAAACGCCTCCACTCCCGAGTGCTTACCGGGCCTCGCATCCCCCGCCGCTCCGTCCCTCAGCGCTGCTGCTGCCGCCGCTATCGCCACCGCCACTGCCTCCCTGGCGCCGCCTTCGTTATTGCCCGCCCGCGTGAAAAAAATGGAAAAATTCCTCCCCGCACTTGCCTCACGCCTTCCTCTCTCTGCCTCGCAGCTCGCTCGCTTCGTTCTCAGCCAAACCCGCTACCCGCTTGCAAGGCTTGGAGGGAGGTGTTTACCGACACGGGCCTTCCCTCCTCCCCTTGCCTACCGCCCGCGGTCTCGTTTGGTCCACTGACACTCACCCCCGCCAATGGGAAAGGAGCACGGGGCGGAGGAGGCCACGCCCTTAGCTCCACGGGAACCAATGGGGCCAAGCGCCCGCCTCCTTCCCCCCTCCGCACACACACCGCGCTCGCTTTGCGCCACGGTGGGCTGGAGATGGGCGGGGGTCTCCGCGGCCTTCGCCGCCGTGACTCCACCCCCACGCCCGCCTTTTCCTCGCGGCTTGGCCCCGCCCACCGCACGCCCAGGCTCGGTTGGCTTTGCAGTTCCCGAGCAACCACAGGGGCCGTGATGGAGACGGAGGCGGCGGTGGCTAATGCTGCTGCTTTTACCTCTGCTGCCGCCGCCGCTGCCTGGCAGCTGGAGCCGGGAGAGGGAGAAATGGAGGGGGGGAAGGGGGGCTGGTAGCAGCAGGGGAGTCGTGACTGGGAAGTAGCAGCTGCTGCTGCCAGGGAGAGAGGGAAGGGTGGGGAGAGGGGCAGGGAGGGGGGCTGGGTGCTCGTGAGGGAGGCATAAGCAGCACCAGCAGCTGGTGCTGTCATGACTAAGCAGCGTATGTGAAACAGGCAGAAACAGGTGGGGGCTCAAAACAGGCAGGGGAGAAGAATATATATATATTTTCATCTTGTTCGTCGCTCCCGAGCACGGATTTCCCTCAGGGTGGATGCTTTTTCGTCCCCCTCCCCACTCTATTTTATGACTACTGTTGCATGTGCCAGGGAGGAGGGGAGGGGAGAGGCGCCAAGGATGCAACGTGCAGGAAACTGTTAAGCATGTTTGCAGTGTAGGTCAGTAGTATGCGCAGGCTTTCCTCCTTAATGCGTCCTTTCTTGGTGGATTTCCCACCCCCCCGCCCGCCCGCCCAGTAGCTCGCAAACAGGGCTGTGTATACATTACTGACTTAAAATTCAGATAGGTCATTCTTGCGCGCGCGCCCCCCGTTTGGATCGAAGCTGGTGGGTGGGTGTGCAGTATTACTTCGTAAGGATAGGTACACTGTCAGTATGGATTGTGGCAAACCGTGGTGCGTGCATCACTTCCCAAACCGGTGGTGGGAGGAGGAGCACGCTGGATGGGAATCTGTACAAAGCCCTAGTACCAGATATCAGTACACTGAATTGTAAACCCATTAATTAGGACGTTAAGTCACTGAAATATACTCAAAGTCGCAAGGTGATTTCATGCTCTTTATTCAGCTCATAGTGGTGAGGAGGAATGAATGAAAGTCCCCTCAAAGTATCTGCTTTATATACATTATTTACACAATGGGCTGCACATGATTGGCTAATTCTGGAATTCTACTGTAAGCCCATCAGGTTGTGGATTCACTTATATCTGGAGCATGATTGGGTGGTTCCTGCCAACCAATCATACTGCTGCATTGTTCTAGGACCAATCAGACTGCTGCAATTTGGATCCTATTGTTCTAGGACCAATCAGACTGCTGCAGTTTGGATCCTATTCAACTCAGTACATAACACCCCTCCCCTCTAAGTTCCAGTCCTGCCCAGGAGGTCGCATTCATAGTCCTCGAGGTACGCCGGCAGCCTACGTGTGCATTGCGGCCTGTGGTGTTCCCTGGTCCGGGGTTCAGGTTCTGGCTCGTGTTCCAAGGATGCTGGCTGTGATGGGCCTGTTTGGTCTGGCACAACCAGCTCGCTCAGTCGTGGTTCTGGTTCCGGTGTCCTTTCGGCCTCGCGGGTCCTCTCTGTATTTACTGATTCTGCCTCTCCTGCTGGCCCCTCCTGCTCTATGGGCCTCACTGCCCCACTGTTCCCTTGGGACTCCTCTGACCTTTCCTCCTCCCGGTTTTCTCCCAGGAATCGTCGCCGTATCTGGTCGCAGTGGCGGTGCCAGCATTGCCCCCCATCCGTTAGCACCTCGTACGACACGGGGCCAGTGACCCTGGTGACTGTGGCGGGTACCCATGCTGGGCCTGCCCCAAAATTCTTTGCGTACACTGGGTCCTGGGCCTCGAAGTTCCGGGGATTCCTGCCTTCCCCCACCACTACCTCATCCTGAGCTCTATCGGGGTGAAGGCGGTCCAATCTGATTGCAAGGCGCCAACCCATTAGTAGTTCAGCGGGGCTCTGGCCAGACGTTGAGCTGGGGGTGCTGTGCTGTGCTAGGAGGAATGTGGCAAGGCGGTACTCCCAATCCCCTTGCGTCATGCGGCGAAGGGTGTCCTTGATGGTCCGCACCATGTGTTCTGCTTGGCCATTGGTGGCAGGGTGGAATGGCACCAAACGGATGTGGCAGATGGCGTTCTGCGCTGTGAAGGTTTGGAATTCTCCTGACGTAAATGCAGTCCCGTTGTCTGAGACGAGAGTGTCAGGGAGCCCGTGGGTTGCAAACAGCCTGCATAGTACCCGGATGGCTGCGGAGGTAGAAGTGGACGGTACCAGTGCGACTTCCAACCATTTGGTGTAGGAGTCCACCACTATGAAGAATGTTTTCCCCTGAAAGGGGCCAGCGAAGTCCACATGCAGGCGTGACCATGGTGCTCGGGCGGACTCCCAGGACTGGACTGGGGCCCTTGGGGGATCTGGGCGGGATTCATGGCAGGCCTGGCAGTGTTTGACCCAGGCCTCTATCTCTCCGTCGATCCCCAGCCACCACACATAACTCCTGGCCAGGGCCTTCATTCTTACTACCCCTGGGTGTGTCTCGTGTAGGGCTGTGAGGACCCTTTTGCGGAGGGGCTGGGGAACAACGACCCTGCTTCCCCATAACAGGCACCCCTTGTGGGCCGACAGTTCATGTTTGCGGGTTGTGTAACCAGTGAATTCTGGCCCAGGGCTGCTGCTGGGCCATCCCCTCCACACCCAGTCCAGGACCCGGGAGATGACCCTGTCTTTCTTGGAATGGTGTGCAACTTCTTGTGCCTGAATGGGGCGGTCGGGAAGCAGCTCCAGGCTCATAACCTCTTGTGCAGGTGCTGGGTCGGGGCCTGTTTCCAGTAGCGGTAGCCTGCTGAGGGCGTCCGCATGGCCCATCGCCTTCCCCGGGCGGTGAATCAGTGCATACTGGTAGCTGGCAAGGAAAATTGACCACCTGAGGACGCGAGGAGACAGCACTTGGGGGGTCTGCTTTTCGGGGGCAAACAAGCCAAGCAACGGCTTGTGGTCGGTCACCATGGTGAAGGGCCGCCCGTATAAGAAATCATGGAATTTTTTTACTCCCTTCACGATTGCCAGCCCCTCCTTGTCTATTTGGGAGTAGTTCCGCTCGGTTGCGTTGAGTGTCTGGGAAAAGTATGCTACCGGTACCTCTCTTCCATCCAGGAGTTGGTGTCCCGGGACAGCACCAATGCCATAGGGCGAGGCGTCGCATGCTAGCACCACCGGCAGCCTCTCATCGAAGTGTGCCAAGACCGAGTTTGAGACAAGCAAGTCCTTGACTGCCTGGAATGCAGCCTCCTGGCGCTGGCCCCACACCTAAGGGGCCCGCTTGTCCAGGAGTCTGTGTAGGGGCTCCGCTACCGCCGCCTTGTGGAAAAGGAAGGAATGGTAGAAGTTCAATAGTCCCAAGAAGGCCTGAAGTTCAGTCTTGCTCTTGGGCGCTGGGGCATCACAAATGGCCCGTACCTTGTCCCCAGTCAGGTGGACCCCTTCTGCGTCCACCAGAAATCCCAGAAAGTCCACCTGAGGCACTCCTAGTAGACATTTTTCCCGCTTCACCTTGAGACCCGCCGTCTGGAAACGGTGCAGAACGGTGCGGAGGCGGTCCTCAGACTCCTCTGGTGTGGGCCCGGCAATCAACACATCATCGAAGAAGGGGGTGATGCCAGGAATCCCTTTAAGGAGCAAGTCCATTAGATTCTGGAATATGCCTGGTGCCACACTGACACCGAATTGCAGCCGCTTTACCCTGAACGCTCCTCTGTGCGTCACAATCGTCTGTGCCTCTGCTGTGGCCTCATCTACTGGCAGCCAAGTCCAGCTTGCCAAAAATTTTCGACCCAGCCAGGGTGGCAAGGACATGGCTGACCACTGGCACTGGGTATGCATGGGCCGTGAGGGCCTTGTTTATTGTACATTTGTAGTCTGCGCAGATGCGGACCGAACCATTAGGTTTGACGGGTGTGACGATTGGGGTTTCCCAGGGGGTATTAGGCACCGGCTCCAGCACTCCTTGCTCCACGAGCCGGTCCAATTCCTCGTCTATACGGGGTTTCAGGGCGAACGGGACCCGGCGGGCCTTGAGCCTGACCGGTCGTACTGCGGGGTCAAGCTGTAGAGCAATGGGGGGGCCTGTATACTGTCCCAATTTCCCATCGAAAACCCCTGGAAATTCCTTGCATATGGCGTCCACGTCCACTTGTAAGGTAGTGTGGTTCACCCCGGTGATGGCTAGCCCCAGTGGTCCAAACCATGCCAATCCCAGTAAGCTAATGTAGGGGCCCTTGACCACAAGCAAGTCCAGTTGCCGCGTCCGCCCTCGGTATTGCACCCTGAAGGTCCCCACCACCATTGTGGGGACCTTACGTTTCTGGAAGTCCCGGAGGGTGAATGGGGCCGGCCTGAGTTTGGGACCCCCAGTAGGACACAGTTTCCTTAAGGTCCTTGCCAAGATTATGGATAGAGTTGAACCCGTGTCAAGCTCCATGCGGCATGGGGCCCCCTCTATCTGTACCTCTACATAAATTTTCTCTACGTTGGGGTGGGACAACTGGTATACCTGGAAGTCCATGAGCTCCGTCGAGTTGCCTTGGTGCGTTGGGCCCCGGGACCTGGGGCTCTTGGATTTGTCATCTGATGCCTGGTGTCGGGTGGGCCGAGCTTGACACACCCGGGCGATGTGTCCGATTTTCTGCACTGCCTGCACTCTGCGTTGCGGAAACGGCAGGTCCTCCTCTCGTGACTTTCCCCGCAGCTTGCGCAGTTCCCTCCTTCTCGTCGAGGCAGCTGTGGTATGTGGGCTGCTTGAGTGCGCTGCTGTACTCGGTGCACCTCCTCCCTGTCAGATCCTGAGTCGTCGGTGAGGTCTTCGTGGTGGACCCTCGGTTGGGATGGCAGGCTCGGCCGTGCCTCTTGCGTCGACTTCTTGGCAGCTTCCGTTGCCAGGGCCTCCTCCAGAGCGACCTGGAACGTTAGGTCCTTCTTAGTGTAGAGGCGTCGTTGCAGCTTCTCATTCTTCAGGCCACCAACGAGGCGGTCCCGAAGCATGTTCTCCAGCTCTGAGAAGTTGCAGAACCGGGCGGCTTGGCGGAGAGAGGTCACAAACCCAGTTATGGTTTCCCCAGGGGCTTGCTGCTTTGCGTAGAAGGCATTTCGACGAGCCACCACTGAGGGCTGCGGTGAAAAGTGCCCCTTCAGCTGTTCTATTATTGTTTTGTATGGAACAGTAGCGACGTCTTCAGGAGCAAGGAGAGCCCGGGCAATTTCAAACGTCTCCTCTCCGCAGATGCTTAAGAATATCGCCCTCTTCTTGGCGTCTTCTTCATCGGTGACCCCTTTGGCTTCTAGGAGGAAGGTGAAACGGGAGGCGTACACTTCCCAGTCTCCAGATGCTGGGTTGAACGGTGAGAAGCTGCTGTTGGTTGCCATTCTGAGTTCCTTGTGTCCCGGAGCTGAAGCCTGGATACACGGTGCGAGGCAGTGGTGCGGCAGGTGGCGGTGCTGCGGTGCTGTGTGTGGCAGTCAGCTCAGCGGGATCCCATCCTCGTCGCCAGTGAAATATACTCAGAGTCGCAAGGTGATTTCATGCTCTTTATTCAGCTCATAGTGGTGAGGAGGAATGAATGAAAGTCCCCTCAAAGTATCTGCTTTATATACATTATTTACACAATGGGCTGCACATGATTGGCTAATTCTGGAATTCTACTGTAAGCCCATCAGGTTATGGATTCACTTATATCTGGAGCATGACTGGGTGGTTCCTGCCAACCAATCATACTGCTGCATTGTTCTAGGACCAATCAGACTGCTGCATTCTGAATCCTATTGTTCTAGGACCAATCAGACTGCTGCAATTTGGATCCTATTGTTCTAGGACCAATCAGACTGCTGCAGTTTGGATCCTATTCAACTCAGTACATGACAGTCACGTTGAATTCATAAACAGTGGAAATTAATTTTGGGTCAGGATACTTAGGTTTCCAGTCATTAACTCCCCTATTTATTGTAATAGGCGTTTTGTTACTTACGTCAACTGAAGCAAGATTGACCTTTGAGGATGTAATCCTCAAAACATTTCTTTGGAAGCAACTCCTGTTCAACACAGTACTCTGAAAAAAGTCTGAAATCTCCTTACCTGAAAACAACTATCAGTGAATATCCTCCTTTATTCAAGTAGTTTGTGGGTTCGACATCCAAAATGTTCAGATAATTGGAATATTAGATTGTGAGAATTATAAGGGCACATGCTGGATTTGTGGTGTATTCTGGATACAATGCATAAGCTATAGTGTCTCCCCCAAGTTAGATAACTAGAACATTTACTTCACCATCACCAATAAAATAAATTATACAATTCATATATATCCAGAGGACTTGCATGATACATGATCATATCAATTTAAGTCTGCATGTGTCTGAATGCTTCAGTATGTGACAGTTCCACACAAGTTGATGAAAGGCAGCCTTTGCCAAGCTTGCATTCTCCAGCTGTTTGGGGCTACAACTTCCACCAGCCTGGTCGAAGTTGCAGTTAAAACATCTGGAGAGCACCAGCTTGTCAAAAACAATTTTAAGAGCATAAAGAGAGCAGGGCTGAAAATTAAGTTTTTTTCACCTGGGTCAAAGACCCAGTTTGGCATTTGTGTACACACACACACACACACACACACACACACACAGGCTGGGAGCCTCAATGGTGCCCCTCTGGAGGCTTCACCTGAGGCAAAAAAACCCCCAACCCCAGCTTGCCCCCCCCCGGCACTGCAGAGAGTCCTGCTGGGTCCTGTTTCCTCTTGTGACTAGCCAAATGCCTCTGGGGAACCCACAAAAGAAAATGAGGGAAATACCACCCACCCGTATTTTTCCAGCAACTGGTTGTGCGAGCTCTCATGGAAATAATGGAAACAGCAGGCCATCTAGTCTAGCTAATTGCTGCAAGATAGTATCTGCCTTCTAGCAAACCAAAACCAGGACACATCACAACTGCAAAATTAACCATACTTACTAGGAAGACCTACTGAACTTAGTAGGTATTCTGAATGTGTATACTTAGGTTTGAGCAGTAAGGTGCTTACAGAGAAAAGTACTGTAATTACTGATTGCCTGTGTAAGCTTTGTAAGGTGCCATGTACATGGTGGGCGCTGTATAAATAGTGATGATGATAACGATGGCAGGTAGCCAAGCCACACACTTAGGCAACCCAAGAAAAACAAAACACAGGTGCTTTCTCATGTGACCTAGGGCAACATTCCTTCTTCGTTTGATGGTTATGGATCTGGATCACCGCCATGGATATCAAATGTGTTTCTAAGACTTCAATCCTAGGCACACTTATCTAGGAATATGCCCCTATGAACACTTACCTGCTGGGAACAACTCAATGTGGCTTCCTGCTAAGTAGATGTGTATTGTATTGCACTCCCACATGAGTATAAGAATGCTGCCAAAAACATTTAAACACAATCCACTTTGGGTATACCACCTGCCAGGATACCTATAACATAGTCTTCATAATTTTAGCGTAGATTCTATGTGTGTAGGAAGGCTTTCAAGCACAGGTGTCCACAGGGGGAGGGGAATTGGTCTCCTTGGATGAACCATAATCCCCAGGTTCCCAGCTTTCATTTATTTTAGAAAAGAACAAGTTTCTGTCATTTGTAAAACCTGAGATATAAGGCAAAAGGTGCAGATACTACGCTCACGTGTTTGTGTGAAATTGGCATGAACCTCCCTTTTAGCATTTACCTACCTGCCCCCGCCCAAAAAACTACCTCCAGATGCTCATCCTTGCAAAATATCTAAAACTAATAATAAGAGGAATGTAGAGGTACATTCTCATATGCTTTAACATGCAATACACTTATTTTAATCATACCTTTGGGCTCTTTCATAAACTACATTAATACTGCATTTTTTTGTCTCTCGTGTACATTGATTTTGAATTTATCTGTGTGTGTGACATGGTACATATTGGGAACTGCCATTTTTGGATTAGATTAAATAACAGACCCTGGAAAATTAGGTCTTAAATTCAAAATGTCTGTATGCGTGTTCTGTGATCAGTCTGAAAGATGTGTATTATTGTGGGCCAGATGCAAAACAGCTATAAACCTCTGTGTGTATATTATCTCCTACACCAGAAAACTGTGTTGATAGTACAATTAGGAATGCAAATACACTAACTTTTAGCATGTACTACAGTGACACACTTATGAAAAGCTACAGGAAATGCAAATAGCAATTTGAACATCATTATCAAACCACCCCTGGTTGTATTCAGTGATTCTATAATCTAAAACAAGCATAGGCAAACTCAGCCCTCCATTTGTTTTGGGACTACAACTCCCATCATCCCTAGCTAACAGGACCGGTGGTCAGGGATGATGGGAATTGTAGTCTCAAAACATCTGGAGAGCCGAGTTTGCCTATGCCTGATCTAAAAGGAACTACAGCCTAACAGGAGAAACGGAACAAGCTCACTCTGCAAGCCAAGTCACTCTTAACTTTGGTTCCTACCTTTGTCTCTTAACAAGGCATCAAACAAAAATATGAAACCTCTTAGTGGCTGCAGTGGCTTCTAGTTGCCAAAACAAAAGGTACCTGTGCTGTCAGGTCCCAGCTGCTTTTCAGGCACAAAGAAGTACCATCTCTGCTCATCACTCTCGTGATACAGCATCTTTTTTTCCTTTTCTTTTACTAAAGAGAACCAAAAAATCTCTGTACGTGTTTCCACCAGCCAACACTGAAAGGCAGTACGTACACTTTCATGATGATATGTGCCTGATGCACAGGGACAGGAGATCATTAGAGGGGTACCTTGGGCCATAGCTACTTACAGGTGCTTTGAGGATGAAGAGCTACTCTGGCTACCAGTGGCTTCTTCCAATGGGATGACCTACTGAAAGGCATATACTGGGACATTGACTAATCCATCTTGGCTGGAACTCTGCTACAGCTAGAGCACACTGTATGTGGCTTAATGGTTAATCCAGACTCAACCAATATGTCAGAACTTATTTTTGCAGTTTGCACATAGTGTGTGTGTGTAAGGATGTCATCACGCTGCAGTTCACATGGCCACCAAACTGCAATATGCCACTGGAACAGCAGGTGGGCAGGAAAGTGAGCAAGCAGCAACAGGGAGGCTTTTCTCTCCCATCTCCCACAGCAGCTGCGAGGTGTAATGGGAGAGGGAGGGTGGTGACTTGGAGAAGCTCCAAGGAAAGGTGAGGTGGTTTGGCTGATCTTTATGATCAGGGGAATAGTTTTGGAGAGGGGGTGGGGTGGGCAGTGTGGGCAAGTCAAGCGAGCAGAAGCAGCAGCCCTTGTTTGTGTGTAAATAAATGCCTGATGAGAACAGCACAGTATTATGAAAGTACTTTAATCAAAGAACTCCAATTAGATGTCTATTTTGCACGGGTGTAAAAATAATTACATAAGAAGCATTTTTAAGGATCACAGCTATTGCTGCATGTGAAATCATTCTTAAATGCATGAGATCAATGGAGTTTTGTATGAATAAAAACAGCAGGACTTGGCACAAAGACAACGCCAAACTAGTCATTATTTGTTCTCACTGTTGCTTTTTCTTCTTGGTACCTCACAATAAAACAGAAAGCAACTCCATAGCTTTTATTTCTCTGGACTAGCATACCTCAGTTTGAAGGGTTACAGTTTTGAGAATTACTGTTTTCTTTGTTGTTGTTTGTTTTTAAAAGATAGCTTTCACAGAAAAACTAATAAAAGCTGCACTGATTTTATATTTGTACCTCATACATGCTGTACTCTGAAGTTTAAGTTCTTTACTAAACCACTGGAACAAACTGGCAATGTTTTATTGAAAGTCGGTTAAGGTATATAATATACATACATTAAATATTCAGACATCAAACTGCTTTTATGCACTGTTCATAAACGAGTTCAGTTCACTTTGACACTATAGAACAAATGTATTACATCTGCTGGAAATGTGAAATAAAATTACAGTGGTGCCTCAGGTTATGTACTTAATTCGTTCCGGAGGTCCATACTTAACCTGAAATTGTTCTTAACCTGAAGCACCACTTTAGCTAATGGGGCCTCCTGCTGCTGCCGTGCCGCTGCCACGCAATTTCTGTTCTCATCCTGAAGCAAAGTTCTTAACCCGAGGTACTATTTCTGGGTTAGCGGAGTCTGTAACCTGAGGTGTATGTAACCCGAGGTACCATTGTATTATTAAAAAAATAGTGTTAACGTAAACACACCCTTAGTCTGGAAACTGCTGTCAGTGCACCAATGCACTGCCCTCCCCCAATGTTGCATTTACCCAATGAATAATTTCTAGTGTTCCATCATCAAAACATGATGGAGTCTTAGGAAGAATGGCTGGGGAGAGTGGGGAGAGTGGGGTAGGAAATTGCCGGCCCTCAGCACCTGCAGCTCCCTTATTTTGCCTGATAACATGCCAGTCCTGTTTGCACAAGCCACAGTTTCCCGTATTCAGGTTAAACAAGAAACTTCAATTTGTTTAAAACTATTGCGAAAACCTTCAGTTTTTCAGCATGCAATGGAGGAAGACAATGAGTCTCATTGCAGCTGGTGCACATAACGTTAAACCATCATTTAGATGGCATGCGGGTTGGGCCTCAAGAGTATAGACTTCCCAGTTCCTACACCTTAATAACTATTCATACTGTATATACTATTGTTGCACTGTGTATTTTGGGTCTATGGACAGCAATAAAGCTGTGTGTGTGGCTTCCCAGAGGATGGTGAAAGCTAATTGTGATTAAGTCCTATTGAAACAAAATATATTCATATTCATATTCTAAGTGAAGGAGAGAAAGTTGAAGTAAATAAGTTTGTCTAGATCCATGAATGAAATAAAATTGACCTACGCTTTGGTTTATAAGCCAAGTTTGCTCCACGAATAAATTTTAATTGTTTTTCTTAATTTTACTTCCAAAACATCAAATCAGAATCCCTTCTCAGTGCTTCAACTTGGAAATTCCAAATGTTGACCTTACATAAGGAATTCATTTCCCTACCCTGCAAGTAATCTACTATTGTAAGATGCTGGGGAACATTTATAAATAAATATAGAAATTCAACCTGGTACACTGAAAAATGCTCTTTAAATACACATAACAGCTATACACTTACCGGTAAATCTTCCCACTCCTTGTCAAACAGTATTCTGTGCCTGGCCTGTGTTACAGTGACATCTGTTGAATGAAAATGGAAGGTGCATTAAAGTGACTTGAGGAAAGTGCTCCACACTTACTTTTTGAAAACTATAAATGCACCATAGTGACCTAAATGTCCCATTTCCACATTGCCTAAGGAGAATATTACATAATAAAAACCTAAATAGAAATTTTGGGAATCATTTTGTGCTATTGTATCAGATTCTGTTTGGAGGAAACTCTAGCATAATTTCTCAGAAAACAATCCCTGAATATCCCTGAATTCAGTGGATCTTATTGCTCATAAGTAAGTGTGCACAGGACTGCAATCTGAGGATGAGGACATAAGAGCAATCTTGCTGGAACAAGCCAAATGTCTATTTGGTTTAGTATACTACAGTGGACAAACAAATTATTCTCAAAAGCCCTTAGGCAGGGTTTGCAGTTAATACAGTGGTGCCTCGCAAGACGAAATTAATTCGTTCCGCGAGTTTTTTCGTCTAGCGAATTTTTCGTCTTGCGAAGCACGAAATCCCATAGGAATGCATTGAAATTCAATTAATGCGTTCCTATGGTCAAAAAAAGTCCAAACAAAGCCAAATTTGGTACAACAAGAGTTTATTAAGTGCTCTTTAAAGTCACACATACTGTAAAGAGCATTTCAAAAATTGAAGGAACAATAAATTAAGTTTCTAAACATGACAGGAAAAACATTTAAAAATCAACAAAGTGTACATTACATTTTCTAAGACTCTGGGGGACCACTCGAAGAAGGTTCCTCTTCCACTCTTTGCTTCTTGCTGAAGAACCTGTCCATGGTCTGCTGCTTCATCCGCCTTTTCAGCACCTCCCTGAAAGGTGACATGACCGTCGTATCAAAAGTGTTCGCAAGGTCATGTGCCATGTGCTTGTTAGGGTGGTGCCACTGTGCAAAAGCCTGCACATCCTTCCACTTCATGCAAATGTCCCTCAGTTCTTTGGAGGACAGCCGTTCCTCAGTTGCTTCCTCCTCTTCCAGCGAGGCCTGCTCCTGCGCAGCCTCTGCCTGCAGTTCGACCAGCTCCTGGGTGGTCAGCTCGTGGTCGTGCTCCTCCACCAGCTCGCAGACGTCCTCCTCTGTGACCTCCAGGCCCATGGTCCTCCCCAAGGCAACAATGTCCTGCACCACTGTTGACTCTGGTGCATCAGAGTCACTTGGTGCCACACAGTCCGGCCACAGGCTGCGCCAAGCGCAATTCAAATTTCTCTGGCTGATCCCTTTCCAGGCCGTGGTGATCATCTTCAAGCAGGTGACGATGTCGAAGTGGTCCTTCCAGAATTCCCGCAGGGTGATGGTGGTGCAATCAGTCACCTCGAAGCATCGCCTGAAAAGCTCCTTGGTGTAGAGTTTTTGAAATTGGCGATGACCTGCTGATCCATCGGCTGGAGCAGTGGCGTGGTGTTAGGCGGCAGGAACATGATGTTGATGAAGCTGAACTCCTCCAACAAGTCCTCCTCAAGGCCTTTAGGATGAGCAGGAGCATTGTCCATCAGAAGCAAAGCCTTCAGCGGCAGGTCGTTGTCCAGCAGGTACTGTTTGACAGCAGGGCCAAAAGCAAGATTGACCCAGTCCACAAACAGCACACGTGTGACCCAAGCCTTACTGTTGGATCGCCACATGACACTCAGCTGCTCCTTGTCGACCTTGTGTTTCTTGAAGGCCCGTGGGTTCTCCGAGTGGTACACCAGCAGGGGCTTGATCTTCAGGTCGCCGCTTGCGTTGGCACAGAAGAGCAGGGTCAGACGGTCCTTCATGGGCTTGTGGCCAGGCAACTTGGCCTCCTCCTGAGTGATGAAAGTCCTTTTGGGCATCCTCTTCCAAAACAGCCCGGTCTCGTCGCAGTTGAAGACCTGCTGTGGAACGTAGCCCTCCGTCTTCACAGCCTCCAGGAACTCCAATGCAAAGTCTTCAGCCGCAGGAACATCAGAACTGGCAGCCTCTCCATGCCTGACCACGCTGTGGATTCCAGATCTTGTCTTGAACCGCTCAAACCAGCCTCTGCTTGCCTTGAAGACTTATGGCTCGCCTGAGGTTCCTGGCTGTTCCCAGACGAGGTCTGCGTGCAAGGCCTTGGCCTTCTCACAAATCACGGCCTCAGTCACTGTGTCCGCTGCACGCCGCTTCTCTTCCAACCAGATGAGCAGCAACTTCTCCACCTCCTCCAGAACAGCTGGGCGGTTCTTCACGATCCTGGTGACTCCCTTGGCTGCATCAGTCGCAAGGATCTTCTCCCTCATCTTCAGGATGGTGCCGATGGTCGATGGGTTCCTGCCGTACTCCCTGGCGAGGTCTGTCACACGCATTCCACCGTCGTGCTTCCGGATGATCTCCTTCTTCATTTCCAGCGTCACCTTCTCCTTCTTCCTCTCGCCGGCCTCTGCAGCAGCAGTCTTCTTGGGTCCCATGGCAGCACAGCTCCTAGCTTCGTAAACTCAGAAAAAAATAATAATCAGTGCTTCACACCCAAAAAATTCAAAAGCACCCAGCCACCCACCACACAGGAATTCAAACCCAGAACCAAGTCCTTGAATTCCAAACACCCAACCCAAAATCCAAAACCCCCCCAAAAAGTTTTAAAAGTTTAACTTACGAAATGGCTGCAAATCACCAAAGTCTTCAAAATCCTCAAATGGCTGCAAAAGAAGTTTTGGAAAAGCTTTAAAATCACCAAAGTCTTCAAAAACCTCAACTGTTCCCCCAGCCACCCACCCACCACACAGAAATTGCAAACCCCTCCCCAACTGTTGCAAACCCCTCCCCAACTGTTGCAAAACCCACCCCAGCAGCTCCCCCAGCCACCCACCACACACAAGTTAAAACTCAGAAATTTTTTTTTGAAAAAACAACATGGCCCAAAGGTCACAGAAAAACATAAAAATTCAAAAAACCCCACACAAGCTCCCAGATTCTTGCAAACCCCTCCTCAACTGTTCCCCCAGCCACCCACCACACAGAAATTCAAACTCAGAATTTTTTTTTTTAATGGCCCAATGGTCACAGAAAATCAAAAAAAATTCAGAAAAACCCCACACAAGCTCCCAGGTTCTTGCAAACCCCTCCTCAACTGTTCCCCCAGCCACCCACCACACAGAAATTCAAACCCAGAAATTTTTTTTGAAAAAAAAACAACATGGCCCAATGGTCACAGAAAATCATAAAAATGCAGAAAAAAACCACACAAGCTCCCAGATTCTTGCAAACCCCTCCTCAACTGTTCCTCCAGCCACCCACCACACAGAAATTCAAACCCAGAATTTTTTTTAAAAAAAACAGCAGAGTGCCCCAATGGTCACAAAAAATCATAAAAATGCAGGAAAAACCCACACAAGCTCCCAGATTCTTGCAAACCTCTCCCCAACACCAAGTCCTTGAATTCCAAACACCCCAACCCAAAATCCAAAAACCCCCCCAAAAAGTTTTAAAAGTTTAACTTACCAAACGGCTGCAAAAGAAGTTTTGGAAAAGCTTCAAAAATCAGCAAAGTCCTCAAAAACCTCAAAAAAAGGCTACCACACCGCGTGCTATGAGTTGCTCCTCGAAGTCAAGTCGCAACTGCACCTCTTCAAGCAATGCACCCTGGGTATTAACGGTTTTACGAAAAAGGAAACAAACTTGCAAGACGTTTTCGTCTTGCGAAGCAAGCCCATAGGGAAATTCGTCTTGCGAAGCAGCTCAAAAAACGGAAAACCCTTTCGTCTAGCGAGTTTTCCGTCTTGCGAGGCATTCGTCTTGCGGAGCACCACTGTAGTTCTTTCCTGATGCAGCTCCCCAGCAGCTGGTGCCCAGAAAAAAAAAATACTGCTGCATAGGTGTGTGTAGCACATTTCATTAGGGTATGAACCCAGGGTTGTTGTTGTTTATAAGACGAATGTTTATTGAATGCATACTCATACACATTCACAAAGGACATTATTTTTTATTTATCAAACCACAGGAACTAAAATTTCACTAAACTTATTTTTTAATTAACAACTAAACTTTATTTTAAAAAATACAAACTTGAAATACTTAAAATGATTTTTTTAAAAATCATCATCATCATCATCATCATTATTCTGCTGTAACTAGGCATTGTTGTTGTTTAGTCATTTAGTCGTGTCTGACTCTTCGTGACCCCATGGACCAAAGCACGCCAGGCACTCCTGTCTTCTACTGCCTCCTGCAGTTTGGTCAAACTCATGTTAGTAGCTTCGAGAACACTGTCCAACCATCTCGTCCTCTGTTGTCCCCTTCTCCTTGTGCCGTCCATCTTTCCCAACATCAGGGTCTTTTCCAGGGAGTCTTCTCTTCTCATGAGGTGGCCAAAGTATTGGAGTCTCAGCTTCAGGATCTGTCCTTCTAGTGAGCACTCAGGGCTGATTTCCTTAAAAATGCAGAGGCTTGATCTTCTTGCAGTCCATGGGACTCTCAAGAGTCTCCTCCAGCACAATAATTCAAAAGCATCAATTCTTCAGCGATCAGCCTTCTTTATGGTCCAGCTCTTACTTCCATATATCACTACTGGGAAAACCATAGCTTTAACTATAAACAAAGATAATTTTCATGATCTTTAACCAGATAATGAGCTAACCCATACTGACCAAAACTGATTAAGGTTTACGTTACGATACGATGCGATAATCTTTATTGTCATTGCCCCACAGAGAACAACGAAATTAAAAAAATCTACATCAGACATTCAAAAACCAATGAGCCTGCTATCCCAGCCTGGTTAACCCCCTAAAAACTCTGATACCCCATAATTAAATACAATATACTCCCACAGAGACTACCTTACACTGCGTTTAAAACCAAAATGGCATTTGGATAAAAACTGTCTCTCAGGCGGCTAGTCCTAGTCTTTATAACCCTGTACCTTCTTCCAGATGGTTTCTTCATCTTCCTGCCTTAGAGAATGAGATGCCATTTAGCAGGTGTGAGCGAATGATGGAAAGTGGATCACAGATAGAGACAGAGCCATGGGACAGAGACAGGTGCAGGTAGAAGAAAAAGGCTGGGATGGAAATGCAACATCTGTGCTGCTTCTGGAGACAGATGCAGGAAGGAGCTGCAGATCCATTCCAGCCATTTTATTCTGCTTATAAAAAGTCCTGGGGTGGGGGTGGGGAGAAATATATATATATATATATATATATATATATATATATATATATATGTATGAGAAAATAAAACAGGACAAAGCCAACCATTAGCAGCCATAGAATATATTCAATATTATAAAAGAAATAAGCTAGACTTAAATTCAGAAGTACAAACGAAAATGAAACTTTTAAGAAAACTCAGTAAAGTTCCAACTGCTGGTACAGGTCACATTTCACTCCAAGGAGCTTCAGCAGCCTGGCTTCAATACTGTTCAGATAAATGCCCCCTCCCAATTATTAATGCTCTAAGCACAATAGCACACGGTCAGAGCCATAGGGTGGTTCAGTTTAGTATCCCTTTGGAAAGCAATGGTTAAATTTCTTCAGGCCAAAATTTGCATTGATTTATGGCTAGTCCTCCAGATGATGCACATCAAAGGTGGAACATGGCCAACTTTAATTATTTTTCAGGACAAATTGGAGGTGGGATCTCAAAAAATAATAATTTGGGCATCACCAAATCACAGAGGAGACCCACAAGAGTAGGAGAGAGAGAGAATATTAGACAAATTGGGGTGGGGGTGGAGGTAGAAGCTTGGAAGGCCACAACAAAACTTTTGGCATTACAGTATTGCAGCAAGAGACCTACTATAGGAGCAGTCAATGGGTGGGATTCACCTAACATGCCCCATCAGCAGAAGCCCTGTGCAAGGTCTTCCACCTGTGCAATGAGACTTCCCCACCTCTCTCCTGTCCCTGCACCACCCACACCCGTTGGGAGAATTCCCAGAACACCACATGGGAATGTTGGAGAGATGGAACCATTCCAACTGGCAAGCTGCAATTCTTCTGCATGTGGAATGTTCAGAAACATGTGGTGCTGAATTCCACTGAGTGTTTTTATATACAGTGGTACCTCAGGTTAAGTACTTAATTCATTCCGGAGGTCCGTACTTAACCTGAAACTGTTCTTAACCTGAAGCACCACTTTAGCTAATGGGGCCTCCTGCTGCCGCTGCACCGCCGAAGCATGATTTCTGTTCTCATCCTGAAGCAAAGTTCCTAACCTGAAGCACTATTTTTGGGTTAGCGGAGTCTGTAACCTGAAGCTGAACCTGAGGTACCACTTTATTTTAAAAATGCAAAATCGGGGTGGAGACCATAAAAAGGCGCTTGGGAGGCTGGATGCAGCCTGTAGTCACCTCAGCTTTAGGAGAGAGGTAAAGCAGATCCCTGGTGCCTATGTGCTGACTTAAACATGAAAGTGGCCATTTAGAGCCCATTGAGTAGTACTTCCCAAGCAGGCTGCCTGTCAATGTTGCACCAAGCACACAAGGCTTTTAGTCCATTCAGCACCCCATATGCCAGCAGTATCTGCACACCAATGATGGATGGTCCCAGCATCAGTTGTGCTTCATCCAAGTGTTGGCAAGGGATGTGGGGAAAGAGCCCATAATTGATGCAGCAACTACACTGAGCAACTGCAGGGACAAAATAAAATAAAATGATCAGCTACATTTTTAAATCAGATCTCTTGAATTGACTCCCCCCCCCCCCGAATTCTGGTAATTCTCACAATTATCCAGCAATACATGTTTCTGTGTGTGGAAAGCAGTACTCCTTTTGTTCATTATACTGTACTTCCTTCTTCACGGAGAAAAACTGACAGAGTTTTAATTTTCTCACAGTTACTTTGAGCTGAGAATAACAGCTCTTAAATTAGTTTCGAGGAGGTGTCATGATGCAAGGAGTTTGCAGCAGTCTAGCACTGAAATGCAGAAATATCTGAATATGCAAATGAACTGGAATATATAAAGATCATCATTTGATAGAGGATTTTGTACATTTGGCTGATAAATCAAGGAAAGTTGCTCCTTGTATGACTTCCCTCCATCACATATGTAACCTTCAAATATACACAGAAACTGCCTTACAAGATAAAACCAGAGTTTATCCAGTCCAGTTTTTTAGTCACTAGTGAGATGCCCCTTGAAAATTTAAAAGAAAGGCAAGATGCACATAGCCAAAGCTTGTTCTTTGTACCTTGTATCCCCTAATTCTCTAATGATATGTTGCTTCTGAGCACCAAGATTCCATTTATGTCTCTGGACCTATGATACTGCTGTTTTCTTTTATTGCCTTTTATCACTTCATTGGTTTCCCCTCTGCTCTATTTGCTTCCCTCTGTGTCTTTCCTCTGTGGCTTCCACGCATCTTTCATCCTTCTTAGGAAATAACAGCACAACTTGGGGATTGATTTTTCCCCTCTCATACTTCCCTCTCTTTTACAAGAACACAAAGCAAAACTGAAACCAACGAAAAAAAGGGGGAGAGGGAAAACATTAGCTTGTAACATTGATTGGTTGTCCTCTTTTATGATGGCACTGTCCTTTATAAATTACAAATTACTTCTGTATATTATCGTTCCTCCTGCCTTTCCTCCCCTTCCCTCTTGTGATTTCTAGCTACTTAAGATTGTGAGCCTTTGTAAGAGCTTGTCATTATTTGAGAAGTGCTTCAAGAACAACAACAATGAATGCTTTCTTTGGAGTATTAATAATCTGAAGAAGTGTTAATACTTATGAATGAAAAACCAATATGTGCTATGCCACTTTATTCAACCTCTATTAAAGAGGTTAATTGAGGCCAGGCATGTCCAGAGAATCACAGGGACGAAAAGGTCATATTGTGCAAGATGAGCAACGAAGCAGGATCATCCATACCAAAATATGGTTATCCCAAATCATATTAATTTTCACTCTATTAAATGTGGAGAGATGACCTATGTCCATGTAATGTTCTGCTAGGGCTCTAATGCTCACCAGTAATTACCACAGATCCAATCACTTTGTCAAAAGGCACTGGGGGTGCAACCAGGAACTTTCAGTTCTGAGTGCCCTGCATGGTGATGTACCCGGAACTGGTCTGCAGCCTGGATAATTCTCAGATTCTGAATTGGCCCCACCAACTCAAGTTAGCTATTGTGTTTTCCTGGACAGGAAGGGCTATAAACAGATTCCTGATTGATCTGGGATCTTGCCCGAACACCAAGATCTCCCTGTGTGTGTTTTGTGCTCCCCTCTGGTCTGACCTGAACATGAGCAAGAACCCTCATAGCATGTCTGACCACCTGAGGGCAATATAGTCTAACCGGTAAGTTCAGGGTTACAGGACCTTGGAGAGTACCAAGTGAACAACAGCTTGCTTGGACAAGGTCAAAAACTGAGTGAGGTCTCTCATCAGCCCAAACTACCTCTTTCAGGTTCTACCTGATGACCTGGAGCCTAGAACTTCAGTTCCTCTCCCATTCTAGCATGTTGCTAGAACTGGCGATCCAGCAATAGAGAACGTGGAGGCCTCCGTGAAGAGGCATTTGGCTGTTCTCAGGACCCTTGCTTAGGGGTCTATTGGATTATATGCTTTGGATCACGGCCAGTGTTGGTGCCTATGTCTGGTCTGAAACCTTCTGTGGCATTCGCTGATGAACCTTGTGATCTGGCTGACCCTTCCGCATCTAGGACTGAATTTGAGCATGGGGTAAGGGTCATGACACCAACTTCTGAATCGGGATTCACCACTGCTTCAACCTTGACACACTTGTTGCAAAATAATGTAAATAAAACCGAACACTTCTGCATACATGCATGAATTTTGTTAACTTGGTCAGAACCATAACAAGAAGGGGACATAGTAGTATGGATTTGGTGATGCATATATAAAGCCAGCAACCATATATTAATTATCTGGACATTTTCTAACCATAACGAATATGGAAACTGAAGATGCAATTTGTGTGCTGCCTGTTCACATAGTTCCTGCATGCTGCCTAGTTCACACTACTTCCCCCCTACCATTATGCATTCCAGTTAATTCTGCAGTTCCAAACAAGGATAGTGATCACCTGAAGTGTAGGGCCTTTGGATATTCTAAATCTAAACCAATCTGAATTACCTTAAAATGGATTCTAATTTTGACTTGGCTGATCTGCCCCTTCCTACAATGCTGGGGTAATATGAGAAGCCCCCAGGCATGTAGGAGAAGCCCATGCAGCCTCACAAATGCTAACCTCAGAAAACTTGGTGAGTGCTGGAAGGGGGAGCATCTGCACTGGAGGTGCTTAATAGTCACCCCCCCAAGTTTCTCCTGTTACCCAGTTCTGCCGACAGATGCCAACAGAATTTCCTGGGCCGGTTAAAATGTATGTGGATCGGGCCACTTGCATCCCGTTCCCCCAGGAATCTATTTACAAGAACTGTTACTTATGTACATATATTAACTCAACTTAGTCTACCTCACAGGTTATTGCAAATATAAAAGTGGGAGGGGAGGGGAGTGTACAGAACCTTGAGCTCCTGGGTAGACAAGCAAGATAAAAATATGTTCCAAATAGTGCATAGTTAAACTATGGAATACACTCCCACCGGAGGCAGAAATGGCCGCCCATTTGGATGGGAGATGAGGAATTTCTGGCCTCCCAGATATGTTTCACTCCATCTCCCATCAGCCCCAGCCAGCAGTGTCAATGGCCAAGGATGCTGGGAGTTGTAGTCCAACAAATATTCGGCAGGCCAGAAGTTCCCTATCCCTGGTTTAGAATATATGCACACAGGATTGCCTTTCAGAATATCACTATCCTTGTTTTGATTACTTCTTTAATGATTGCTTTCTGTAATAAATTTGCTGAGTTAATGCTAGTGGCGTTGACGTGATAGCAGCGCTTCTGTCTCCACTGCACTGTAACATGGGATGAGAAGCCCACGCCAAAGCTCTTCCCTTCGCAATGTCCCTGTGTCATCCCCATGGGACTGTTTCTGCATGATCTTCAGCCTTCTCCTATTACCCTAGAAATGTGGAGTGGGCTGGGGCTGCAGAAATTCCCATGCCATTGAGGTAACATAAGAACTCTGTTGTAGCAATTTACTACACACCTAAAAGCAAGTCTAGATGAGTTTCCTGAAAACACTTCATTACTTAGGCTTATATATGCAAATATTCAGCACTACTGCCTTCGAGCTGGCATTGCAACAGCACTTATTCCCCATAAGGCTGAAATCCTAAGCTCACTTACTTTGCCTTCAGTCCCACACTCACCTCAGTGGGACTTTTTTTTTCTTTTGTAGAGATGCATAGGATTACAGTTATGCGAGTTAAAACTGCTTTACATTCCCCAGCTGTAAAAATGATTCCTGACTTTCTCCCTGAAACTGCATATATTTATTCCTGGAAGCAAGAGGTGGAATTTCTCTTGCTATAGGAAAAGCATAAAAGCATAATGAAATAAATTATTTAAAATGTAAGTCAGTGTCACACACTGGTGTCTTGCAGAATATTTGAAAGCAAGTTGCGCAGTTTGCGTCTCTTCACCAAGGAGGATCAAATGTTTCCTTTTAATATACGCAAATAGATTCACATTGTCAGGAACAGAATTCTATTTAATCCTTGGCCTTTTAAATTCAGGGAGTTTTGGGGCATTTATTTCCATAGGACATCAGACTTCAGATTAGCTGCATGTAGGCTATAACTCTGCACTTTAAGATACAATATTGCTGCCCTTTATTTCAACACTTTCTTGAGGACTTACATAAAAGAACATCAAGTAACTCTAAAAATTCAGCGAGAAAACTTAAAGGAGCTAATTGAAGCAGTGTTCTGCTGGCAGCTCATTAACTAGAAAAGCTATAAACCACTGCAAAATAAATGTAATGTACAATTTGTGGAGTTTTTTCAAAAGAAGATTTGAGGTGTGGCAATCAGAATAATGTTTAGAATTTGTATAGGCCAGTGATAGGAAACTTGTAGCCCTCTAGATGTAGCTCGAGTACAATTCCCACCAGCCCTGGCCATTGGCCATGTTGGCTGCAGCTGATGAAAGTTGCAGAGTCAAATAATATTTGGAGTGCTGCAGATTCCCATCTCTGCTATAGTGCTGTTGTCTTTTCAAATAACCCATAATACAGTATGTTGTCTTGTAATCCTGACAACAACACTGTAAGGTAAGTGGCTATTTATCCACATATTACAGATGAAGCTAAGAGTTGTTTGCTTAATGCTACCTGGTAAGTGCATTGCAGACATATTATTTGAAAGCGGGGAAGGTTGATTCATATCTCTTTTCACACTAGCCCTTGGGCTCAGTCAGGATTAAGTGTTCTTTGGCAGCCTCAGACACAAAAGGAGGACGAAGGAAAAGGAGCAGATGAGAGGCTGAAAGGCAGGCATTCGGGGATACAGTAGAGAACAGAGAGACTGTACTCCGGTTACAACTTTCGGTGGAGAGGAGGAAACAATTTGGCCAGCTCTCTACCCTGCCATTTCTGTAGAGCGCAGGAGCATCATCAGGGAGATGGAAGGACTTTGGCTGACCAGAGGGAGAAGGTAACAAAGGAGCTGGAGGCAGAAAGGCAGGACAACAGCCATATTGCTGAGAACCAGGTACCACCTTCATAGGAGGCACCGGACACATCTTAGGAAAGGGCTTATCAAGCACCCTTGTATAAAATTTCAAAAGAACCAACTCACTGTTCAGCATGGGCATAGGCAACATTACATACAAAACACACAGAAAGTGAGTTGTTACAAATCACATAAATTAAGCTTCCCATCACACAGTTGTGGCAGAGACACATGGGCATCCCTATCAATCATATAATGTTTTAAACATGGTTTGCCAACCTTTCTGGGTTAGTGGGTACATTTTGAATTTTGAGAAAGTGCTATGGGTTCAGGCCACAAAATGGCTGCTGTGGGGGGATGTAGTATAACATAAAATGGCTGCCTGAGAGTGTGACACAATTAAAAGAGAAGAGGAGGAGGAAGGGGATAAAATTGTGTGATCATGCCCTGCTTATCAGCCTGCCCGTTGATTCGGGGAAAGGTACCTACAGTCAGCCACTATCACACACACACACACACACAAACACACACAGAGAGAGAAGCTTGTTATCTCACACTCAGAATTTTAATGTAGGTGTGGCTGAGCCAATGCCAACAGGAATTGAGCAGGTCCTTTGTGCAAGGACCACCTCTCTGCACATGAACTGACCCAAGCTCTGCATTTATTATTAGAAGTCCTTCTCTCTGTGTGCCCCCTCTGAGGGAAGGTAGAGGGTGTCAATACAAGAATGAGACTTCTCAGTGGTGGCTCCCCACTTACGAAACCTTGTTCCCTGGTGCCGTTGTTATCTATTTTTAGGCAGTGGGCAAAAACATTTCTTTTCCACCAAGCCTGTGGCCTTTAATTTGGTGGGCTTTTTATATTAGCGGTCTCCTTCAGTGCCTTTTTATAAATACGAACGTGCTTTTAGCTTTTACTCTGTTTTAGTTTTACGTTGGTTTTCATTTATGCAACCCCTTTTTTGTAACTTGCATTGAGTACTGCAACTAATAAGTCCAATAAAGAATATTTTTGAGGGAATATTTATGGAGACCTTTCGTAGGTGCTATAAGAGGTACTGACATGCACACTGGTCTCTGGTTGTCTTGCACTCTATCCAGGACTCACTGGAGGGGTGAAACTTGGATTTCTCAAGAGATGAAACAGGGATGTTTACTTTCATTAGGATGGAGTGTACTTGCTGGAGGAAAGCCAACACATGCAAGGGATCATTCCAGGTGTCTTTTATATTAGGTACAGAACCAGATTGAGATTAATTAATATTATGCAGGCTTGCATCATCCCTTGGCTGTCATGCCTGTTGCTTATCTTCATTACCCCATGATCAGAACTAGCTTAAACTACTTGCCACCTCTGATTGTTCAGGAGGAATGAAATGGGGGGAAACTCCTTTTACCTTGTCCAGTATCTAGAACCCCCACCCAGTATACATCTACAAAATAGGAATGGAGAATCTCAGGCCTGGCGGCCAAATGTGGCGCCTCAGGCCACTCCATCAGACTCTCGGGACTTTCTCAGGCCACACTCTCTCCCCTCAGGCCACAGCCTCACCCTGCCCCCACTTTATACCATTTTGCCTGAGTGGAATGCGTCCTTGAACTCTGAGAATGCCTCTGTTCTGCATGGATGGAAGAGAGAAAGGGGTGTGGGAGTGTGTGTAAAAACTAGCCAACTGAACAAAGCTAAAATTCACATTTTGCCTCTGGCACCACAACACGGATATGTGCCCCTCCCCCAAGAAGGTTGCTCAAAAGCTGAAAATGCTCCCTCATCCTTGCTATTAAATGTGCAGGTTCTGGGCTGGGTACCTTCTAACAGCTTATAGTTTTCCTGGATGTGAACATTAAGTTTGATTGGATATGCACTGGGGAGTTGAGAAAAGAATCCACCTCTTTTCCACTCACTGTAATTTCCCCCCAATTAAGTGTTCACCTTTGGTACTTTATACCACTACAGCAAGAAGAAAATTTGAGGACTGTGGTGGTGGGAGGTATCAGTTTCTCCTTTCCCCATTTGAAACTTCACTGCTGTCTCCCTCACCCCCGTGACCTCTGAACACCATAACAAGACTTTTGATCTGGCATGACTGGAGCCCTGGAAAGGAGCACTGCACTATATGGAGGTTTCAGAAGGAGAGGAGAAAAGTACCATACTTCTGCCTTTCCCACTTGCTAGCAACTTCCCCTGCATCACACTATATAGCAATAGGAACTCATGACTGAGACCTGCAGGGAGTCCTGAGCCTATGGATTGGTAAATCTGGCAATTTCAGTTTCCCTCAATTTCTCATTTTTCTCATCTTAATTTCTACATATTTCACATTCATCAGCATTTTTATGTGAACTTCTTATAATATACACATTTTTGTTTGCACTTTTCCTCATAACAAATTTTTGAAAGACAAGTTCCCCTAATATGCATTTGTGT